GACTGTTGTGAAAGAAGATCTCGTTTGCGGCGGAGAAAATGCTTTCCAGCGCATCATTATCGATGGAGAACTCGGCATGCCGAGATCGTGGTCGGATGAGTGATCTCAGAATCCGTTCATGCTGAGAATCCTTGGTACGACGCCGGCCAAGTTGCAACCGATTTTCGACAAGTCTAGCCGCAACGTCGTCGTCGAGTAGCCTCAGATCGTCCTCGCTGGCGGCGCTGTAGATGTCTGTATCGGACGAGATGGACAAGCCAGAGGCGGTGCGCTCCATTTGCGATGAGGTGACATCGGCTTCGGCCGGCTCGGGCGTTGGCGATGTTTGTTCTCGGATCACTAAAAAGGACAGGTTCTGAACGGGAATCGATCCCCGCGGTGGACAAACAGGATCCGAGTCGGAGGTGAAATGTGATACACGGGCCCTTTTCTGGAAGGGCATGTCGTCGTGTGCGTACTCATAGTTGCCGTCGTAGATGTCGCGCTCATCAGCGTGACCAATCCTCCTTTTGCCACCCACAACGTAGAGATCGGAATTGAGGGCGTGGCCCTCACCTTGAGAAAGTGGCCTTGCCTCCCCGCCGACCACCCAAAACGCCATTGAACATTCTTGAGATATTGCAAAATGGAAGGAAAGGGCGAAGTCGGTGGGAAAGGGCAAATTTCGGGAGGTCGGAGGTGTGATGAAGTGTGGCAGGCCGGGGGGGTGCCCAAGGTGAAATACGGGCGACCACTGTTGGTATGGGTGTCATGTGCGCCGGAACCGCATTAAAGAGGCCGGTGGAGAAGGATGCCCGGCGCCGGCGGCTGGAGGTTGCGTACGGCAACTAACGAGGAATGGATAGCTCGGGAGGACCATGTAAAAGAAACGAAACAAAGGTTCAGTTTCGAGGTACGACGAAGTGAGGCGAGGGACAGGCACAGCAGGACGATTTCTGAGAGCCAGTCTGTTCTGCTGGACAGACATAGCTGCATGGAGAGACCCAGCTCAGGGCAGGACAGCGTTGCATGGCCCGTCTAGGCCCCCCTTGGCTTGCTCATCTGCAGAATCCCAACCAGCGGGACGAGGGCGACTCGAAGCAACCGAGAGGTTTGGGTGGACGGGAGCCGGGCAGCGGACACCGTCGTACGAGCGGTGTGAGGGAGCTAAGACGGATATGCGTGTGCGGCGTTGCGCATCGCAGATTTAGTGCGAGGTCCATCGCTGCCATCCCCCGACCGGTGCAAGGAACGTGGCGTTTCCAGGCGGGTTGGCGTTGGAACTCGACGAACCTACACAGTAAGCTCTGGGTACGGATAGACTTCCCAACCTTGTCCACCGCTGCTATTGCCCGCCTCAACTGTGAGATGGTGCTTGTCAGGCAAGACATTGATAGTGCGTGCATGCATATGATGATATAGCGGCAGGGTAAGGTTATGCTGCTGTCTCGAGTTGTGTGCGGCAACAATACCTAAACAGACGGTCAGCTCGACCGCTTCCTCTTTCTCGTCCAGTCTCACCCACGGTGTAAGGTATGATGGTGTGGAAGTGCATGCATACGGAGTATGGGTATTGCCCTCTGCGTGCGTGTATGTATCCGTAGCCGCCAAACAATGGGAATGGCGAGTCCGCCCCAAGTCGATGGTTCGCCGACTGCACACGGGATTGGAAGAGAGATCCCAGGTTGAGGCATGCGAGGGCGGTGGGGTTCGTGACAGGTGGGCGAAGCCATCGGCGGAGGAGGAGGCGAAAAAGTCGAGGACGAGGGAGCGGGTGTTCATCAAGATCTGGATTCGGCAAAGGGGCTGGAATTTTGCCGCCCATGATTGGTTCTGCAGCCTCGGTCTCAGTCGCTCATTGGTTGCCTCATCTCCGTGCATCTGTCCCTCCCACGTCGACTGTCGTCGCCTCCTTTTAATGAGGCTTTCCAACCCTCGGTTTTTCAAGAAATTGCCATCCACTGAAGCAACCTCCCAGCCGCTCCTTTGCTGTTTTTTTGCTGTCGCTGACTTGACAACTTGTCCATCATCCATGACGGCTCCGCGAGACCCACGGAACATCCTCCGATGCAAACCCAGTCGGAGGGCAAGGGAGACCGTGACCGGGAATCTGACTCCTGCACCTCGTCCAGTCGGGCCTGCGTACTGCATCCAGACAACACTACTTGGCTGCGCCGCGCTGCGCTGCGATGCTATGCTATGCGATGTGTTTGCGATGCACCAAGGATTCCGATAAAATATTGTTGATGCATCGAACAACAAAACAGCGACCACCCAGGAAACGAGGGTCCAGTTGATTGACAGCGGCATTTGCTTGCTGGTGCATACATGACACTCGGGGACGAAACAATGCTTTTCGCCCTGTCTTCGTCAGGGATGTGTCCCGGTTATTGAATTCGGTGCCGATCTTTGCTGTCCCAGCCGGTATTTTTCAGGATCTTGCTTGTTCGCCTCTCCATGTCCACCAAGCAAAAAGTCCAAGTCCAACCGAAGAACGATGTAATCTCGCAATGCCGGCTTATGAGGCCTGCAACACATTGACTACTTGCGCCTGTCAATCTTGATTTTTCGGTCTTTTAGGCTCGGACGAGACGAGCACAGACTGCGGGCAGGTCGAACTCTATCTGCTTGACTCTTCTCTGCGGCTTCGACGAGACTCCATGGAACCTATATCCCGACTTCCCCTCTTGTTAGAAGTGGAGAAATTGGAGGTCTTCGTCACTTTGGGGGATGATGCTGTGATGTCGTCCCAAGAACATTAATAATTCGATGAGGGGGTGCGTTTCGTCTGCCGTCGATCGGTTGCGCACTAGCAGCTCGATTCCCACCATCAGCAGAAATCACAACGTATACTACTCCGCCAAATTGAAGCTGATGGGACGTAAGCTTCGACTGGAGATCGTGAGCTGGACTCGGAACCCCCCAAAATGGCAGATGATGGACGGAGGGATACCAAGGTCTCGGGTGCTGCGTTGCCGATGCACTAGATGGTCCCTGAAGACTGACAGACCCTGAAAATATTGAGGCGCCCAGCTTGTCGCAGATATCCTGGATTCCTGGAATACCTTCATCAATGCCAAGGTGTATGAGCTGGTAGCATTGGATTCGGCCCAGACATGCCGACACACGGATGATAGAAGAAGGAATCAAAGCAATGGCCATCTGGAGGCTGGCTTGCCTTGTCAGAAGGAGGAAGTCTGACAGGGTCCGTTGACAGGGGGTTCATCATGAGGTGCCTGGGCACTATCTTATCGCTCGTCTTTATCACCTATCGCCGATTTTTGGACTAACGTTTTTGGGTCTAGACCATCGGAAAATAAGTGGATCTGCGAACGATCCGGTCGTGCCTGCTTCATCTAACGACATCTCGTTCCTTCCTCACAGCATAAGTGTCCGCGATACTTCACCTTGCCCGCGCAACAGATGCTCGCACACTCGCCATCGAACCTTCCACACGTCCTTTTTCGCTTCTCTGTTTGAATTCTTATTGAATTCCGTGGCTTCTGTCTATTTACGGTACTTAAGCAAGCACACGTTACGGCTGGGCTGGGCTCATTTCTTCCTTGAAATTCCTTCTCCATGTAGGTACTTGTGAGTAGCCTGGCATCTACAAGATTGTGCAGATATACCATGACTCTCATTATAACTTCAAGCTACCTAAAATATATGCGGTATTCATGTTCAAATGTCGTTTTTCCTTCCTCGATACCGTTCTCACGGTGGTGGTTCAATTATGGGATGGAAGACACACGTGAGACCATTCGTTACCCATGTTCGTGATGTGGACTCAACATTCTCATGACTTGTGAGTTCTCGGCATTCTCATCTTCATGCTAATGTCACTCCTTATTGAGAACGTAAGTCCAAAAGGCATCCGCGTAAACGGTGTAGTAAACGTCAAGACCAGCTTGTATGGGACCATGGGATGTATTATGCTAAACGGATGAGAACCTCAAATATCTTACTGCCAATGCCAAGTTGCGAAAATCCAAAGCCTCGCCTTGAGGTTTGGGGCAAAAAGACAAAGCATTCTCGTCGCCTGAGTGCCTCGAAGGGCAGTTTACAGCTGCTGATGAGAGGTGGGAGGTGTTGGGACCCACACCCATTCTGCACCTTGGGCTTTGTTGATATCTCGAGTTTGGCATCACGTCTACCCGGCTGAACGTATTTTTTTAAGAAAAAAAAATCGCACCGCGTTGAAGGATCCTTCCCCGTTTCCCACTTCTCAGGAAGTCACGTTGCTGGATTTCTCTCCCACACAGCAGCAGCTATCTCACCAGCTTACCTGAAATCCTCCTCCTCTCCCGTTCCCTTCCAACCCTTCTCATTGCACGATATCCATCTCACACGCAACCTTCTCGCTTATTCACTCTTCGTTCTTGATACCAATCACTTTTTGTCAATGAGCTACTCTTTTGTCTGCTTCTAGCAAAATCCCTCACCCTTCCCCCCAGGTGGCAGGAGATGCGCCTTTCCGGAATTCTTTTAGAGATACTCATAACGATCCGCACCTTCACCTCGCTTATCCAACTCACTAAGCCTTTCGAGCATTCACTTGAGGACCTCCAAAAATTCAAGCACAAGCAACTTTTTCAGTACGTCAAGTGTCTCGAGGCGCGAGACAGTCAAGCAATCTACGGACTCACCAGAGCACTTCTACACTGGGAGCGTCATTGAAACAATTCGTCCTGGGCGTCAAGTTCGTACTGCCAGTTCTACGTACTCACGTCGCTTCAACTTGACCTTTGGGAAAAGTTGGCATTTCATCACTTGTTCAACGACTATTCTTTGAGCACTTTCCTACCCCCTCTCAAGGTTCGAGTCTCCTGCTACATCACAGACAACAACAATAACAGAGGTTACTCGCGAATCGAATACTCCTGAACAACAGCGGTAACTTTCCCAACTCATCAGCGATCTCCTCTGTATGCACAATCCTACTGTTTCATCCCACTTCTTTCATCCTTGCTTCGAGACAATTCATCTCTTTCAGCAGAAAGCACATCTCAACGTCGCAAAAGATGTCTGACAATCAGGGGATCAAAGAGGTGAGAAACCTTTGTCGCTCATACATTAGAATTTCAACATTGAGTGTATCATACTAACCTTGTCTAGCGACCTTCTAAGCGATCTCTTACCCCGAACAAGGCCCTGTATGCTTCATTCAATGAAGCCCATCGACACATTGCTCCTCCAACTCCCAAGATCCCCATTGAGTTCGATGGACAGCTAGGCGATGGAGAGCAGCTCACGGAGGAGCAAGTCGAAGACATTTTAAGTGCCTCGAACAATTCCTCCGGACAGTTTCAAGACTCCAAGCGTCGGAAGGAGCCGAAGAGCCTAGAACTTCTTGCCAAACCGAGTGCATCTGGCCACCAGAGCAAGGTCGATGGGCAAACTCAGACGACAGACCATGGCCCTCAAAGATCTTCCTCTCTATACCTGTCGGATGATGAGAACGCCTTCATCGATTACTCGAATTTGTCCTTACATGAGTTCAAGGAGCAGCATGACCGACAAGATTCTATCGATGATCCTTTCGACAGCCAGCATGCCGCCACTGAGTACCCAGATGCCTCCTCATTCTACCCAGAAGATGGCGATGACTACAGTCTAGCCTCCATTGACGACGGTTCCATGAACAAAATCAAGGTTGAGCCGAAGTCCTCGCCAGTTCTGGCCTCTTCCCCTATTCTTTCCCCTCCAGTTGCAGCAAGTCCTTCATGGCACACCGAGGAAGCAGACCGATCTTCCCACATTGACGACGTCGTCAAGAAAGAGACTTCTTCTGGTTACTTCAACACAACTCACCTTTCTGGTTTGAATGGAACCCAGTATCCCATCTTTCTTGATCACGAAGCCTTACAGCCTGGCAACCAGAGCAACCACTTACCTATCTTCATCGATCGTGGTGTTCTCCCCCCTCCCTCAATCCCTGCTGATCAGCCTGTCCCTACAATCAAGGAAACATCTCAGTCTGAGTCCGACTATGATGGAGACGCCTCTGGGTTTTCCGAAGTTGAGGTCACCAACCAGGACAAAGGGAAGGCTCCAGTCAAGTTGTTGAACCCCTTCCATGCTTTCTCCAACGCATCGTCCCATGCTTCGGAGCACAACGTCGAGCAGTCTGAGCCTGGCAAAGAGAAGGTCTTTCTACGCCCTCACGCCGAGAAAGAAGTTTCTCGTGCTCTTCACCACATTACTGGTCTCAGCCAGCCATCCAGTGGTCTCATTGGCCGTGTGCGTCATTCAAATCTTCAGAATTCACGTCGGTCACCTTATCACAGCAGCTATGATCAGCAAAAGAACGACTTCTACCATGCCCCAGCTATTCAGCCCGACTGGCAGATCACTCAATCCGGTATCAAGGTTCCTGTTCCTGTTCCAGCCCCCTTCACCGGAGATGAGATTGGTATGCAAGTAACAGAGCCGTACAACGCCATCGATCACACACGCATGGCCACAGTCGCCTCAGAAGATGGAGAGGAGCGCACTGGCTTAGAGGGAGATGAAGACTGGCGAACTGTCACTGATGACCGCGAGTTCCCTACAGGCTTTGTGGGCAGAGTCATGACTGGTAGCAGCATTGCCAACGTCTCAGATGCACTTCTGGTTCAACATCAACAACAGCATCCTGTCACCCACCACACTACTTCCCACAAAGGCTGTGAGCCCTCCACCACCAGAGCGAGAGCATGGTGGGAGAAGTCCACCCCTCTACCGTCGATTCCCTCTCGTTCTGCCTCTCCCTCCTATCCATCGCCTCCTGCGCGCGCACTGCAGAATAGGCAGCGAAGACAAGACGGCTGGGAGGAGATCGAGCTCGACCCCATGCCGGCTCCCTATCCGGACTTCTCTTGGGATCGCATCCGGAACCATCGAGCACAGCATAATGAAGAGGCAGCCCGGCCCAGCCGCAACGAGTATGCCAACCTGCCGTTCCCCCTGGTCCCCCGTGAGGACGCAGCCAAGCTTCAAGCTTTCCGTCGTGCGAGCGGCCTCGAGGATCATACTCTTTCAGGACACATCCTCTCCCCCGGCCTGCCTTCTTCCTCAAACGGCGGTAGCCACGTCTATCCTCGCCCTGCCTTGAGAAAGAACTCTGCAAGGTCATTCCTCTCCCGCACCGAGAACCCAGGCATCGATCGCCGTACCATCTTCATTGGTAAGTATACAGTCTCCGCATTTCTATGCCCTCCTACCCTCCCAATATCTATATAAAGCCCTCCCCTTCACCCTCACTTTGCTGCTTTCTTCCTCCTCTTCTTCCTACAACACTTTCCAAACTCAGGGTTGGTCACCCAATGTATAAATAACCAAGAACAAAAACAACAAAAAAACCTCAGCTTCAAACTTCTCCCACCTCAGCTTCAAGATCCCGTTCGAATCTCTGTTCGAATTTTGTTCGAAGAAAAAAAGCTCGAAATTACTTCGGGGGGGAGCAAACCCCTTTGCTCGAAGCAAGTCCTTTGCTTTTCATTTTAGGGTCTCAGGCTAACCTCGACTGCTTCCAGATCGCCAACAACACCCCTTTGGGCGGCCGACCCGCGAGTACTTCCCAACGCAGTACTCGTCGGCGTCGCGCCCCCAAACCACCACCGACCAGGCGAGGGCGAGGGAGAGGGTCTCCACCCCTAGCAAGATGGCAAACATCAGCCATCAAGCTGCGGCGGAGGCCCTCGCCATCGACCAGTCTGCGGGCCGCCGGGCCTCTCCCCACCTCTACTCCTCCGAGATGATGGAGAGGTACCGTGCCCTCCAGGCCGTCCGTCAACTCGGCGGTCGGGGCACGGATACCGAGCTCGCGGACATGGCGGCGACCGTCCGGGACCAGACCCCCCTCTCGCGGGGCGCGGTCCGCCGCCAGGCGGTCTTCTACTACGCGGTGATGGGGGCGACCCTGTTGCTGCCGTTCGTGGGGGCCGTCACCCTCGTCTGGTCGTGGGATCGGGTGTTGGCGGGCCTCACCGGCGGAGAGTGCACCGGCCTCTCCTTCCACCAGAGACGCAACCTGCGCATCATGCTGCTTGTCGGCATGGCGCTGTGGGTTGTGGCTTTCGTGGGGGGATTGGTCGCATTCCTCTCTCTGCGCGGTTGAGCGCCGAAGTGTGTCTACGGTCTTTTTTGTCGTTTGTACGAGTAAGTGAGTTGCCCCTTTTCTTAGCAGTCAATCTCCTTGTGAACAGGATTCTAATTTGGATAGCAGACTACGATACCACGAGAAGTGGGGGGTCCCTGCCTACGGGCATACCCAGTTATGCCAACGTTTTGCGGTCTTGTTCTTGGGGGAGGCGCGCGAGAAAGGAGAGCCTGGTGATGGTGGTGGTGATGGGGATGGTGGACGGCGGCGGCCGAGGGGGAGAAGAAGAACCCTAATTACATGGGGAGAGGGCGACACCTTTGATACCATACGACCACGTACCTCACCGGAGGCTTCATAATACACACTCCGCCGATCCCATATCTCGTTTGACACCCTTCGTGATATATCTGCCCGTGAACAGCCGCATGAAGGCGCCTAAACCAAGGAAGTTCAGCTTCTTTAACAAGTCAGGTCAGTAGCTGCGGCGCAACGAGCGATGGATACAGCCTCCAGGCCATCGCTTCGATAAACCTTTAGCGGGCCTGTGGGCTAAAACATGTAAAGCCGAGCTCTGATGTACCATAAACGACCTGCAGGGGCAAGAGGCACTGGTTCAATAGAGAGGCCGAAGCTTCGGTTCCTTGCTCGAGTGGGAACACAAACCTCGGACGCAGCTCTCTCTCATCACGGAAATTTCAAGGGTTCCCCGTCTGCTGAGATTGGTAATGATTCGGGCCGGCTGCACCAAGTCGAACAACATAAACTGCACCTTGCTCAATCCAGTCGATTTAGTAAGGTTGTGGTAACCTCGCCTGTCAGATGTATGCAAACGGTACAGAGCCCTCGGAAATTCGAGGTTAAGAGCGTCAATAAAGAGGCTGGTCACGAAGAGTACGCAAGTGGAACAAGTTTTTAAATGTGCTCACTGAATTATAGAAGCAACAACATGGTATCTAAACGCTCTGGCCGCCTTCAAAGGAGAAGGCCTTACCCCTTCGAGAGAATCACGCACTCAACCGCGACGGCGGGTGCTGGGACCCTTCTTGGCGGGCGTCGAAGTAGCCGACGAGGAACCGGTGGAAGGGGCAGCAGGGATGGGAACTTTCTGCTTGCCCTTGGCCTTCTTGGAGGGCGCGTTCCAGTAGTACGCCATCTGGGACGTGAGGACGGCGTTGAGGAGGAAGCCGGCGATGAAGTTGTACAGGATGAGCTTGTCGTCGACCTCCTGGAGGGTGGTGAAGATGCGGGAGAGGGAGCCGGCGAGGTAGTTGAAGACCTTGTTAATCACACATGTTAGCACTTTGAATCTCTCGAGGCTTTCCCAGACGGGACGAGGAGAAAATCGACTTACAGCAAATGCGCTGAGCTGCCCAGTGCCACCCTCGGACCAAATCGCCAGAATCTGGGGAACCTTGCTAGCGACGCTCAACACGCCCGCGCCAGCCTGCAGGTATCCCAACGTCTGCATATCGACCAAGCTTCCAGCGAACAGCGTTCCCAGCGCAACAGCCAACGCCGTCACGAACACGGCAGCCAGGCTCGCACGGCCGGTATAGTTGAGCACCAAGACGGTGATGATGACGTTCTGGCCCATGATGAGCGCCGTCTCGCCGTAGGTGCTAAAGGGGAACTGGTTGCGGTAGTTGTAGGCCAGCGAGACGAGGTAGGAGGCCGTCTCGAGGAGGTACGACAGCACGGAGATGCCCTCGCCCGACTGCGACGAAGTGAGCTTGCGGATCTGCGGCAGCTTGACGATGCTCGAGACGCCGACGATGCCGAGGCCGATGCCCTTGGACAGGCCGAGCTTGATGCAGTCTACATCCTCAACGTTGATGTCCAGCAAGAGGGACTTGTAGCAGTGCTCGCCGATGATGGAGACGCCGAGGTCGCGGATCGGGGCCGGGAGATTGTGAGTGACAGGTTGGAGGGCGGAGCGGACGGCGTCCATGATTGCGGCTGGGGTGTCTGGCGACGGGGAACACGGGACTGGCTTGTACTTGGAATTGGCTCAATCTATGTGTCGGCCGTCTTCAGTTGTCGTGTCGTCAGGCTATATGGGAGAAGTTGCGACAGATCCACTGGGAAGAGCAGAGCAGTGAAGTGAAGAAAAAAATAGTCAGCAGATGTTGAGGGCCACCCGGCGGACACGTTGAAGGAAGGGTTGAGGTCACTGTGAACCCTGAGATGGAGGTAAGGGGGCAGTGAATTAAACCAGTCGGGGAATTTCTAGTGGAGAGCTTAGCTGCAGGAGCTGACCAATCTCAGGCCTGTGAAATCCTAGCTACACCACCCCACGTCATCCCTGCGCAGCACTGTCCGTTCGTCCAAGTCCCGTTGAATCGCGAGTGAACAGTTCCTAAATCGCCATATGAATCACCTTGGGATATAATCGTCGGGTTGTCGTTGGAAACTCCTCTTCATACCTTGTCGAAAGCTTCCTCCAAACCGATGTCGTATCCACTGAACGCCTAGAAACCATGAAACCCAAATGAACCCGAAATACCGATAAGTATCAGTAACGCCAGCAAGAACCCGCCTTTCTCGACGGCGGAAAGCCGTTCACTTCTTACCCCTCTCCTTCTTCTGGGAAGCATTGAAACTCTTGATGAGAGCAGCGCACTTGCTTAGGTTTCCCTTTGGCTCCCATGTATTCTGGTTCGCGCTGTACCCCTTCCACTTCACCATGTACATCTGCACCTTGGTCTTGGGGTCAACGCGTGCGCCAACGATCTTCTCAACGACGTAGAACTCCTCAGAATAAGTAGGAGAACTCGAGGTGCCTTTGACAGGGCTTTTCTTGGTGGCCTTCTTGGGGCGAGCCACGCCTCGGTCATGAGTCGTCACAGCCTGTTGTGGTGTCAGTCCCAATGCGGTCTTGAAGTTAGGCATGACCAAACCGCTACCTTTTTCTCTGGAACTGCCTTCTCGATTGTAGAAGCACGAGTGGATCGACGGAGAGCCGTGGCTAACGCATAGAAGAGATTAGAAGTCGTAAAAGAAGTAGGTGAAGACGACCAGAACGCAAGTGAACGCAAGTGCATTCACTCCTGAACTTACCTTTGGTCACTGGTCCAACGGCAATCGGTTTACCAACCGACTTCTTGGACTTGGCCGAGCCAGCATTGGAAGACTTTCTGGGACGACCACGCTTCTTAGGAGCTTGCACCGGCGGAGGGGAATCATCGTCTCTCTCAGTATCACTAGGACCTTTCTCGTCGGGACCGTTTCCCTCCTCCTCAGAGTCGGAAGTATCGAGGGGATCCAGGGGAAGTCCTTTCTTCGCGGCAGGCGCGGCTCTGTTCTCGATCGAGGCCCGAACACTCTGAGCAGATCCAGCCAGAGGCTCCTGGCCTTCAAGCAGCTTACGTCTCTTGCTAGCTTTGCTGGTGGCGGGTTGACTAGACTGGCGCTTTCTGCTGGCCGACTTCTCGAGGGCACCAGCTGGCTCGACCAAGTCAGACTCGATCTTCGGGATCAGGTCGTCTTCGTCCTCATCCTCGGCGCCGTTTGCTTTGCTGTAAAGACCTTGGCGTTAGTGAGGGAAATAACAGAGGCGCCGAAAACTCACGCTGCAGCCGAGGAGGCGGCAAGCTCGTTCTGGGTCATTGCAACCTCTCGGCCCTTGAAGACCAGTGGCACCGACATCGTAAATGGGGATGATCGTGATGAGATTCTTCGGGAGGATGGTGTAGAAAGAAAGTGGAGTATAGCGAAGCTACTCGGAATGGTCAGATTAAGACCCCGTGCGCCTTCGTCTATCTTGAGTTAGGTAAGGTAGCTTGGGTAGTGATGGAAGGAGGAAGAAGCTCCTTTCCAGTCTACTTAAGTTGGAAGTAGGGCGACGTTGCCGAGTCGGGAAATCATTACTCAAGAAAAGAGCCTCAACGACCTGACTGAGCTGAGGAAGGTCCGAGAGAGGGGGGGCAATTCAGAAGAGGCAGGCAGTTGCTTGGGAAAAAGATCCTCTCGGGCGAGTTTGATCGAAGGTGGACGTATAACTACGTCGCTTCCTTCCACTCGCACCAGGCCCGGGGTTCTATCCTAATGGAAAGTAAGTCCACCCGGTGAGCTGACCAGTTGAGCCACCTGTTAAGTGCTTGAGTTGGAATATAAATCAGTAAATTGGATAATTTAAGCCAAAAGATGCCTAAGTAGCCACAGCGGACGGGCATATCGGCAGTACCCCAGCCTCGAGACAATTCTACTCGTACCTACAATTGATATATACCTCAATAATGTGCTTCAAAGGTCCAAGATGCCAACAAAGCACCGGAACCGTCCAGTCTTGGTTAGGTGTTTATTATTAGAAGGCACCTCGCCTGCGGGAGCGAGATGCAAGGGCGAACAAGAAGTCTGGGATGGGAACAAAGAAATCATCTTGAGGGATCTTGTGGACATATACTTAGGACGAGCAATTGTTCACTACTCACTGTCGTCTTACTTACGGGCGAATGAAACTGAGATGTGCTCACCTCTCCCCAGTCCAGGTCTGAAAAATCAAGTACAGCTCGCGCCTTTGCTTCTGAATTTCATTTCTAGGTACCAGGGGCGACCTTAACTTGACATGGCCAGGCCTGCTGGGATGGAGGACGGTCTGGAAAAGCCTCAGGCAGGGCTGGATGGGAATCACGTCAGAAGATAGAAATGTCAGTAGCCAGCCGGACCTTTACTCATATCAATCCATCGCTGAATCAAGACCACCAAAAGTTGTGTCAAGCTAAGGTACCTTGAATGACTACGCCAATGCCTGATGCACGTATGCTATTCTCTGACAAGTTCAACCCGTCCCTATGCTATGCTCCATCTTAATCGTCAAGCTCCTCCACTCGCTTATCACCAAAGTCATGAAGTTGCCCTGACCTCGCCGCCTGCTCCACAGGGTTCTGGATATCAACGACACCTGTCTTCTTGAGCCTAATGATCTGTTAGCATGTGTCCGAGTCGTGGGGCAAGTGCCATCTTGCCTTTCAAACAGGACGTATAGTCTCTCTGCCTCTCTCTCCTTTTCTTCTTCTGTCATCTCCGGAAGTTCAACGTGTTTTTCCTTGTCTATGAACTGTCCTGTAATGGGGTTGACGGGCCGCTGCTCCTCGCCCGTGCTGAACGCTTCGGCAGCACTGGCAGGGATGGGAATGTTGTTCTGGAACAGGAAGCCTGATGCAAAGCCATAGCCGACGTTCTCAATAAACTTTGAAGCATCCTTGTCTGACATGTCAAAGAGAAGATGGGAGATGGCCTCCCGAAGATGAGGAGTCAGGGGGTTGGTGGAGTTGCGCAACAAGCGCGACGTCAATGAGGTACCGCGGCCAAGAACCTCCTTTCTGTCCTGCTCAGTGGGAAGAAGCTTCTTCCTAATAGACGTCTTGGCACCGTCAGGAGCGCCATCGTGCACACGCCGCAAGACACCTATAAGCGGCGTTACCAGCTGCTCCAGTTCATTATCGGGATATGCCTTCAGAGCCGCGTCTAGTATCTCAATAAAACGATCCGCTACCTTTGCGGGTTCAGTCTTGGGATAAAGCGCCCCCTGGACATCTTTGTCCTCCAACTTGAGATCCAGCAAAGCGTTGACAAGGGTATTGAATGGTGGGTCGAGGGGTTTATCTTCGGGAATGTCATGCTTCCAAAGTAGTGCAATGATGTGTGGAATGGCGCCTGTGAATGCCGCCACTTCCGAGGGGCAGAAATGCGAGACGTTGAAAAGTAGCTTCAGAGTCTCGTTGAGCGCCATGTCTTCCATAGGATCGGCTGACACATGGGTCTGGGAACTTCCCAAGCGCTTTTGGTGCTTGGAAAGATTCTCAATCACGATATCGGCCAACCTGTGTTTCTGAATCAGAGCAAGAAGATCGATTTTCGTTCCGTAGGTGGTGAGGAACAAGACTCTGGAGACCAGGAACTCATCGTCGAAGCTGTCATTCTTCAGTCTCCTGCAAGCTTGGTCCTCGTAGCCAAGGTCAACAAATGTTTGGCGAGCGTTAGGATTCAATAACATCGTGTTGGCCAAAACTCTCAAAGCTGCCCTTGCCGTAGAGTTGGACGGGCTTACGAAGGCATGTCTTGTGAGCATCTCGATACCCTGTAGTCTATTAGTATCAACAGCACTCATAGGAAGCAGATGGGATGACCTCTGGTGTAAAGATAGGATCAGCGTTGGTAGGGTCCCGCCCGTAGATCTTTAGCTCTTCAAGAGCAGCATCACGCTCTAAGATGTAATGTTAGCTGGATGACTGAGAGAAGCATTGCATCGTAGATCAAACTTACGCTGAGGGAGCAGGGTGGGTTTTTTCAGGTCGTCTTCCAACTTCTTCATAAGAGCAGTGACAGCCTCAAGTTTTGCTGAAGAATTGTCAGTGAGACAAGTTCATGGGCCTGGTCTGGTCGGGCAACCTACCAGGGCCGGCCAGGTTGGCCTGCATGGCGAGGGGCTGTGACATGGTACGGCGGGCGGAGCTGTGCTTGTAGTCGGGATCGGCAACGGAGCGGAGCTTGGGCGAGCCCGGCCGAGCAAAGCTAGGGGCACTTGATTTGCGGCAGACCCTACGTTCCTTGACGCTCAGCATTCTCTTCAACTTGGAAGCCATGATGGACAGCACACTTCAGAAAGGAATGTGAGATGCAAAGACAAGATTGGTATACCTTTTGGGGATCACAAGATGGAAGATGATCACTTCCTGCAGTGGCGAGAAAATGATATGCGGTTCAACGGATGTGATTGTGGCACTCGATCTCGAATTCAAGTGGCTTGATGTCTGACCGACCTCGACGATTTCGGCCTACCTTAGGTTCGGTAGTGCATCAACCACAAATAGCTAAATCTGTCGAGCTTCGATTCGTGTGAGTGATGTAAGTTTGCCAACACCCAGTCGACCTTGTTGAATGTGCAAGGTAGAAGATATTGTTGATCTGTTGGTGTAGTCGTTTGTTACAGTGAAGATGTGGCTGTGGTGGAATGTCGAGGTATCTGGCTGAGAAAGGGGAATGAGCCAGATGGGAGACTGACCGTGAGACACCAGCAATCCTTCCTTCCGTTCCTCCACCGTCGTTACACAAGAAGAGGGGCACTCGGTGGCCCGCCAGGCAGTTGGCAGTTGACGCGAGCGAACCGACCGTGCACTTACGCAGTACCTAGGTACCGGGTGCGCAAGCCACACCTGTGGCAGGAGTGTCCTTCTGACCTTAGTAAGCATCATGCTCGAAGCTGTGGGGCACTTTCCATGTTGCTATGGTGCGGAACACTTCCATTTGGGATGCGATTTTGGAGACTGCGGTGGATGCCATTCATTCCACTGCCCCACTCTTTGACGGTCGGCGGCCCAACCCCCGGGCAACCAGGCAGCGCCAACGACTGGGGTACACGACCTGCACGGGCCACTTGTTTAAGTGGTTTTCGCGCTCAACTCGCGTTTTTTACGTGGAATCGTGGACGTGTTTAAGCATCCTCAAGCGCTAGCCAATTAACCAACCCGCTCCACCCTTATATCGAGAAGAGAAGGTCGTGCTGAGGTGCAAAAAGTCGTGTACTTGCGCGAACTTCCATACTACGGATACCTGACCAGACAACCCCGACCCCGTGTCCCAAGTCACACTCCGTACCTTGGTCGTCCGTACACGGCTTCGCTCCTTCGACCGTCTCCATACCTCACTCTCGTTTCCGCCGGAAAGCCCACCTCCTCCCGTCACTCTCTTCCATTTGCATTTGCATAGTGAGCGAGATTTGTACATTGCCTTTGGTTTTACGCATACGCATCGTCATTTCCTTCGTTTCCCCTGGCTGGAGTCCGACGCACTTATGCGCCAGTCGACATAGAGCAGAGCTTGCCCGACTCTGGTAATCCCTTCCCACTCGACGGGAACCTCTTCGCAACCATGGGATCTGTTGAAGTTGTCTCGAGCCGACTAGAGTCGCTACCCCCTCGCCCACCGACACCACCCCGCGAGACCAGCCTGGCTGCCGATGCCACCACTTCGAAGCATCTCCTCGTCCTCCCTCCTTCCTCAGACCCTCGATCGAGTCTCCAGACTCCACCGAGCGTATACTCACCACTTTCCGGAGCTGACTCCACGAACCCGAGCGGACGAAGAGCAAGAAAACGTGTGGGCTTTTCTGCCCAGGCGCAATACAACGAAGCCCCAAAATACCCAGGTCTAGCTGTTGCCAAATCCCGATCATCGCCTCTATCGGCGCCGTCCTCGACTCAGCCCAAACCTGTCAAGAGCATCCTCAAACAAACCTCTTCGCCGAGTCCCCTGAGTTCAAGTCTCAAGCCAGATAGCTTGACGACATCAGCAAACATATCAGACATGTTGGAGTCAACGGTGAAGCAGCTCGCCGGAGCAGACAGGGACTCGAAGCGGGATGCCTACACAACACTGGTCATGACGCTGAAGACGTCCAACAACCTCCCGGACCGAATCGCCCTTCAGTCTAAGATGGGCCTCTTCGTGCAGTTCATCCAACGAGACATCACCTCCAAGAATGCCACCAACGGAGGCCCAGATGCGCCTCTTGTCAACAACGCCCTTTCTCTTCTCGCTACTTTTTTGCATTTTCCCGCCATTGCCTCGACGATACCCAGCGATTTCGGCATTTTCTTTATAGATCACTGCATTCGATCCTTTGAGGATCCTGCAACACCGAAGGATGTGGCTCGGCATCTAATGCAAGCCGTCGCCACGCAAGACTTCTCCACAAAGGTCTTGGCCTCGGATCGCGTTCGCCGCCTCATGAATGCCCTCCGCAACATCGAAGACAACCTGAAGGGAAAGAGCATTGTGATGTCTCGAATTCTCATCTACAAACGCCTGGTTCAACAGTCACGCCAGTTGATGGTGCTTCACTCCGATTGGCTAAATGACCTTTTCACGGACATGCTGAGCAGGGTCAAAGAACTGCGATCTGCTGCGATATCTCTTGGTCTGGAAGCGGTCTACATATTCGGAAAGGAGAAGTCACTGTCTCGGAAGGTGATGGAGCTCTTTGATACATCCATTGAAGAGATGAAGTTCGCAGAGTATTACCACCAGCAACTGAGAACCATGGCAAAGGACAAGGACGACAGGCAACTTACAGCTTCAGTTCCCAAGATCTGGAGCGTCATCATTGGTTTACTGCGCTGTCCTCTTGACAAATGGCAATTCTTCAACCAATGGTTGCAGCTCATTCAGATGGGCTTCAACAACAGCGATCACCCCCAAACTAAGCAGGAGGCGAATTTTGCATGGAACCGTTTCGTCTGGTCTATGCATACCGAAGGCCAGTCCTTCGTCAAGCTTCTCCCCATACTTTACCAGCCACTAGGCAGCCAGTTAAAGTCAAAGTACACAAACAAACACACTCGAGAGGTCGTTTTTGGCAGTGTATGCAACCTCCTCTACTACACCTTCAAGCCGGGAACGAACAGTGCTCTTCTCGACACCTACTGGGACATTTGCGTCAAGCCCTTGGTAGAGCCACCGAAAGCGCAAACAAGGAACCCCGACGCCGTTGATGAGCATATGCGGCAGATAACACTAATTCTCACCGGTCTTTTTGACTCGACAACACCTCGGATTTGGAGGGAGGAGCGTATTAGAGAGACAACTCTTGCCCGGCCGAACGAGCTGCCAGCTATCGATCCCAAGTGGCTCCGACGCAATGTTGCTCGTGTTTTTCAGACTTTGGAAACTATCATGGATAGACACTTTCTCGAGCTCTCGGACAAGAACAGCCAAATCCATCGCTTGTGGCGCACTTTGGTGGGGGCCATTGTCTCGGCCGCCTCCAAAGAGATCAAGGTTTCTGTCGACACCGCGGCCTTCATTTCCCAAGTGTGCGGTCTTTTGCTAAAGCATTGGGAGACTGGCTTGACGGAGATTGAAAATCCTACTCCTGAGATGGCGACTAAGTTCCTGGACAGCGCTCGTGAACTCATCATAGTCGCTGTAGAGGCCCTGGGTCTTCGGCCTTTCACCGAGAAGATGATCTCTCTTAGTCGTCTTCATACCTTCACACCTGTGTCGACACCGTCCCATAAGCCGGCGAAGAACGCTGGTGACGCCCGGACTCCTCTACAACATTTGATCGGCTTGGTCTCTCGGCTTCCCCCGGGTATCCCCGACGGGGAGGAGTACGTCGAGTTTTTCAAGACGTTCTTTGCACCTTTCTTGGTCCAGAAGTCAGCAAACTCTCGCTTGGAGCTGGCACAAGAGATGCTGTCGGCCACTCCAATTTGGTCGCCGCCGGTCAATCAACTTCCCTATGCACCATGGGTCTTTGCTGCGGAGTGCCTATCGGCGACCTTCAGCTCACCCCAAAACAGCACTCCAACAACTAGCTCAATGGTTGAGCCGTCACTCGGTCACGAATACCGCACCGTGGTGCGTCTCCTGGAACGAGGATGGAAAGAGACTTCCAATCTACCCTGGGAACCCTGGTGCTCGCTCTTCGCGAAGTTGTCGGCCCGGTCTTACCAGGAGACTGGCGAAGCTGGCCGCGCTTTAGGCACTATTGAGCCGCTTGCCAAAATCATCCGGGAGTCTATCCCTGCCGATCATGCCTTGCCGCTGCCGACAAAGACACTTCTTGCAACAACTGAGCTTCTCTCCGCTGCTAGCCACCCATTAGACAGGCAGGCATTGGAAGCTGCTCGGCGCAGGTTATGGGGTACAGCAGTTGCGGGACCTAGGTCATCCTCCTTCGATCCGTTCGATAACTTTTACAAACTGGTCAACGAGGTGATGGAACGACTCTACGAGGCCGGCGAGCGTGGAGATGTGGACGAACTTGCCACCCAGCTTCTCAGGGCAACCGGTTCCTTCCTTTCTCGCTGCAACCCGGAGCTTGTTTGCAGAACTGTATCGAACTTGGAGAGTGGGCTTGCCGTGTGGATCCGGGACTCGCAGGGTATTTTGAAGGCCCGACAGAGCCCTGCTGCACCTGAAGCTGTGAGTCTTACTACTAAGAGGGAAATCTACTTTACTGACCAACAGCAGGTTAAGCATCTCTGGGAGACCGTTTCCAAGGTCATTTTGCCTAGCGGCAAGCCAGAAGAAGTGCAGCTCGAAACCTTCGAGGAACTTATCTGCGCTGCCTTTGAAAGCAAACACCGCCATATTGTCAACTCTGTCGCAGAGGCATGGAATCGGATCTACGAGAACGCGGAACAAGTTCAGTACCCTGAACATCTCAAGGCTGTCTTACTAGGCATTCAACCGGTTGTGACCCTCGTTCTTCCAGGCTTGGAGATCGCCAGTGTGGCGTCTACGGACCAGAATCACTCGTTCGTCGAATCGCAGGATGACATTGAGATGCTCACCGTATCCTCCACACGTTCATCTCGAAAGAGAGCTCAGAAACCGGCTACATCCAACCAATCATCGCCTCTCAGCTCTGTCAAGCTGTCGCTCTCTGCGAAGAAGCAGCTGGACAACACTACACCTATGAAGGGTCGTGGAAGGCCCCGGCGTAGCGCTGCAGCCAAGGCGCGGTTGAGACATGACGACTCTCAGATTCAGTTCGCGCCCATTGAGAAGTCTCCTTTGAACCCGGCAGTTAACGCCGAGTCTCAAGTTCTCACGGAACGCCAGAAAGAAATCAGGGAGAGGCAGAAGGATGCCGCGGCGCTTTACCCAGAAATGCGGTCAAGCCCTCAACAGCAACAACCACAGGTCACTGAGGAGAAGTCGACCGCCCCTGAGATGGTCGTCGAGACCCCCAAGGATGTGACACCTAAGCGCAACGCTAGGTACGAGGAGTTTGTCAGCTCGACCCCGACACCTCGCCGAGGTCAGACGATGGCCATGGCAGATAATGATCAGGAGATGACGGATCCTCCTTCTTCACCTCTGGAGCCCCGACCTTTCCCTCTGCTGCCTCAGATCAAGTCACGATCTAGCAGTCGCAGCGAGCTGGAGAACTGGCAGTTTAGTTCTTCTCCTGTGTCTGGCTCTCCATCTCCCGATGCCGCCGTCATGGCCGATGAGCCTACAGATCTCGACTTGGCCGACAGCGCAACCTCCCAACGTGTCCCTCGAGGAGGTAGCCCGGATCTGTCAGCAGTGGATGACTCGTTCCAGATGGTTCCCTCAAGTGCCGTGGAGGAGCCGGAGCTCCCACCGCCTGCCTTCGAGACCGCAAAGGAGACGCTGCAGCCCGATGAATCTCAGCATGATATTGCGAAATCCTCCGCAGGAACTCTTCCCGACCCTGCGCCATCAACCCCCAAGAACAACCGAGTGACTGGCGTAGAGGAGCCCAGGTCTGGTCAGGAAGTCTTTGTCGACGCGCCCTCAAGCCCGCAACCCACAGTACTTACCAGGTCCGCCTCACGCGCAGCTGCCATCAAGGACCGCTCCTTTGAGATGAGTGACGGAGACGAAAACAGCATGTTGAGGCTTGTCGTCGAGCTCGACCGTAGGCGGTGCGAACTCCCGATCAACGATTACCCTGCCATTTCCCCTCCAAAATCTAATAAGGGTCCCAGAAGCGCCAAGAAAGAAAAGCCTCCAGTGCTTGACTGCATCACAGTCCGAGGTGAAGATGACGAAGAGGAGGACGACGAAGAAGAGGAAGAAGACGAGCCAGCGGAGCTTGCTCTCTCACAGGTCCAGACAAGAGCCCGCAAGAGCAAGTCCCATTCGCCCGGAAGACCTTCAACTCCTGTAACTCGGTCGGCCGCTTCATCCCCGGACAAGTCAGCTAGGAAGCGGAAGAGGGGCGGTGCTTCCAACGTCGATACCCGCCACAAGAAGAGGAAGTCTACCGGCCCCTCAGAAATTGTCGAGTCGTCTCAGATCACCATGTCCCCGGTACTTGGGGAAGAAACCCCCCGCCGTCGTCGCAGCCAACGCATCAATGTCAACGACAGCCCTTCGAAACACTCCGTGGATCTGGATGCCGAAGTCAACTCTCAACTGGTTAATGAGCAAGAGGAGGCGGACTTCCGGGCGAGTCAATCATTCGAGGAGCCGGAGCTGGAGCAGACAACAACCATGGCACACGAGACGGCAGAAGACTCCATGGATGTTGATGACGCCGATGCCACTACTGTCGCTGAAGCAACCCCAGTTCCCGAAGCTCCTGTCGAAGAAGCCACCAAGGATGTCAACATGATTGATAATCTGAGCGGCGTTCTCGCCAGTCTTCGCTCAGCAGCACTATCACGGGAGGAGGTGTACAAGATGGAGGACATGCTCATGGATATCAAGAGAGAGCTCTTCGCCGCCGAGGCTCGTGGGCGAGCTTGACCAGGGTTCTACTACCACTACCGACACTGACGCGGAATGCAAACATCCGAAAACGACCCGCTACCGCTTGTCATCATTTCCCTTTTGTTTCTTACGTACTGGCCTCGCGAGGACACTGTCAATACGCCTCCGCCACGCCACATATACATGTACATTCACGACGACGATGGGTGTGTCAGCAACGCCCGCCATGCATTGTTGGCGTAGATCTTTGGTTTTATGAGTTGAAGACGAAGAGAGCAGAAGAAGGAAAGAAAAAAAAAACATTACTTGGTTTTTTTTTTGTTAACTTGTTCTTGTATGGAAACTGGGTATAAGGGAAAATTCATGGCATGAGACTGGATTGAAGTTGGGGAGGAGGGGCACGGGAACGAGGAGGGGAGGACAGGGGGGGACACACCATCCTCGACTTTATCATGTATTAGATTGTTGCAAACGCATCTGGAGGTTGATCGCCGCCCAGGATAATGAAAAGAGACCAAAAAGGGGTCAGAAAAGAGATAATGATGAGCTGTCATAGCATTATTGAGTATCCTTCGCACATGTGATCATCGAGGGTTGTATGTGTAAGAGTGTGCATGTGTTTTGCCGCATCAAGCGTGATGTATTCAAAAGGGGTGGTTTCCGGGCCTGCTTTCCCTTAACGCGCGCGCCTGCTGGTTCATGATAACTTTCGGCCTTCACTGTCTCTCCACGTCTGGCCGTCTAAATATCCCTTCTAGCTCAAGATTCTTCCTTTGGTTAGGTTTGTCCCGAGATTCTTTTTCCAGTTATTGCTTTAAGTCCTCCCTCCCCGCCTCTCTTTCTCGTTTCCTCACGCAACCCACCTGGTCGATGTGACTTGGACCCCACCTCCCTTCTCTCTCTCATTCTCACAGCTTTCCCCTCTCCACCATCCCCTGGCATCAGTTCGAGCTCGCCGTAATGACCTGGGCGCCCTCGAACGCGTCGCCGGGCTCGAGCTTCTGCCACTCCTTGACGGCGCCGGGCTCCACGCACAGCATGTTCTTGTAGCCGTCCTTGGGGGCGAAGTCGGCGATGCCTTGCGCCTTGTCGACCCAGGGGTTCCAGACGACGACGTTGTCGAGGTTGTCGCGGACGACGGAGAAGAGGGGCTTGCCGCTCTCGAGGACGGTGACGGGGGCCCGGGGGCCGCCGGTGGGGGTGTAGATGCGGTCCGTCTCTTGGGTGATGGTGACGTCGCCGGACTGGGACTTTGAGGCGCCGTTGTCGACTTTGTCGGTGTAGGCGGCGCCGTCGAGGCCTTGCACTGAGATGTTTGTGATGTCCTGTTTGTTGAGGGCGAGTTGCTGTTAGTTCATGGACTTGGGGGGATAGAAGCTTAGTATCGAGGCAGGGAGGGGTGGGACGTACGTTGACGCGTAGGTAGGTGTGCATCAGGACCTGGCAATCAAAGGCCTCCTCGCCCTCGTTCGTGATGACCAACGACGTGGACAGCGTCTCGCGGTCGAGCGACACGCTGTAGATGGCGCCAAACTTGTACCCCCACTTGGCCTGGGTGTCGGCGTCGAGGTTGGCCGAGGACAGGCCAAAGTCGAGCTTGACGGAGGACTCCGAGCCGGCGGACCCCTCGCTGGTGGACTTGCCGAGGAACTCCCAGCGCGAGCTGCGCGCGAAGCCGTGCTGGCTCAGCTTGGCGGTGGGCGGGTGGGCGTCGGAGGGGGGCCCGAAGACGGGGAAGACGAGGGGGATGCCGCCGCGGACGGGCTTGGAGCCGTCGAGGACGGTGGACTCGGAGAGCCAGAGGCGGTCTGCGCCGGCGGCGGACTTCCACGAGAGGACGGTGGCGCCGTGGAGGAGGACCTCGACGGACTCGCCGGTGGGCAGGGTGGCGGAGACGCGGGTGTTGTTGTGGGTGATGTCGACGGTGGCCTGGGGCGGGAGGCCGGGCGTGGTGGCCAGGGCGGTGGGCTTGTTGGGCCGGTCGACCATGTTTGCTGCTGCTGTGTCGCGGGGGGGTTATGGAGGTTGAAGGTGGGCTTTGGTGATTGGGAAGATGTAGAGAGGCGGGAGAGTCGTTGCTGTGTGTGTGTGACGATGCTTCTTTTGAGGTGTGTTTTCGCGGGGTAGGATTTCGAGGCGTTTGTGGAATGGAGATTATGGGAGATGGCGGGGGGTGGCTGCTCTTGAGCAACGGGGTTGGTGTGAGAGTTGTAGATATGCAAGAGGTTCTATCCGAGATGGGAGGAGAAGAGGTTGTAATAATCGGGAGGAACAGTTCGGGCGTTGGTGGAAAGTTGGGTACAATGCAACAAGCAACAATCGGATACAATGGCAACGGGTGGATGCCGGCTGCCAGTGACAAGGTCCCAGCAGATTCAGAAAAAGTCGTGTGTAAGCAAATGTCAACGGGGGGGTCTGTGTCTCTAAGGTAGGTAATGTTAGTCAGGCACGGAAAAAGTACCTTACGATGCTTACATAGGTAAAGTCACATACCTTAGCTAGCACTCTTAGGTAGCGGAAGAGGAGGGGAAGGTCGGTCAGCTTGCTGCGTTGGGATGTCTGCGTTGTCTACCTTACGTCTGAGGGGGGGAACCTGTGAGAGAGAGGGGAGGGGGGGCAACCGGGAGCTGGGTGAGGGGGAGGGGGAGGGGCAGCCCTGTCTAGCGTGTTGTAAGGCGTGAAAGGGTGCCCTGTGCTGGAGGGGACCTGGGAGTAAGGCAATTGTTGCCCATTCCGTCATGTCTTCCCCACTTGTCATTGTCACATCCAGGAGCTCTTCCCTCTCTTTTGCCTTAGGTAATGTAATGCACCTACGGAGTACTGCTTCACTGTTTCTGCTGGCATGAATGATGAAGGTGTTCTTGCGAAGGCAAAAGCTGCAACCAATCGAGAAGGGGGGATCTTCCCAAGCTGCGGCATCTCTGGAGCTCCCTTTTGTTTGTGAATCCGAGCAAGGGGTCAAATTTGCCCCCTTTCTTCTCTTTCTTTCTCTCATCTTTCACTCTTGAGCTCTTGGTCGCGAGGCCACCACACCCCCCATTTTGTCCCGCCTGTCATTCTGAAACGAGCTTCATCCTCAACCAAGCTCCCCTCGACCACCCCCCCTGTTTTGCCAAAGCCTCGGCAAACAACGACAAAACGAATATCTGCACATTTTCTGTGTGAGTTATAGAGATCGTGATAGAGGCAGCCCACTCGGGTTGTAGCCGAATCTGTCTCTCGCAATGATCCGAGAAGCGTGAATGTCGATGATGTCTCTAGGCTAGCCCGCTGCTTACTACGTGCCTCTTCAAGGCCAACCCATATTGACTATCGGGCATCTCGCCTTAATAGAGAAGACTTACTTACATTTGAGACAATAACACACGATTCAATTCTACATGTCCCCGATAACAAGATAATTGGAGACAAAAGGTTCTTCTCGGCCGAAACGCGTCAGGGGGCCAGAGAAACTTGCGCGAAGCAAAAAGTGGATGATCGAAGCTCCCGTTTGGTTTCTGTGGAGATGAAGAAGGAGGGAGGTAAGGGTATCACCGTATCAAGGATTCCCAACCGAAAGGGGCCCCGATGAATTGGGTTTCTAAGCTTCGGGTGCATATTGCCTCGCTGACCGACCGGCCGAGAATGCTAGGTTATCTCGTTCCCGGTTCAGGCCGCCAAAGGATAAACACGATTCAAGGCCGGCACATTGAACGGATGAACACATGAACAGTGAGTAAGTGATAATAGTCGTGTGAATAACTCCTTTCCCATATCTATCAACGACGAAATTCCCCACAGCGCACCTGAATAATACATACAACAAAACAAATCATGACTTTTGCACCTTGAACCCGATACTGTCCCGATCGTCCCTCACCACCCGTCCCCATTCCAACAGCAACCGAAACAGGTAAATCTCCATGTCCTCCCTCCGCAGAGCCTTGTCCACCCACCGCGCCCCCTGCGTCGCGATCCACTCGGCGTCCTCCCACCGCGCCTCAAAGTCCACCTCCCGCCCGTTGAGCTTGCCCCGGCCCTTGAGCCCGACAAAGTACGCCACCGTGCTGTGGAGGGCGTGGAACCGCGTGTCCACGGGCACGAAGTGCAGCCACGGGATCAGCCGCTCCGAGTACCACTCCCCAAACACGGACGACATGAGCGGCACGCTGCCCGGCGACCGGAGCGTCCGGAGCATCTGCGGCGGCGGCGCCGTGTCCTCGTCCAGCAGCATGACGTAGCGGTGGTCCAGGGGATCTTCCCCGGAGGCGGCGACGGGCTTCTGTCCCAGCTCCGCCTTGGCCGCCGCGCAGCCCGGTGTCTTGACGTCGTCGCACGCGTACTCTGCTATGCCGATATCGAACGGCAGGATGGCGTTGGCCTCCCGGGCGCGGACAATCTCGTACGCGTACCAGCTGCCCTTGGACGGCGCGCCGAGCATCATCGTGACGTCCTCCGCGGCCGTCGCGTTGTTGACCAGGTGGACGAGCCGGTGCTTGTGGTTCCCGCGCAGCGCCTCGTCGCTGATGGGCTTCTCACCAATCTTGCCCCGCCAGTACACGCTGTCCTTGCGCTGCCGAAAGTCCTTTTTATCCTCTGGCTCGTCTTCCGTCAGGGGCATCAGCGGCAAGAGAATATCGTTGAAGCCGTCGGCTTTGAACCGGCCAAAGACGGGCAGCAGCTCCTGCAACGGCTTGATCGGGGGCGCCGACGTGTGGAAGCTGTGGAGACGGGTGAGGTCTTGCTGGTCGCAGAGGCTCTTGGACTGCGGATAATTCCACATGAACTGCTCGTCTTCGTGCCACTTTACGCACGAGGTGCAGAAGTCGCGGACGTTCCAGTGGAGCCCTGACCTCCCTGGGGTGTTGGTCGGGCAGACAGAGGCCTCCATGTCCCGCCAGGCTTTGGTCGATTCGTACATCGCCTGCTTGGACTGAGGAATCGCCGGGGAGCCTCCCACGGCCTTCAACTCTGCGTTTCTCTTAACGTTGCCTTCAGGGGATGAAATTCCACCAGCACCTCCAGCCGAAGCATCCTCTATCGAACGCGACGATAGAAGCTTGAACTTCTGCTTCATTCCCGTGAGTGTGTATCTATTGAGCTCAGACCACGGTGTTAGGACCCGAGGCTGGTTGCTCAAATTAATGGGCAACTTCATGTCGGACAGATGCTCGACAAAGCCCCCGATCATGGCCACGAGCTCGTCTAGGACCTTCTTGTTGGCGTCATTGCCCTCGTAGTTGTGGGTAACCTGTTTGTTCTCGATCGTAACCACGGCAATATGAGGCTCTTTGGGTACCCTCTCATTGTAGGCTTGCCGGATCGCCTCCGGTTTCACGCCCCAGAAGGGCAGGATGTCGCTTTCCATCTGCTCAAAGTGGTCGATAATGACAGATTTTCGAGCCTTTGCGAATTCGTACCATTTGTCAAAGTTGGGAGGCGGGTCTCTCCCGTAATGCCGTTCGTGGTACACGTCGACGGCGACGTTCAGGTTGTCGCTGGTCATGGCATGGCGCATCCATCGATCGGACTCCACTCGAACATCGTAGATGAGTCTATTCAGCGGGTGCTGTTTGACTGTTGCCGACTTGAGAAGCCCGTAGATCGTCATGCCAACGAACATGGAGACCATGAGCACGAGGATAAGTGCCCTGGGGATGAAGAGCAGCGAGCGGACGTTGGTGCTGTACAGAAACATGCTGTAGCCAAGGACCAGGAGGTACAGAGGCCCGATGGCGCTTAGCCTGGATTCCATTTGCCATTTCCCAATGTGCATGATGTTTTGGGTGGCGGCCGTGAGGCCGCAAATGAAGGTGATGATACTAGTAGGGGTTACGGGATTTGTCTCATAGACAAGGATGCTCAGCGAGGTGACGAGAACCGCAAAAGCGAAGCTATCGATGAAGATGTCAAAGATGTATAGAGAGTCGATCCCGCTAAAGGAAGTCGGGTATCCCTCACTAGCGGAAACAAGGGGTGAGATGAGGATCTGGAAGACTTTGATAAAGACTCCCGAGAGGGCCAGAATGGTGCCAAGGGTCCTCAGACGGAGCTTCGTCGTCTTGGTCCAAGCCAGAATGCGCCAAACCAGGGAGACGATGACCGCATCCAAGAACAGTCCGAGTAGTTGGAAAGCAAGAGTAGTCATCCGGCTGTCCGATAGAGCGGAACAAAAGAAGGTCGACCTGGGATCTTGCGAGATGGCGACAAAAGTACCGTAGCTGAAGAGGCAGGCGCTTCCAAGCGCCAGCGTTCGGGAGCCGTTTGCCCAGACTGCAATGTCGTCGCTGATGCTTGCCCATGGGTCCTCCTCAGGGGGTGGTGGTCGGGCTCTTTGATAGTAGAGGATGTGATAGAGGACCAGATAGATACACAAGAACGACTATTGGGCCGTGTCAGTCTCGTCATTCACCTGAACATGGAGGCATATCCGCGACTCACCTGTACTCCCGGTACAGAGCATTGTAATTGGGCGGTCACACGATGAAAGACCTCGAGACGGAGGAAGATGCAAAAGATGAGCAACGGGGCAAAGTACCGCCGCGGTCTGGCGGGGATCGTCTGCTCAAAGGTGCTCTTCAAGCCCGCACGCTCATCTGAAAAGTGATGTCAGCACCGGCCACGGGGAATCCTCTCACAAGGCATACGACGAAGCATACCGAATCTTCCGTCCGCGCCGGGAAGCCATGCGGCGAGATAGCTCGCCAGCCATGTCAAACCTCCCGATAGCAGTAGTATCAGGACGGATGAGAGACGTGGATACTCTGGAACACAATTGCGTCAGCGGGAGAAGCTTCTTGCCGTTTCCCACGTGGTGAACGGGGATAAATAAAAGTCTTGGCAGACTCGGCCCATACCGATCAGAGAGTGCCCCTCAACGTTGGAGGATATCCAGAGAAAAGAACCAACAACACTGTAATTGTGTCAGAATTGAAATCGAGTAGTATCGGGAAAAATTGGGAATCTTCTTACCACAGCGCCGTCAGATGTATTTGCGCATCGCGTGCCATTGAGGGTGACTTTCACCAGCCTAAGCCTGGGTGGTCGTTTCGCTTCACAACGCAGCCACAAATGAAATCATGCGGTCAAGTAGAACCACAAGAGTCGTTTCAAATTCAACAAACCATTGAAATTTCAGTACATTTCTTTCAGTCGTAGGAGGAATTGATGGACGTGGAATGTGTACCGGCAGGCAGTCGTCGTCCTTCCTTCACAGGGGGTTGCCAAGTTGTCGAATTCTTACATAATCCAATTAAACATCCCCCCCTAACAGGGCAAAAGACGCGTCCTTCCTGGCCCTCCCCCCCTAGCACCGCCCCCTTGAACCGCGTCAAGCTTCCCACCCTCCACTTCAATCCCGACCGCTCCGCCGCCGACCCAACTTTCCGCCGTCCGTCCCGGCACCGACATGTGCTGACATCCCACACCACCACCATCCTCCGCCCCATCTCGAATTCCGCAACGTCGACTGCTACACAAAACCGCCCACGTAGCCAAAAAACCTCTACCAGCCTTCCCCCCTAAGTTCTGGAAACAACAACGACAACAACTCCCCCCCAAATGGCGCAACAATGGCCGGCATCAACGAAGCCCCCCTCATCAAACGCCTCGCCGTCCCCGGCTCCTGCGCGCTAATGGGCTTCCTCTCCGTCTCCTCCCAGATCCTCTTCTACGTCGCCGACGACTCCCTCGCACCCGGCCGACTCACCCGCTCCGAGACATACACCTTCAACGCCCTCCTCGCCTGCCTCTGGTACACATACTACAAGTCCTGCACCGTCGACCCGGGCTGCTACCCCTTTCCCGACGCCGCCGTCGTCGAGGTCCCCGAGCCGGACGAGTACGGCCTCGTGAGGCGCTGGTGCAAAAAGTGCGCCGCGCCGAAACCGCCTCGCGCGCATCACTGCCGGCACTGCGCGCGCTGCGTCCCTCGTGAGCAAAAACATCCCATCCCCCCCTTTCTAGTCTCGCTTAAGCAGAACGCAGTACACTAACAAACGAAACCTCCCCCGCTAGGCATGGACCACCACTGCCCCTGGACAGGAAACTGCGTCTCCCTCACGACATTCCCCCACTTCCTCCGCTTCCTCGCCTATACAAACTTCTCCCTCTGGTACCTCGCCAGCCTCCTCTACGCCCGCTTCGCCGCCATCTGGGACAACCGCCTCCTCCCCTCCTACCTCGGCCCTTCCCTCCCCATCCTCGTCCTCCTGACCCTCGACACCCTGATCTGCTTCTTCTCCTCCTTCGCCCTCGGCATCCTCTTCTTCTCCACCGTCCGCGGCTGGGTTCTCAACGAGACCATGATCGAAGGGTGGGAAGTCGACCGCCACGCCGCCGTCTGCGACCGGAACCGTAAAGACGCCGGCGAGTTCTGGTCCATGACGGGACCGGACGGGAAGAAGCTCCGGCTCGAAAAGGTGGAATTTCCGTACGACGTGGGGATTTATGCGAATTTGTCGCAGGCGATGGGTACTGCGAACCCGCTGCTGTGGCTGTTCCCCTTTGCGAGCAACCCACACATAAGCAAGGACGGTCACGGCGTAGGATGGGAGTGGCCCGAGAACGGGCTGAATCGCAAGGAGGGTATGTGGCCGCCGCCGGACCCGGATAAAGTGCGGCGCGCCGCGCAGGGAGGCTGGCCATCGACTCGGGACGCCGAGGATATAATGGTGCCGAGGTACGGGAGCAAGGAGGAGGAAGTCGAAGCTTTCAGGACGCGGCAGGACACGGATCGGCGGCGGTGGCAGAGTAACCGTTCGCGAATGATGGAAGAGTTGGAAGAGGTGGAGGGCTACGACATGATTGACAGCGATTCTGAAGATGATGGGTATGAGGAGGGCGCGGATGGAGAGCCCGGCTGGACGAACGCGGATGGCGAGCGGTTACAGGATTTTGGCGTAGACGAGGATGAGGATATGACTGACGACGAGGATGTACCTCTAGCGGAGCTATTACGTCGCAGAAAAGTACTGCGAAAAGACGGAGAGGAGTGAGCATCACTGGTCTTAGACAAAAAGAAAAAAGTAAACAGAAATTTTCTCTTTTTGGGGACTATTGCCCCCGGTTCTATACTACCTTCAATCGCCCTAAACCAACAAAGAGGGGGCATCCAAAGACGGCATCTGCGCTGGCCATGAATCCCCTTGACTCCCGAATCTACCAAACAGAAAAAATGTGCACACAAGACAGGATCAAATCCGCCTTTCCATCCGGGGTTGCCCTGATCCTGTATGCTGAAAGAACTTCAAAACAGCTTTGTTGATCGTGAACCGCTTGCCACTCTAGAAAGCAATCCGCCATCCTTTCTCCACCATCAGTCCAAAGAGCAATCGTGTCGTGCAATCATGAAGCATCATTCCAAGGGTCCAGATCTATCGACCCAACCTCATCCCTGACCCTTCCACACGAAAATTCGATTACCAATCGTCATCATCGTCCTTCTTCTGCATCGCGTTCTTGCGAGCGAGCAGAGCATCCGCCAAGCTGTTGCCCAAGCTGGGAGTCGGGGTGTTGCTACGGCTGTTGTCGGAGCCGCTAGCTCCGTTGAGGCTCAAGCCCGAGTCGCGCGGCTGAGCAACGGCCGGCTTGCGTCCAGCAGCGGGTCGCTTCATGGGCGGCTGAGGAGGAGTCGGCTTGCCACGGGCGGCCGCTCCGTTGGCCGAAGGAGGGGGAGGGGGCGGGCGAGGAGCCACGACGGGCGCGGGAGCCTGCTCCTCAACGTAGGCGGCAGGAACCCAGGCTTGAGCGCCACCATTCTTCGCGAGCCACCAACCTGTCACCAAATGTTAGTTTTTTTTTTTCGATGAATTTCAAATGAGGCAGTTGCTTACCGTTGTTCTCCTTCTGGACAACCTCGATCAAGTCACCGGCTCTGACCGTCAACTCGTTCTCCTTCTGACCAGCGAAGTCGTACAGGACCTTGGCCATGATCTTGGCCTTGGCGGGGGGCGCAGCGGGGGGTGGGGGAGGAGGCATTCTGGTCGCTGCAGAAGTTGATGATTGCTGTCTGGTATGTGAAGGAATTGAAGCGGCAGCGGCGGCGGCTTGTGGTTGTTGACGTCCAAATGGTCCAGTCTTGGCTGAGCTGATGGCAGCAGGAGGTTGAGGAACCGATCTTGCAGAAGAAGCAGCAGGTCGAGGCTGAGGAGTCCGGTTGGTGTTTGTCAGCCGAGAGGGTCTACCGTTGGGGCCACCAGGCTTGATGAGCTTGCCACGGGTAATGGGTCGAGCGGCAACAGGCTTGCCCTTGGGTGTCGGCTTGGAGACAGACGATGGAGACTCGCCCGGTTGAGTGTGTACACCACCGCTCTTGTAGAAGTCCACAGCCTGCTGAGAGTCCTTGAGGACCTTGACCGTTTGCATCTTGCCGGGCTTCTTTGCGTACTCAATCACTTCACCAATCTTGAGATTAAAGCCGCCAGGCATCACACGCTGCATTTGCGTGAACATTTCGGTCTTCAAGACGCAGTTCAACAAAGGATCAGCCTCCTGGGGCGAGCCCACACCCAAAGAGAACCAGTCATCACGAGCTGAGGAAGCTCCAATGAACTTGATGGCACCAAGAGGCATCGAGCGTTCAACGGAGATTTGAGGCTGGCCATTGACAAGCATCTGAGCAACAATGTAGAACTTGCTGCTGGTGACAATCAGGATACGGGGACTCGGCTTACTGGATCGGCCAAACTTGGCCTCCAGGATCTCTCCGCGGCAAGAGAAGACAACCTTCTCGTTGTTGGAGATGCCGATGGCGTTTCGAATCTGCGAGCCAGGTCCCATTGAAGCGTTGATTCCCATATAATCACCCAAGAATCTTCGGGAGCCGAGCAGACTGAACCTCCTTCTCTCCTTGCGGTTCTGGAGAACCCTGTGACCCTGGTCGCGCAACTGCAGGTACTCAGCTCCGGTTCTCTTCTTACGCCAGAAACGCTGGATACGAGTAGCAGACTCAGCTCTGTAGGCCAAGTACGCGCGCCACATGCGCTGAATACGGGTGGCCATGTTGTGCCAGTACCGGTCTCGCATGTGCTCAAGCGCAAAGAGGGTCTCGGGTGACTTGATAAAGGCCTTTGTCGTTCCCATCTGCCATTCTTCCTTGGGAATGCTGGTGTCCTTGAGAATCTGCTTGGCTGCATCCTGGTACGATCCTTGCCAGGTGTACTCGCCGGCGTATGAAGTCGCAGGAGAAAGCAAGAAGAATCGATCCACAAACTTCTCAAATGTTTGACGGTAGGCAAATCCAGCACGACGAATGCGAACGTTCTCCTGAAGACCAAGGTACTTGACTTGATGAAGGACGTTAGGGACGTTGTACTCGGAGGGCGACTTGTTCTCGTTAGGCTTGATGGTTCGGATATAAGAAGGCTGGCACTTCATGAGAGTTTCAACCAGCGCATTCGCGGAGGCCCTGATACGGTCACCGGCGGAAGGAGGCTGCTTGCGGTTATCCTGGTCGACTTGGTTAGGGAAGATGGTGTGGACGAAGCGGTTGCTGCTGCCAGAGAAGAGGTTGAGCAATCCCTTCAGCAGCAGATCCTTGTTCTTGTCCGTAATTCCGTCCACCGTGTAAGCTACGTCACCAGCATAGTGCTTGATGATGAAGCTGCCTTGACGAGGGGTCAAATGAGGGTTGGACATGCCGTTAATACTCTGCATGAAGGTTCGGTCAGATGCAGCAGGGTCCGCGTGGGCTGTCTTGGTAGCGTCCTTCATGGCGGAGAGGACACCAGGAGGGCGGATACCCTCGATGAGGTCGCACACGATCTTGTTGTCGAAGTACTTAATAGGTGTCCACTGAATCTGTTCGCGTGCGTACTCGTCCTGCTCGGCCTTCAGCGTCAACTGAATGAAGATCTGTTGCAGCTTCTCGTTGACGTAGTTGATGCAAAGCTGCTCGAAACTGTTCTTCTCGAAAATCTCGAAGCCGTAGATATCGAGAATACCGATGTTGTTGCTTGTGGCCTGCTTCGCCTTAAGGGACTTATTGACACGCTCAACGATCCAGTCGAACAAGTTGCTGTAGATGGCCTTGGAGAGGGCGTCTCGTGTGGCGGCTGCCTGAGCCGGGTTCGTCGGTGACTCGATGACCTCGCCGTTTCGCGGAGTGAGAATGCGAATGGTGATAGCCTTGATGAGCTGCTCGGGCGTCACCTCCAACAGGTATGCCAGGAAGTCCACTACCGACTGGTCGCTAACTGCGGCGTATCCGTCCTGGCCTTCGTGGAACTGAATATTGCCAGCCCATAGAATAGCAGACAGCATGCGGAAAATCTCATCTTGTTCGCCTTGGCTAAGACCAATAATTCTCATAGCCTCGAGCGTATCGTTGAACTCGGCCAAATCGTCGATTCCGTCGACCTCGAGGCACTTCGATCTGCTAGTATAGACGTACGTCTCGGGTGTCTGGATGCCGAACTGCTGTCGGTAGTTCTGGGAAGCTCCCTTGGTGAACTGGTAGAAGATGTGGAAGTTTCGCTCGTTGGTAATCTGGCCGACGACTCTCGACTTCTCGAGAAGGTAGTTGGTGATGTCTGCACCGACGGGTTCACCCTGCGCATTGAAGTGAATCTGCAAATACTTGCCGAAACGCGACGAGTTGTTATTCCTCAAAGTCTTTGCGTTGCCGAAAGACTCCAGTAGCGGGTTGGTTGCCAGCACCATGTCTTTGATCTGCTTGATGTCGCCCGACTCTCCTCCTGAAACGTTGGCGATGTACTGCATGATCCGCTTGGCGGCTTCCGTCTTGCCAGCACCTGACTCTCCGGAAATGATGACACACTGGTTATCTTGATACGCCTTCATGTTGTAGTACGCAGATTCGGCAATAGCGAAGACGTGCGGGGGCATCTCGAGACGGTTCTTGCCCTTGTAGCTGTCGAGTACCTGGTCGGTGTAGATACCCAGGTCCCGGAAGGGGTTGACTGACACCAACACATGGCCGATGTAGGTATAGATCTCCTGGCCCTCGAATCGCTTCTTAAGATTGTCGTTAATGGCTTCGTTGGACACCTTACTGAGCAACGTAAGATCCGAAACGCCAATCTCCTTCTTCTTCGTGACCTCGTATGTGGCCTTCTTGGGCTTGCCGCCGCCAGCCCCTCCGGACGGTCCGGCGGGGCCAGTCTTTGCGGATTTGTCCTTGGGACGTCGTGAGATACCCTAGAAATATTGAAAGCGCAAACGGTCAGTCCTCTCTCCTTCTCGTGGTCGTTGGTCGTGGATTTTTGGAGTCGCTGCAGCCGAATCGGAGCGGTGCGCGCGCGCGGGGCATGAAGCGTCTCACCATGCTGGGCAGTTCTCAATGGAGGGAATGCCGGTATCTGTTGATGGTTTGCGCAAGCAAGCTTTGGAAAATTCGTGAATGCGCGCTGGTGATGAAAGAGCGAAAGGTTTGCTTCTCTGCCTAGAATTTTTTTCTTCCGTTTGGCTTGTTGCTTGCTGAGTGAGAGACTGGAAAGAGCGCGCACCAAAGGTGACGTTGCGGTGCGGACGGAGGGATTACGCAGGTGCAGTGTGGCTGGTTCTTGCCCGAGATCCAAATCCAAACGTTGGCCGACTGCTCTGTTCAAGTGGTGCCTGACGACCAGTCTCCGTTAGTTCTAGAGGGGGGCTTGGGAGGTACAATCAGCCAATCGAAAGCGGCATAACGACCAAGCACAGCCTCAGCCCGGAGAATCGGTGGCGCCAGGTTCCGCGTAATGCCCAACATTGCTTTAGCGCCCTTTAAGCGAATCTCCACTCCTCATATCCTCCACCTCAGTGAGCCGTCTTTCCCCCCTGTCCATCCCGCAGAAGAGCGGGAGATTATCTTGGAACCTTCTGCCCAAAAAAAGACTATCCGGATGTGTGTCCCTGTTCTGAATAACGGCTCTGAGGTCATAGCTTTTCTTACCCCTCCAGCCCATTGGCGGAAGAGGGGTTGCTTTGTGTGTGTGCCGCTCATAACCTGCCTGAAGATAAAATCTTCTCAGGTGCCCGCCATCTCAGAAATTTAGAGTCTATGTACAGCGCATAAGGTCAATTTAAGGCCTGAACATGGTTCGTCCCAGACTGTGCTCAATACTGAGGTGCGCTGAAGTACTTGTTTCACGCTTAGAGTTTTCTAGCTGCCATCGAACCGACTACCTACCTACTACTCCATACACTACCGGCACCTCGTGGAAATCATGACGATCCGCGCCGATGTCGGCTTAGTCGCTCTGCACGCTGTCCACTCACATATTCATCACTCTTAATCAAAGGCTGCATTGCGGCTTGGTGGGTTAGGCGTTGCACAACATCTTGAACAAAATCTCTCGATGCCACTCTAACTGTCTTTATCGTCAGGCCGCTACGGCTTATCAGAATGGATCTCATAACGGATCCTCATTAGCCCATATCCCCATTGCCAGTCATGAAAACGCTCGTCATACGTGCCATCTTACATTGCCCACCATTACCCCATTAGCCCCAGTCCTAGGCCTCGCACGAAACGAACGTCGTCGGCCTGTCGCTCCAGAGCCATCCTCATCCTCTCGCCATACTCTTTCTCGGCCTCTTCTACTCTTGCCTCTTCCTCTGACTTGGGCTCTGGCTGTTCAAAGTCGCTTGCGGTAAACCCAGGCTTGCCGGAGAAGCTGACGAGGCCCAGCTTCTCGCCTGTCCAGAATAGTATGTCATCATCGTTAACATTATCTTGTCCGCCACGCGTTTGCGTCGACAGGATCTTCCTCGCGAGGTCATCAGAACCAGGCATAGAGGCGAATAGAGATGGACGCTCATCCACCTCGCTGTGTCCGATCTTGTGCCGTCTCACCTCAGTGAAGCCATCGCGCTCGAACCACTTGAGAAGTCCCGACCCATCCGAAAATACGATGCGAGTACCCTGGTTGGCGACAGAGAGAATCTTGGACTGGGAGGACGTCTGACGATTCTTCATGGTGGAGTTCTGCATGAGATCTGCAGACGAACCTCCTGGCCGTGGGCACAAGCCGTACAACTCCAAAGAACCCTTGGTGTTGTACTCGCCTCCGGCGATCAATGTCCGGCCTCCTTCCCTCGTCTTCGACTCCATTACTTGTTCAACGGACAAGTCGCTCCTACGACGTGTCTCGCTATCAAGTGTGGAGAATGGGTACGGCAGAGACGCGAGACTAGCCAGTCGAGCTCCCGAATGAATCGAGCCCATGATTGAAGGAAATGTGCGCCTATCGTAGTGCAGGATGTTGGAGAAGCGACCTGCGACATAGATGTCGTCCGAGAAGGAGTACTCATCGCAAGCATTTGGCAGGTGCAGAATGCTCAATGGCGTAGGTTGTGATAAAGGAGCATAAGGCGGCAGCGGATCGTCGAAAACGCTGCCTCGCCTACGCTGGAAGAACCCACTTGGCGACTCGACCGCTAGCACATCTATCCTGTCGATGATCTCACTTGGCGACCTGACTCGCGCCCTATAGTCGTAGAGATGGATTCCCAAAGAGGTTCCTACGGTCAAGGGCAAGCCTGGGGCGGCGGAAGAAAGGGCTGTGATGGACCATTCGAATGTTTGTTCGCCAACGACCTCGAGACGGTTGAGATCCACCTCTAGCAGGTGGCCCTGTACGGCGACAAAGGCCTTGTCAGAGAAGCTGTCGACGCTAACGCATTCTGTCACTCCGGTATCGATCTTGCGTGATCTACCCATTGTCTGTGGTCCGTCGAGATATAAGATGCCCGCTGAGCTTTTGGCGATGGTGGCACCCTTCTGACCCCTAGTACCCTTCACGTCCCACAAGCACATGGAGCCGTCGTCCAATGGCGACACCACAAGTAATTCGTCGGTTTCTCTATTCGGGCTGTACAGAGCCATCCCTCGGACATCCAGCGTATCTTCCTCGGTCCCGTCTCGGATTTTGGGCTGCTGTAGCCAACTTGTCGCTATCGGCGCATACCGTTGTATGTACTCGTTATACCAAAAGACCGGCTCTGTCGGAAACGAGGGGTCCCAATTCGCCATGTCCTTGTACCGCTGTAGCTTGCGCTGTTCCTGTGTCTCCTCATCGTAGAAGAGGGGGTCCGGTTCTGTGTCACCATCTTCTTCTTGACTCAGTTGTACGGCAGCGTTGCTGAAGAGAGGGTAGTCAGTGATGTCGTCGTCACCAAAGGAAGTGATGCGCCGCCGTCTTTGTAAAGCCTCTGAAAATGGCGACTCGTCAAAGGTTCTCGATCGCCAGTGATTGTTGTCGAGGGAAATCTTCTGGAGCTTTCGGCATACGAGCTGCAAACCGGGGAAGTCGTAGGGCTCTAGGACTGAGGGGCACCAAGCCATCAGCTAGGAGTCCCCGTAGCACGCCTGCCTCTTGGCAGAATAAGAAAGGCTTACTCACAGGAAAGAACGCGCAGCAGGATCTCGTCTGGAAGCTCGTCCAGCTTCTTCGGGGGCGCCGACGACACCATTGTGCCGTGGGGTTTGGGAAAAGAAACTCTCGAGTACTCTGGAGTCTCGTTGATTATACTTCTGGTTGGGTTTCGGGGAGATAGAGGGGAGCCCGGACGGGATCCATGGAGAAGAGGGTCGAAGGATGATCCTATCGTTATCGTTATCGGGTATTGCCTGTGCTCTAGCCTATTATGGACTAGTGCAGATCCGGGGGTGGGCCGGATAGAAACGCCTGGACTCTTGAGTGGGCTGACCTGTCAAAGCTCCGGGCCAGTCGGGCTGATTAGGCTCTTTCTTGTTTCTCGCTTCCAGCTGCCCAGCATTCAAAATATGTGTTTTGTCCTGGCCAAAACGATTCCTTCAAGACTCCAGCTCCTTCCCTCCTCCCTTTTCTTAAGCAATTCAATAGCTGTAGGATCAAGGCGGTGACAAAGCAAGATTCTACGCAGCACAGCCACGTCTCTGTGAAACGGCAACCCGTGAAACGGACTGTAACACTGGGACAACTGCAGACACATCTCTTCCCGCTATTGAGAACCATTCCCATTGTAACCATAACATGCTTGGAAATCAGCCGATGCCGCAAGCTATTTTGGTGGTTCAGAATGCTTCGAACTGCGAAGTGCACACAAGTTTCCAGAAGAGGCAACTGAAGTGTCAACCCGCTAAAATTTCACCATTTCTTTCTCCACGTCGATATCCAGTATCGGGATGTGCAAAAAGTTTCGGTAAAGCAAACTCAAGCAATTGAAACAGATTAAAGAGCCGTTCGCGTTGGTTTCTTTATAGCAATTTCCTCTCCGATGTGACAGTTTTTGTTACACCGTTGGCTCTACCGACCGTTGACTCATCTTGAGGCCGTTGGAAATATCTTCATACATTCGTCAAAAAATGACAACCACGAGATGAGGCGTGGGGTTTCAGAAACACAGGACAAGAACTAGAACACGGCGAGACACAATTATGCACATCTGCAACTTTACGAGCTGGAAAGAGGCAAAATAATTATAAGTTGCACAAAATTAGATGGCTATTAAAGTGCTTGGAGATGTAGTCATTGTTCACACTCAACTCCTACCCCAAAGACCAAAGCTTTGTGTCTAGACATCCAGAGGTAATATAGGCAGATGCTGGCCTTTGTCTCAAGCTAGATGTTGATGTGCATTCAAGTAGCCAAAACTAAGTCTGAGGCTTACGGTATCATTATTCGGACACTTCATTCTTATTTATAGTGTGCATTCAAGTGTTGCTAGCCTACGTGTATTCGAGGTAGTACTTTACATGTCTTTTCCTTTTTTGGTGACAGCCTGATCCTGACCACCCTACGTGTAGTCATGCGGCGCAGAACCAGAGCTGACTGCATGTAGATCGCATACAGCCGTAATACTACCACCTACCTATAAGAAGCTCACAATTTCCTTTCTTGAGAGCCGAAATCCAGTCCATAACCGTCATGTCCTTCGCAAATTTCTAGCCATGCCGAACTATAGTTGTAGCCAGATTCCCGAGCCCCTCGAAGCTTACGGCGACATCACAGGACTCGGAGTAAGTGAATGATCTCAGATTAATATGAGTCTCTCAGCAGCTGCTTACGATTCTCTTAGGTTGTTCTTGCTTTCACGATTGCAGCATGGTCGACGATCCTTATATTGATCGCTTATTATCTGTTCGAATTCGATCCAAGCCTGAATCCATATCGGAAGATGACGGATCAGGGCGAGGAAATAATTCCAATAGCAAAACGAATACCCAACCCTGCCGATCAAATGATCTACAAACACACAAAACGTCTCAGGGGTTGGTTTGGCCATCACGCAGACGAGGCGAGTGGCGTTGAGCAAGCATTCCACAAAGTCCGTCACTACCATGGTATCTTTTGTAAGCTCCCTTACTAATGCATTAGTATTTTCTGTTAGTGTATCCTTACACTTGCCGATACGCAGTTGGTCACCGGCTTATCCATCATGTTGAGCGGGTATTACGCTCTCACGCAAGGCCTGTCAGCCTATCACTGGCAGATGGTGCTTTGTCTCGCATGGTTCTCAACCATGACCCATCTCTCGGCGCTGACTTTCTTACGAACCTATCTTAACAATCATCCAGCCGGACGCTTCTGGCGAATATTTCTCATGTCTCTACTTGCTACCACTCTCACAATTGGTTTCATTCCTACAGGTCACTTCACCTTCATCGATAGGTATACGTTCTCATCTTGGCTATCTCCCGACACACCAGATCGAATCGACCTGGGAACTATGATATACCCAGACGATTGCGATAATTTCAAGACCTCTACCCCGAAGGACTTACATTGCTGGCTGTCACGCAGCAAAGACTTCCATCATGGCAGCAGCCCATGCGTGACATTTGGGCTGAACACTTGTACCGTGGACGGTAAACCTGTTAATCAGTCTACACATACAGATCAGGAAGTAACACTGAACTTTCGGACTGAAAGAGACGGAAAACATAAATCAGGCTCACCTGGAGTTCTTCCCGAATCCCCGGCAATATGCTTCTTCCGTGGGGGTATGATCACCAGGAGTGAATCGTACTTTTCTCTAGTAGTGTCACTTGCTTTACTCACTTATGGTTATACCATAAGGGTGTTCAAGCTCTTTGAAAAGATCCCCGAAACATTTTCCTGGCTCGGAGAAGAAAGACTAGACCACAGATACCAAGCTCTTCTTCGCGCATTGAAGCGAAGATTATCAGTAAAACCCCCGTCAAAGGCCGTTTTGATAGCTTCGTTGTGCGTACCACTGCAAGCTTCCTTATACCACACATTGTGTATATTATTGCAGTTGTACACTTCCATGATAGCCGAGGTGAGTGATATTACCTCTTTAGCACTTTCACCTTGCAAACGGAACGTCTAATCTGTAACCTCAAGGTCTTCTCAATCTCTATATCTGCGATTTGGGGCACCCTAAAAATTTCTAGTACACGCGATATGGGAAACCCTGAGGATAATGATTGGGCCTTTGGGCAAGTGATTTCACTCGTTCTTCTGTCTAGTCCCTTAACCCAACTATTTGAGGTGGCGTACAAGACCGCCAGCCCCTGGAATTCCCGTCGACACACACCACCGAGCATCCGCATATCTCGTCCAGACACTCCTGGCTCAACCCCTAGTTCATGTAGGAATCCCTGCGAAATTCTCCTCGGGACGCTTGGAATAACAATGATAGCCGTTGAAATGTTGACATCATCAAATACAAGTCGTCCTAGTGGCCCACTGGCCTCCGATAGAATCCGCCATATTGGTTCGCAGAGCAATGGTGCAAACAACCAAACTAGTGAGATATCTCAGTCCGATCAACGTATGTTAAAGCGCATTCTTGAACTTGTCATAAGGTTTCATAAAAACTGAAAAATCTTAGAAGAAGCTGAATCAAATGCCGTGCCGCCGCGTTTCAATCCAACATTTACTTTCCGTGGGCAGAATGACCTTGACCAGGTCGAAAGCGCTCAGTCGTACCTTACAGCGCAACTCATTATCACCCAACTACTTAACGAGGCCCATTTCGATCGCAAGGAAATATGGAACGATTCCTTACTATTCGTTATAGCAGCACCGATCTTCTCCATATTTGCTTCATTCTTCATCAATATCTACACGCTCGAAAATGCGGCATTCATAGGGTTCGAGAATTACATTGCGAAAGTTCTGATCACTGCTGCTTTTCTACCACTTCAAATTCAAATGTACATCTTCTTCATTTTTCATGTACACCGTTTCGAATTTGAAAAAGGGATAAAGTGGCGGAGGATCACGGGGGCAACAATGTCAGTGCTATCGAGTTCTATGATTTCCGGGTATTTGAATCACCACTTCGGGACAATGATGGCATGTGTAGCCATTGCTGCATTGTGCGGGCTACAGTTAATGACAATGCTAGTAACCACTTCGCTTAGGATGTGGTCCCTACGTAGCCGTCAAGTCCGCCATCATTAGGACAGAGGAAGTCTAGCAATCAGAAATACTCACCGAAAGGACATTCAGAGTGTGTGTTGCCTTTGTGATAGACACTAGGCAGTGGTGGGTATCAAGCTTGATGTATGTCCACATGGCTGTCTCACTTTTGAACCTTTTGATGATTTTGAACAAGGCGACAGTTGTAGTGAGGCGTGAATGGTAAGTCAGTAGGTCTTCGCTCTTCCTACAACCACCTTGATCACCACACTGCCTAGAGACATGCCCCTTGATCATATCAAACTCCTCTACTTTCGAGTCACTACGTCACGTCGCCTAAGAGAGTTCCATAAGACAAACATTCATTTCCTCATACTCTTGGGCAATGGTCTTAGCTTACCTTACGCCATAGCATACCGGACAATGTTGGAAAAGAAACCAGACCGCCGGCGCCGAGTGAGCGTGCTGCTGTTAAGCTTATTCCAACAACCCGTGCGTCGACAATATGTTAGGCCACATAAGGGTGCCTCCCAATGCCTCAGATCTAGCAGTAGAGTCTAACCAGCAGCACGGTGCTCGGGTGGAGCGGAGATGCCGCATGGCATAATCCTGGAATTCGGATCCGGATCAGAGCCGCGGACACGGTTCCGAGGAGGGGCATCGGCAGGTATCAAGATTGAGACGCAATTCAGCACTCACATACTCGCACCCTCACATTCTGAACGTAAGTACGCATCGGCATCACGAGTAGCACGATAGGGTCCTGCGACATTCATCCGCCTCATGCGCATCTGCACGCGGGTGAAAACTTGGGTCTGCTTGGACACTGGTTTCATCTCTCTTCATCCAGGAACAGCACTCTCGCGGGAGGACGTAGTCCGAAGGCAATCTAGACAGACGCGGGGCGTCGGAGAAAACGAGATCAGACCAAGATGAGTGCTGCAACAGATGAATCCAGGTTCCGAGCCAGCCTCTCTAGGTCAGAGCGGAGCATCGTGGGGTTCTCTTTGCGACCCGAGCCGCAAGTGTCACATCTGATGAATGAGAGATATCTCGCTTGAGCTTCGGTGTCGTTCCATACCCAAGGCTTGACATATCCCCAGATACATCTGGACCCCTGTGACGGGGCAAGCCATATGCGTTTTTCTGCCAAACCTGTGCTCGAAACCTCGTTAGCTGGGGATAGTTCGTTCTGACACGACCCACACAGCGACCCAACTGTCAAGCTTAGTAGTGCGACACGAGTCGGTGATTCAGATGATAGAAAAAAGATGAAGAAGTGAGGGGATCGGCGACAACGAGAGCCATCATGGCTCCTGAAAGCCCCTCGCAAGCCCCCCTCTTGTCGATCATAAACTGCTTCAAGGCTGGAGGCTTGATCGTAAACTGAGTTTGAAGCAGTGTTTACTAGGTACGATACCCGTTACCGGCTGTTGCAAGCATCACACACAGGCGATCGACCTCTTCACTGGCTGGTCTTATTGATGTCAGTTGACCCTTGCTCGGCGAAGGAAGCTTAAACAAGCCACTTGGCGTAAAGCTTGGCGTAAAATGTGGAGATTGACTCGAGATCCTTGAAGAGGCTGACTTGGGCGTTGTTGGAATGTCTGTGTCAGTGACGATCATGCAGGTGAGTAGGGTTGGTGCTTCATGCGGGCATGAAAGCCGTTTTGAGAGCGGAGACCCGTGCCAATGTCCAGCTTTGCTCGTTTCACCCGGACCTGGCATAGTAGTGTCAAACTGCGAGCGACAGCCACTGCAGCAAAGAAGAGGAGCAAAACAATTCGAATATGCTTGGCGACGCTACCGGTATCGTGAGACCCAGGCAAAGCGAGGGGTGTTCGGGCGAGGCTGGCTGATAGCCCACGTCATTTCCGTCTCGCAAGAAGCCCCATCGATACCAGACAGCGCTGACGGGCTTGGAGGGTTCAGACCGCCGATGATACTCGAGGCGGAACGAGTCGAACTGGGGGCGAGTCAATCCAAGTGTGAAAGGTAGATGCCGAGTCTGTCAGCATTGAGTGAGAAGAGGAGTAGAGTTGGAGATTGTGTGCCGAGTCCCGAGAGTGCCGGAAAGCAAATACTGGGCCAGGGGTCGGGAGCGTCGAGGTGTGTGGGTGGTCCAGAGAGAACGAGAACGAGGCAGGAACTCAACCGTCAGCCTCGCTGGAAGGAGGACGTTGAGCCAAGATTTAGATGGGCTGATGGCGGGAAGATAAATGCGAGATGCTTGAACTCTTTAAGCTTGAACTGGGGAGCGAAATATGGTTGATTAGGGATTTTGAGTAGGATGAATCAAAGACAGGTGATCTGTAAACATAATCGTACGATTTTGACGTGCAAGACCGCATGGATGGGCTCATGGAATGCTTCTTTGCTGGGAGGTGTGAGCGCCTGACACGCTGCGCAGAGGAGAGGACATGGAAGCAGAGAGACTCGGGGCCAAGAACGCGGTGCCATTGGACTAGAGCGCTGCACATGGCTTAGACTTCCCGCTAGAGCACGACAGCCATCAAGCAGCCATGATCCATCTGAAGGATTCAGGGATAGACAGGGGAAGGGTGAGACGGGGGCGGATGGCAGGATAACGACGCTACCTGGGTGCGAACCTTGCTCGGGGGACAGGTGGGTTGGGTCATGGATGGAATCAAGATACGTAGGCTGACAGGTGTTGACGCTGTTGAGTAGGGTTTGGGCGGGCTTGTGTATCAAGCTAGAGGTAGCATGGCGTTATATGGTTCCTGGTGCAAGTTTTGAGGGAGAGAGTGAAGTGCGGGCTGGCAGAGAGCGAGCCGCGAGCGTGCTGAAGGTTTCATGACGGGGATAAAGTGTGGATGAAGGGCCGATGTGCTGGGATGACAAGTTTGGAGATTTGCGGGTGATGCACGGGCCAAGATGACCAAAGGAGGAAAGAGAAGGGAGCCTGTCCCTGCTGCTTCGGTCAACAGGCGCAGTGTACGGAGTACGTACATACTGCGTACAAAAAACGCAGGAGCGATGCTGATGGGGACCTGCCGCACCCTCAACGCATGTGTAACTCTTGTCCCTTGCCGCCAAGCCCGAAAGAGACTAGTGGGAATGTGGGGGTGACCCCTGGGCCCTGACACCCGCCGTTCCTCCCACCTGTCCTTCCGTCCTTTATTTTTTCTGTGCCTTCTGTTCCGGTGCGGTGACCGCTCTTACCTTACCGTGCTTATCTCGCAAAGTGAGAGAGTGGGCAAGAGCTTGACTGGGGGAAGGCACGATGTACATTTTAGGTTGGAAAACGGAAAGGGTTCCCCGGATCATCTCTGAAGGGAGAAAAGAGAGTTAGGCGAGAGAGTCAGTCGATACCGTACGGAAGGAACCTTCAATCTGACATGGAAGAGACGGTGAAGAGTGTTTTGGACCTTTGAACTCAACTTTCTCAGGTGCCCTTGTCCCGTGGGTGCGTGATAGGTCAACTCTAGGGAACCTTTGGGTTTGATGCTTTCTGATGAGGGGAGCTCTAATTATTCACGTAGCCAATGGCTTCTCGTCGTTGCGTTGCAGAGTTGCAATTCGCAGCAAGAGAATAATGAGGACTAGGTAAGTATCTGGCTTGGTCTCACTTCGTGAGTGAACCTATTCAAAGCATCATTCCCTATCATCTTCCTTGCGAGATGGGGAAGCAATATCGAATACTCCCTGCTAGCCACATGCTGGGCAGCTGGGCAGAGACCCCAAGATAGAAAACAGCTCACCGTCAGTGGCCGGATCACTCTATACTTGCATCGGTAGTGCAGCGGCATGCAGCTGTAGCGCATCTCGGTAGCACGATGCCATCACATTGGAGTTTTTTAATAGTGTCTTTCTGCGGGTTGTCCTTGTGATGGTATTCAAGAATAGTTCCTTAATGCTCCATCGTTGTGCAACCAGCGAATCCTGTGTCACCAAAAATCCAGCCACCGCAGCTCTCCCGTGAGGTGTGGTGTACGGAGGAAGGAGCGGTGGTCGCCTCACCTGGTGGTCGGCGACTTCCCTCAGCACCGTTAAGCGCCCAGCAACATGGGCCCGGCCGAAACGGGTCTGGCGTCCGTGTTCCAAAATTAAAATCAGCCAACCACCGACCGCCGTTGCGTCTCCCGTCACCTTCCCATCTGTCCACTTTGAGATCCGTTCCTCTAGGCGGGCGGCAAGAAGGAGGCAGGTGGTGGCCAATTTGACCGTCAATCTGAGTTTCTGTGGTGCCCGACACAACGTCGCTGAGAGGAATTGGACAACGACCTGCCGACCGCAAATCATCATTCGTGCATGTTGCTCCGTAGTCGTACAGCTGGCCAGGTAGGTAGCTAAAGGTACCTTGCCGTGCCATGCCATGCCATGCTATCCGAATGGCCCATCAGCGGAGAACCAGACGACAGGCCATCCAGCATGGAGAATTGGGGGGGGATTGCATGCGGATATGAGGACCTCGACTCGTCATCCTCGTTTGGTTGTTTTTCCTTTCTTCCCTCTGTTTTCCCATTCCCTCCATGATCCATCCACATTCCATCCTCCTCCCAGCAGTCTGGTAACCTATTGCCATTTTCGGTCTGAATGTCGTTGGTTCCAACAAACTTTCCAACGAGACAAAGCTAAGCGCAACCGCCATACCCAACTGTTGTTTAACAGACGCCAACCTGTACCGATCAGAAGAAACGACCCTTGTTCATCGCATTCACTGTGTAGCATAGCGTAATAGCGCATATCCACATCTTGCATTCGAGCCGCATTGTCAAAGGGGAACAACACAGGCAACGCTGCGCACAAAAGCGCAAGAGAAGGGAAAAACGGCCCCTCCCCTGTTGCAACCGAAACGTCAGAATAGCCTCGGGGCCCCCTCGTCAAAGCGCCTCTAACAGAAGTCGTCTCAACTCCGCCCACCACCTGTCGCACCTGGCCCTGCCGTCTGATCAGTCTCGCCTCTCGGATCGGACTGATACAGCTCCCTCCAACTGCGAAACCCCTCCAACGTCTGATCTACCGAATCGTCCAGTCCACCATCGTCAAACCCCTTGTCCCGTCCTCGACAGTCGACAGTTCGCCCCCCCGCCACCAAATCGCACTTTTTTTTTTTTCACAATTCACATCATTGCGCGGGACGAACACTAACACTGGCACCCTGTTCAACGGCTATTGACGAGGTTTCATGGACACCTGACATCCGAAAGATTAGTCCCGACATCATCACCCACCCCTCCATCCAATCCTGCACCAAACCGCACCATCGTCAAGCCCCCTCCACCACTTTTCGTCGCCGGATCCAAGTCTATCCATCCGACAGCACCAGGCTCCCCCGTTCATCCCGGGCATTTCTTCTTGCCAAAGAACCGATTCCCGCCCTGTGCAACCCCGGTCAGTCGAACCTCACGCGGTGCCAAGTCCACAGACGCCATCGCTCGAACTTCGACTGCCGTCCCGACTCGCCTCATCTCTTTATGACTTTCCCCCCACCCGCCGAAAGCTTCGTCTTGTCTTCCTCCACCTCTTCTCCTTCACCCTCATTTCTCTCTTCTTCTTCTTCGTTGAGTCTCGCCTAGGTCGAAGAGTCAAGAGTCAATTCCCGAGCCCTTGCGACCAACGAGATTCCTTCCTTTCCTTCGCTGCTGGCTCAGATCATTCTTTTACCTTTCCAACTTTGCTTGGCTGGAGTCTTTTATCTTCGCTTCTTTTGCTCGTCGACTGCACCACTTTAGGTATTATAAGAGACGTTTTTAATACGGGGACTGAGACGTAAAGAGATTGGAAACAACAGACTTTGGCATCGACACGAACGTGGTTATTGGAATTGCTGGGATTATTTGCTTCACCATCGCCCGACGCCCACACGAGCCGCTACCGATACACCCAAGGCCCGACCCCAACCGCCAACTCGTCGGTACTGTCGCAGGTCGACACCCTAATACAGCTACGAATAGGAGGGCAGCCGAAATCGAATCAAAATGGCGGGCGACCTGACCTTCGGGGTTCTCGTCAAGAAGCAGTTTACTGCTCAGAAGTTGGCTTTCCACTTCCTCTTCTGGACCTTTCACTTTGGCATTTTCGCCTATGGATGGTAAGCCTCCATTCGCACAACGTGTTTGTTTACGACCCAACTCTAACTTTTTCTAGGTGGAAGCAGGCAATGGACGCGAGGCTGGCTGGTCTGAACACTTTGCAGTACTCGGTCTGGATTTCGAGAGGTGCTGGTTTGGTTCTTAGTGTCGATGGAATGCTTATCCTACTCCCGGTCTGCCGAACGGTTATGCGATGGATCCGACCTAAGCTTCGCTTCCTCCCTCTCGACGAGAACCTCTGGTTGCACAGGCAACTGGCGTACTCCATGCTTGGATTCACCATCTTGCACACCTCTGCTCATTACATCAAGTAGGTTCTGGACGAATGCGGCACAATACCCACTTACTAACTTGTGCGCAGCTTCTTCAACGTTGAGAGAACACAGATTCGTCCCGTCACGGCTATCCAGATTCACTACGCCCAGGCAGGTGGTGTTACCGGCCATGTCATGCTGCTGTGCATGCTTCTGATGTACACCACTGCGCACGCTCGTATTCGCCAGCAGTCATTCGAGACGTTCTGGTACACTCACCACCTCTTCATTCCCTTTTTCTTGGGACTGTACACCCACACCACTGGATGCTTCGTGCGCGATACCGCCTTGCCGTACTCTCCATTTGCCGGAAAGGATTACTGGGACCACTGCATCGGATACCTCGGCTGGAGATGGGAGCTCTGGACTGGAGCCTTCTACCTCATGGAGCGTACCTACCGTGAGGTCCGCGCTCGCCGCCGCACCAAGATCACTCGTGTTGTTCGCCACCCATACGGTTAGTCTCTGCTGTGTCACTTATTCTCCTCGTGATGCTAACTGAGTTTCAGACGTTGTTGAGCTGCAGTTCAACAAGCCCTCGTTCAAGTACAAGGCTGGCCAGTGGCTCTTCCTCCAAGTGCCTTCTCTTTCGAACTACCAATGGCACCCCTTCACCATTACCTCTTGCCCGTTCGATCCTTATGTCTCGGTTCACGTTCGCCAGGTCGGTGACTTCACTCGGGCTCTTGGTGACGCTGTTGGTGCTGGTTCCGCCCAGGCAAAGCTTTACGATGGTGTTGATCCCATGGGAATGTACGAGGTTGCTCTTCAGAACGGCCAGCAGATGCCTGATCTCCGCATTGATGGCCCGTACGGTGCTCCCGCCGAAGACGTTTTCGAGAACGAAATCGCTGTGCTCATCGGTACTGGTATTGGCGTTACTCCCTGGGCCTCCATTCTCAAGAACATCTGGCATTTGCGCAACAGCCCGAACCCGCCAACCCGTCTTCGCCGTGTTGAGTTCATCTGGGTCTGTAAGGATACTGGCTCTTTCGAGTGGTTCCAGACCCTACTGTCGTCACTTGAAGAGCAGTCCAACGAGGCAGCTCGCGTTCCTGGCAGCTCTGGTGTTGAGTTCCTGAAGATTCACACCTATCTTACTCAGAAGCTGGACATGGATACCACCCAGAACATTGTGCTCAACTCGGTTGGATCAGACCACGACCCTCTGACTGAGCTCAAGTCCCGTACGAACTTCGGTCGACCCAACTTCTCCAAGCTTTTCACAACCATGCGTGATGGTATTCTGGACAGAACATACCTCAACGGCTTGGAAGGTAGCATGCGCACGACTGTCGGTGTCTACTTTTGCGGTCCCTCAGTAGCTGGTAAGCATCATATTCTCATCTCTCTCATTACTCTTGCTAATGAATCATGTAGCTCGCGATATCAAGCAGGCTTGCAAGGATGCCGACGTCCGCGAAGTCAACTTCCGATTCTGGAAGGAGCACTTCTAAGCGTGGGGATGGCTGAGATAATGAAAAGTAAAAGTCAAAAAACGAGGAGCCTTGGCGAAAGCCTAGAGTTCTGTACGTGGAGGAGAGTCTCATACCAGGAGACGACGACATCTACAGCTACCAGAAGCTTCTCAGCAGTGGGACCGCGGGAAGCAGTGCTCCGAGAGGAGAGCTGGCTGAATAACGGCAAGCGGAAAGGCGTTGTCTGGAATGCATTAAGAAACCCCTTCAGCGATGTGCATCATCTCATTACTTTTTGCCGCCATCCGCGCCCTCACCTTATTATTTCTTATGATGGGCGGGGTTGGCAGGCGGTCAATGTTCTCTCATATATATACAAAGTCCATATATCACATTTTTTCAGCTATGGCAACTTGTTCTATTTTCCAGGTTTCAAACTGTTTTATCATGATCTATAAGGGAAAAGGTGTTCATGTGGCCTAGGGATGGTAGATAGGATAAGTGATAACGATTTCATTCGATCTTGCACAGCCACTACCACTGACTGGTGCGAACCGCTGTCATGAGATGACGTGAACGCCGTTGGCAAGAAAAAGGTGCGATTACTGATGGTGTCAACGTGGCAGGGGTCATGCTCGCAAGGGAACGAGGATATGGAGAGCATTAAGTAGCAGGGAAGAGCTGGGACGGAGGGATTTCATTCCTGCGAAGCTTCCCACCGGAGTGCGTCCGGTCCACGACTCGCCTCAGCGTTCACGGTGCCGGCTAAGCCGTACGCCGTTCGCCGTCTTTCTGGCGTTGAGTGGGTAGGAGAGAGTCTGGACTCGACGGCTTTCAGCTTGGCTAAGGGCGCTCGTTGAATCGTGTGTTGATGCATGAGCCTGATGGTGGTCTATGTGATCAAGTGAGAACTTGGGTTGCCCTCTCTGATGATCGAGTGGAGATGGGTAAAGGGTAGGGGACTCGATCTAGGGGGAGAGAAGCTTGGGAGGGACGGAGGGACGGCAGCTTACCTTTTCCTGTGATGTGGTAGGTGTGGTACGTGCAGGGCTTGGTGTGGACGGTTGTGGTTGCATTTCAAACCGTTGATGTTTTGAGTTTTTTTTTTTCTCCCTTTGGACTGCTGGTGAGTGGTTGCGTGGCTTTGTTGTGGGACTGGACGACTGGCTACCTGATGGAAAGTCCGACTTGTTATCGGTGATAGTGTGTACTTTGCTGTGTAAGTACCTTCGTATGATGGTGGTGTGATATCGCAAGAGGTTCGAATGATTGGGCTGCTGTCCTAATCTTGGGATGGATATGAGTGAAATTCGATTGTACTTGGGCTGCTTTCGTCGCCTTTGGTCATATTTCATGTCCCCCTTGAGGTCACTTGTGTTGTAGTGACCTCCTGGTATAGCGGGAATAGGGGGCTCATGAGAAGGTTTGGGAAATCTGGGGACAGCGGCTATGACGGGTTGAGATAGGATGTGACGGCACACTTTGGGTTGACGTTGACGTGTGTTCTTGACTGGCGCCTAGTCATGGGCTGATGGGGCCACCACCGAGAGGAAGTGGACTAATCGAATGAGTTGCGTGGAGGTTTGGGTGCAGAGACCTAGCTGTGAGTTGAGGCGGGCGAGGTTGGCAGCGGAAGATGAGATGGATAGGATTAGAACTATTGCTGCCGCGAGTCGTTCGGGAGGATACGGTGGGGCGAGCGGACGGACGGACGGAAGGACCGGGTGGCAGTGATGGTTATACGGATGGTGTCCGGGTTTAGGTGGAGTTCGGACGGGTTCCGCGTTCTACGCCAGCTGTGTCTTTTGCCCGTTCCTCTCAAAGTCCGTATGTCCCAAGATCTTTTTTGGATCTTATTTCCTTTTCGGCAGGTCTATTGCGTATGGTCAGCAGTTGCCTCTTTGGGGAGAACGGCTCGTGGTGACGACATTCCGAAGTTCGCTTTTTTGAGAGTACGGGCAGTTTCTGTCATCCCATCGGCACAAAGTAGCTGGGGCTCGTGCTGGTGCTCGTGCTTTCGAGGAGACTCATTCCCTTTTCTTGGGATGGATGTATTTAGATCATGTAGCCGTGCGGGAAATCGTAAAATTTTCAGTGCAGTTAATGGGGCGGGAAAGGTTCGTCCCAACGTCGTGGGAATTTCTTCGAAACAGGCTTATGTGGTTGCGTTGGTTGGATATTTTTAGCCATTTTTACTGTTCTTCTCGGGTGGTCTGGTCTGCGTCGGTGAGAGGGTAAACTTGGCCGATGATGAGATGAGAGCTCTTGTTCAATTCTAGTGGAGGAAATAGAACGCCATTTTCTTTTGCTTTTGCGGGAAACGGGAGTCACGTGTTACGTACGGACGATGCTTCGGGAGTGAGGAGCTTAAGTCTCCTGGCTGTGACTATAGTAGATTCTATTGATTCAATGGGGGTTGCGTTTGCAACTCAGTGGGTATAGAGGTGGTGACACCCACATCCGAACGACCATCAGGGGATTGATACGAAGCCAAGGTCATTCCAAAAGAATAAGATACCTTCTGGAATATGGTAGATATCCTTTGAGGGCATGGAAGAACATTTGTCTTGACGCGCTATGTCCTTGTTTAAAGGAAGTGCTTTCGGTTGACTTATTGAACCCTGGCAATGAACTCCATAGTCTAGGTCGTATAGATCACTTTGACTCCTGAACACAAGAATTTAACATATAGAGATGGTACTGAGATGAAATCGTCAGGTCTGATGTTCCATAGGGTTTAACAAGGCTTCTTGTTTCGTAAATCTGGCGTGCCGATTGCATTATGTATAAGGATTAACGGCAACAATACGGCTTGAATCTAGGGTTTCGTCTTCTTTAAAAAGTATCCATTGAGGAAATGAAGAAAAAGGTGATTAACAGATTGGTTGCTGAAGACTCTTCATGAAGGGTCTTCTCCCTGATGCCCTTTGCCCTCAACATTAGACCCATACGTTTCTGAATGCCTTCAGAGTATAAAGTCGGAGAAGCGTAATGCGGCTGCTCTCAAAGTATCCTGCCACCTCATAAAGGCCGTCATTTGGGAAAAAAGACTAAGGCCATCGATGGATCAAATCATCACGTTCTCGAGAAAGCGGCGTGGAGGTTTCCCTTCCGCGATGTCCTACCGTTAAAGCCAGACTCTAACCTTTGTAATTTATTTTAACGCATAAGTCAGGAAAGAATCATGCGAATTCCCTGAGGTTAAAAACACCGTTCCGATTCCCTAAACGGACTCTGCAATTAGGGAAAATAAGAATAAGGAATATCGATGGGATGAGTGCTAAGTGTCCTCGAGAGTGCCCAAAGAGGCGGTGATGGAGAGGCCCATGTTAGTCATGCTGAACTTCCAAAACGGGAACAGCGGAAGCAGCGGATGGCGATGAACTTCCTGTGAATGGGGAAAGTGGATAACATAGAGTATGCACAGGTCTTTGTCTCTCAGGTCTTTGTCTCTCAGGTCTTTGTCTCTCTTTTATCGCTGCATCGTTCGTCTTGGCCTCGCACATATTCGTGCCTTCGATGTGCGGGATAGAGAACGGAGTTGGTGAAGAGGGTTTTGCACTCTGCCCTTGAATTGGTTGAAGTTAAGAGGTAAGATACCTTATATAAGGGCCGAACACAGTCAGTCGTAAGCGGAAGGAAGTCATCCAAGGCGAGCGATATCAATGCCCAGAACCATCCGGTGGTAAGGCCGGACTAGAACTCCTGATTGAGATTGATATGAGCCTACTTCTAGTAATTAGTAACATATCTCTATCAAGGGGACTAGAGCGAACACTTGCAGTAGAGAGCTCTATTTAAACGTGCCTGGGTTCGGTAAGTTCGAGTCGAAAGAAGCAGAACACATCGGAGTAACGAAGTACAACCGCGATGGGCTCGTGGTAGCTCAGCCACCGGCTCCTATCGGAGGTCTAAATCCGAACCGACAGGCACCGAGGCAGCCTTGGCACTATCGATAAAGGTACAAGCATCAATCGAACGCCCATGCTACGTACCCTTACTTAGTTCGTAAATGTTCGTGACGAATACGTTCGAGCCGAAGCGAGGTGACGCAAATAAGACTATAAAAGTTCTTTACTAAGCGGCTCTTACTATGTCGCGATTATTCGTAACGAACACTTTAATACTGACTAGTTACCTTTGACGACTTCCGTCGCTGTGGACGTATGAAACCGTGTCCCCAAAATACGCCTATAGCCAAGGAATTACATTGCGTTTTCTATACATAAGAGGGCGAGGAGACGAACTTGTTGTAAGAAGAAGAGGCCGTTACCTTAGTTAGTAACCTGACGGACTGCGCTATAGTTATCACGGCCGGCAAGGTTTCCGAATCTAGGTAGCACGTTCGAGCGAAAGTAGAGTGAAGTGAACAAGGTGATAAGTGTCCTTGAGTAGCATTGGTAAGCACCCCTCGTTAAAGTCGTGGTTGTCAGTAACGGTTGCATTCGAGTCAAAGCAAAGTGAAGTAAACAAGGTAATAAGCGTCATTAAGTAGCTTTGATAAGTATCCCCCGTTATAGTCGTGGTTTTCAGTAACGAATACCTTCGAGCCAAAGCGTGGCAAAGCGAACGAGACGATAAGCGGCTCTAAGCAGCTTTAGTGGTTGAATGAGACGTTCGAGGTTGAGCCTTTGTGGTGTCTCACCATCGATAATGCCTCCCGTAGAATACCCCTCTACTTGCAACCACTGCAAGTGGTCCATCTGTTTCTGTCGTTCTCGTCTCTCTTTCAAGTGAATTGACTGCCTTTTATAGGTTTGGGAACGATTGGAAGCAGCCATCTTATGAGTTGTAGATACTCGCTAGACTCATCCCCTCGCTAGAGACGTTAGGTTATGCCCTCCATCCAGCCTCTTATCTAAAGCTTCCTCGCAAGACACCTCAACCTCACATAGCTAATCATCTCCCCATCTCCCGGAATCTTACAAACATGTCTCAACACCTCCACAATCTCCCTCACAGTCTCCTCCCTCTGTCCGCCTTCCTCTGGCACCGCATCCAACAGCTCCTTGCCCATCAACCTCACCCACCCTTCCACGCCGCCCTTATCAGCCGTCGTCGGCCTCCACTCCCTCTCGACTTTCAACACCTCCCACCCGCCGACCTCCTTCTCGAGCACCGTCTTCAACCACTCTTCATCGGGGAAGAACCAGGGGTCTACGGCGACGGCCTTCTCCATGCCCACGCGCCGCGCGACGGCCATGACGATGGCGGTGCGCATCTCGGCTACGTTGCCCAGCCCGCCCATTTCGAGGGCGAAGGTGCCGCCTGGGAGGAGGGCGTCGCGGATGGCGGTGAAGACGGGGATGTGGGAGCCCGGTGGCCGGAGGATCCAGTGGAGGGCTGCGTTTGAGAAGGCTTTTGTGAAGGTTGGGGTGTGGAGGGTTGGTGTTGAGGAGGTTGTGATCTTTGTTGCGTCGAGGACTGGAGAGGGGGAAGCGTTAGTCAAGGTTCGGGTTGCTCCAGTATGTCTGGGTAGTGTGATGAAGAGAGGAGAGGAGAGAGTAAGTAGAGATGTACCTTCGAATTCGCAGTTTGAGAGGCCTGCTGCCGAGACGGCCTTTTTGGCGGCGGAAATCATGCCTGGGGAGGCATCGATGCCGTGGAGGGAGCCTTTCCCTTGGGAGAGGACCTTTCCGAACTCGACGTCTAGGACGCCATCTATCTGGTCGTTAGTGTGCTATTGCTACGAAGCGGCTTTCACATCATTGAGTGGCCTGATGTATGGGGGTTCAGGAGGAGACTCACCACCGCAGCCGACGTCGAGGATGACATCGTCCTTTTGCACGTCGAGCCACTGTACCACCTTCGTCGCCAGCTTGGGGACAAAGGAGGCGGAGTGCTGGTAGGCCTGGATGTTTGTGTCAATCTCAGATGCTCCATTGTGGATGGCTGTGAACTGATAAGGCTTACCTCGGATGACCACTTATCCTCTTTTTGTTCAGCCATGTTCGATCTGTAATTTTGGTATTGATAAGCTCGTCAGAAGCGTGTGTGACTGAGACGGATTTGGTATCTACGAGAGTGAATAACGCAGGTTTATATAACTTTTGATGTCTCTATCGACTTACACGCAATCTGAAGTTTAAGTGGGATGAGTGAAGTTGGGAGGATGCGACGACCGTCCGAGATCGGACCTGCTCGACGGCCGCACACTGCCCCCGCATCTTCCCTCCTCCGACTAACCTTCACGGCACGGGGATCCGACGTTCAAGATTGCAGCTCACAAACATGACATGGACCTATATCCGGAATCCAATTTGGGGGCTTATGACTGGGTTCTATCCAATGATCTGTTCTACATTATACGTCGGTTGCGAAACCGGCGTAGGTAAATGATTTGTTAATTTTGTCTTTAGTTGACACAATCATTAGCTACGATAATTTGTCTGCCTCATCATATTGACTCCGATCTCACAAAATTAGTCAATGTCCAACAGCTTGTACTTTTCATCGCCCAAAGCATCCTCAACCCTCTGCATCAGTGACAGCACCTTCTCCTCCTCCAACCTCCTTCCTACTACCTGAACGCCAACGGGCAGGCCGTGCATATCCTTGGCATCGTACAGCTTATACGCACCATACGCCACGCCATTGAGCTTCTTGATGTTAAAGTCCGCGGGGAGCTGGTCCAGATCCTTGTCGACGTGTGTCACAGGGAGGACACCGGCGGTGTAGTCGAGCTAGATAGTTGATTAGCCACTCACAGTTTCTCAAAAGAAGACAATGGAAGAAGAACAGAAACTCACCAGGTTGAAAAGGAACGTGTACCCGCAGCTACTACACGCGTCCTTCATCCCATCATGCGGCACAGCAGGCGTAGCATTAGGCGGCGTGATCAAAAAGTCCACCTCCGCCTTGTTCCACCACTCGAACCACTGGTTCCGGTACGCCTCCCGCCGCGCGACGAGCTTCCAGTTCTCAAACGCCGACTGCGGCCGCCAGTCCCGGACGAGACCCGCCCAGACGTCGTCGCGGCGGACGTACTTCACCCAGAGGTAGTAGAGATACCGCAAGGGGCTGGCGAGGTTCATCAGGAACTTCATCTGCGCGGCGCCCGGGTCGTTCCACTCCCCCGTGCGGAAGAAGGTGCTGAACATCTGGCACCCGTCGGCGTTCAACGCCAGGGCGGCGATCTTGAGGCCCTCGTAGGGGGAGGGCGGGCTGATCTCGACGATCTCGTGGCCCTGCTTGCGCAGCGCGTTCTCCACCATCTCCAGCGCGCGCCGGCACGCCGGGCTGGGGTCCACGACGCCGTCGGTGCGCATCACGCCGACGCGGAGCTTCTTCTTGTCGGACAGCCACGTCTTTTCCGTCTCGGAACGCCACGCCAGCGGGTGGACGCTGTAGTCGTACTCCCACGGCTTCATCCCCACCACGGCGCGCGTGAAATACCGCAGGTCGTCGAGCGTCCTCGTCATGGGGCTGTACACGGACGGCACGCCCTCCTGGCCCGGCATGCTCGTGCAGAAACCCAGCTTCGGCCACCGGCCTGTGGAGCAGCGGAGGCTGTAGCACCCCGAGAAATGTGCCGGCGCCCGCACGCTGCCCGCGACGTCGCTGCCGATGCCGATGCGGCCGCCCATGGCGAGGAGGGCGGACTCGCCGCCCGTGGAGCCGCCGGGTGAGTAGCGGCTGTTGTGTGGGTTCGTGCAGCGGCCCCAGACGTCGTTTGTGGACTCGAAGCTGAGGAGGGTGATGGGCAGGTTCGTCTTCACGTAGGGGACGGCGCCGGCGTCCTTGAGGAGGCGGACGACGGGCCCGTCGGCGGCCGTCTTGTTGCCCACGAAGCTGCTGAAGCCGACGGTGGTGTCGTAGCCGCCGACGACGATTGTGTCTTTGAGGCTGACGGGGATGCCGGCCAGCGGGCCCTTGAGGTTGACGGAGCCGTCGGCCACCCACTTCTCGGCGGACTCGAGCATGACCTCGGTGAGGCAGTTTGTGCGCTCGTGGGCCTTGAGGGCTACTTTACCGTAGGTTTTGAGAATGTCAATGGGCTGGAGGACGGTCTTGTGGACATCTTGGACGAGTTCCTCGATAGGTTTGTCTAGGATCTGGCGGTCTTGTTGTGAAAAGGGACCTTTGTAGGCCGTGAGGCGGCGGATTCTGTCCGCGCGTTCGGATTGCTTGAAGTTGCTATTTTCTTGGTGTTAGTGAACCTCGGGGGGTTTAGGCACGGGTGGGATGGCGAACCAGTCACGACGGTGTTGGAGATAGTCGAATGGGTAGACCATCTTGTATGTGGAGGGTACTAAGTCCTGGGTATATGGTAATTGGGCGTTGCTATGACTATGAGATAAGGGTGAAGTTGTCCTTGACTCTGTGAAAACCCGCAATGTCGAGTGAGAAGAAAGTGAAGGTTTGTTGTAAGATGATGGATGCAAGATGAGAGCTTGGGACTTATCAAGGGAGAGGAAGAGAAAGAGAAGAGCCCGGCGTTGGGGTCGAGGTACTTACACGCTCGGTCACGGGTAGCCGGCGGAGTCGCGGGGAAGCCCCGCTCCCCTTATCGGCCGCTGGGGTAAAAGGGCGTAAGGCGCGCTGTACAGACTCTGGAGCGTGCTAAGGGTAGGGCACCTTGAGGTGAGGAGAGGTACCTCGCCTGCCACCTTATCTTTGGCCCGCTGATATCCGCCTGAAACTTCCCTGCTGGGCAAGTAAATGCGTCGGTGAGCCGGTGGACCACAACCAACAACACCAGGGCCTCCCCGCATGTCGGGTCCAAGGTGAGCCAGCTGCGCTTGCATGTTTCATTATCAAATCAATTCCTCTGGCGTGGGTTCGTGTTATTGAGAGGTCCATGTGTCCTATGGCGGGTATATTAACGAGTGGTGGCTTACCCCGGGTTTTACGCCATGACTGTCATGTCACTGAGACACGCGTGCCTGGCATTAGTGGCATGAGCTACGTTGAATGTAAGATGAATTCATCTCAGGTGCGAAAGAAGAACTTTTCATGATCAATTTTGTTCCCGAATGCCCAAATGCCGCCGCTAAATGTACCTCTGCTAACCCCAAGACTACCACCTCACAAAACCGGTCTTCTCTCGTTCCTGTAGTGATCCGCAATCAAGAACGCCAACTCGAGCGCCTGCTTCTCATTCAGTCTCGGGTCGCAGAAACTCGTGTAGTTGGTCGACAAATCATCCTCGTCCAGCCCCTCGCTACCACCCAGACACTCCGTCACGGCATCACCAGTGAGCTCGAGGTGGACGCCGCCGAGGTAACTCTTCTGCTCCTTGTGGATGCGCAGCGTCTCCTGCAGCTCCTCAAAGATGTCGCGGAAGCGCCGCGTCTTGATGCCGCCGCCCGTCGAGACCGTGTTGCCGTGCATGGGGTCGCACTGCCAGACCACGCAGCGGTGGTACTCGCTGTCCTCGACGGCGCGGATGTGCGCCGGCAGCAGCGAGCGCACTTTCGAGGCGCCGTACCGCGTGATGAGGGTGATCTTGCCGGGCTCCTTGTCCGGGTTGAGGGCGCGCAGCAGGGCGAGGAGGTCGTCCACCGGCGTGGTGGGTCCGACTTTGATGCCGATCGGATTGGCGATGCCGCGGAAGAACTCGACGTGGGCGCCGTCGATCTGCCGGGTGCGGTCGCCGATCCAGAGGAAATGGGCCGAGGTGTCGTAGTACTCCTTCTTGGTCTCGGTGGGGCCGTTGCTGCTGTCGTTCCGGGGGCCGTTGCCGTTTGCTGTGGGACGCGGGACGGGCGTCTCCAGGAGGCGGGTCAGCGGCTGCTCGTACTCGAGAAGGAGGCCCTCGTGGCTAGTGAAGAGGTCGACAGTGTCCAACTTGTCGCTCCGGTCGGCGCCGATGGTGTGGAGGAAGCGGAGCATGTCTGTGAGGGAGAGAACGGCCTCGGAGTACTTTCTCTTGAGCTCCGGGTCCCGGACATGGCCCAGACCCCAGTCCAGCGGCTTGTGGAGATCGGCGATGCCTGATGAGAGGCATGCTCTGATGTAGTTGAGGGTTGCCGAAGAATACTGGTAGGCCCTTTGGTGTTGGTTAGCTCTGGTGGTGACACATGATTTGTCTCATTGCATGACTCACTTCACGAGTCTCTGCGGGTCAATTTCACGCTCATCAACGTGGAAGCCGTTGAGAATGTCACCGCGGAATGAAGGCATCTCCACACCGTCAACCATTTCTGTAGGGCTCGATCTGGGCTTGGCATACTGGCCAGCCATACGGCCAATGCGCACCACGCGCTTGTCGGCACCCCAAACGAGAACCAGACTCATCTGCAGCAGCAGCTTAATCTTTGACTCGATTGCATTGGGCTCGCAGTAGTCGAACAGCTCCGCGCAGTCACCGCCCTGGAGCAGGAAAGCCTCGCCGAGTGCCACATCACGCAGGTGCTGCTTGAGTGCGACAATTTCCTTTGGGTGGACAATGGGGGGTAGCCGTCCCAATTCTTTGACGGACTTTTTCAAGCCGGCTTCGTCTGGGTAGGCGGGAGCTTGCTTGATGGGTTTTGAGCGCCAGGAGTCAGGCGACCATTCTGCGGAGGAAGACATGGTGTGGTGTGTTATGTTGGTGACTGTATTGGTGACTCAGGATGGAGTTGTGGACAGTCAAGTGGTGCCGGGCTGGTTCGTCGCCAAAACTGACGTAGAGGGAAGTTGGAGAAATAGTAGGTAAGTCAACTTGAAGAAGAATGAGCAATGGCTTTCAAATTGATTCAGCTTGGAAGTCATGGCAATAGGGCAAGAGTCTTGGTATATGTACCTTGGTGAGTCAACAGCAAACTGGATGACTGGTTCAAAGGCGCATGGAACAGTAAGTGATCGAATCTGGATACTCCGCTGTACCTACCTTACTAGGAAGTGAATTGGACCGGTGAGTGGGATGAATGCGAGCAGAAAAATCCTTAATAACGGGCAAGGGCCTGTTCACCTGCAACGGTGTGCTTGCTTCGCTCGAAATTGGCCAATGGAAACGAGAGGGACGGAACCGAAGAGAGCAAAGCAAATTCAGGAACCAGACCATCCGTCAAACCCTGCGTGTTTGTGTGTCGAGTTTGTGGTGTGCGTCGCCGTCTGGTGCTAAACCTGAGAAAATAAAGTTGTACATTGTCCTCCTCCAGGGCAACGCTATGCCGAGGCGTACCGACCTACCTCGAACGCTCACCATCGGTGTAAGCGACACGCCGCACACCTCCCCTCAGCTGCGGAAAGGTGAGGTAAGGTAAGGTACGTACCATAAGGAAGCTCCCCCTCCCCGCCCCCACCTAAACCTGCCCCACCACAAATTCGATTCCAACGGGAAAGAGCTGTCTCTGCGCCGCCGCGTGGTGTCCGACTGTCCACACAACGTCACAGCTCTTCAACCACACGATAATAGTCCCGCCCCTCGAATCCTGACCCAAAGGCACCTAAACCGAACGAATTTCTAATCGCCGATTCCGTCCGCCGCACACAATGTCTGAGAAGCAGCCCCCCACTGTTGTCGAGGGTGCCACGGCCGGCGATGTTGAGGAGGAGGTCCAGCCCGCAAAGTCAGCCGAGGACCGCAAGGCGGCGTCCGCCCTCGCCAGCCTCGATGCCGGCGGCGATGATTCGGGAAGCGGCCAGGTCGATGTCGATGCCGCCCAGAAGGCGATCAAGGGTCTCGGTGGCGCCACTGCTGCCAAGAAGGAGGTGAAGAACGTTAAGGTCGATGCCGCCGATGTTGCCCTGCTGGTTAGTCAACCTACCCACCTGATACGCGCGATGGAAGACGGTCAAGAGATGGGAGATCAGATTAGGGGAGCAGACAGAGATCCACAGGACTTTGGGAATGAGACAAAGGAGTACAGGCTGACAAGGACATAGGTTGACGAATTGGAGCTCACCAAGCCCAAGGCGACGGAGCTGCTCAAGGCCAACGACGGAGACGCGGTTAAGGCGATGAAAGCGTACCTGCGCTCATGAATAGGTTGGCATGATCGACGGCTGGCATGGTTATAGACTTCGGAGTAAAAGTTTTAGGTTATGTTTGTTGAGGCCCAGGATTACACATGTTATTCAATGGTTCGTCTCTGTCCGCTTTTCGGCACAGTTCCTTACCACGGCAAGGCTAACTTTTATGTTCTTTAGATCAGATGACCAAAGTCTCGAGCTTCAAATAGAATTGGACGCCCTTTCTCCCAAAGTGGACAGTATGGAACGTCACTCGTTTCTACCAAAACTGCGTGCTCAGCGTGATTCGACTTGAACCAGATTCCGCCCTTGACAGCTTATACCCTTCAACGAACGCCGACTTCTTACCGTCACTGACATTGATACACAAAGCTGGTCCATGAACAGCATTCACATTGACTCCCCAATGACGCAAAATCTAGTCTCCCCTCGTCCTGGGCATGATGTCCTCCATCTGAACGCACTTCGGCTCCCACAAATCCGTCTCATCGCCCATCCATATCGGACTCCGCCCCGGCATCCCACGCCCAGGCGGCCCGGTATGGTTCCCTCCATACCCAGGTCCCCGACCCCGATATGGCGGCGGCGGCGGCCGATCATATCCAGGCTCCGTCCCGTTGCCCGGTCCACCCTCCGGCGGCGGCCTAGGTCTCCTGCCGCCAAACATGGACCTTAACAAAGGCCACATGGGGATATAGCACCGCTCATCCCACCCGCACACCTCCCGGCACCGGATGAACTCTTCTTCCCATCCAACCCACGCCCGGAGCCGCCTCACCCCGTCCGCCCACTCTCCACCCGCAGCCTTCAGCTCCGACGTCTCCCCTCGCTCGAGATCATACCAAGCCCTCTCGACACCGAACCCAACCTCGAGCAACACCCCGCAGATTCCGCCCATGACCTCCTCAACCGCGTCCCTCAGATCCCGCTCCCTCACGCTCAGCGGTAGATCAACCATCAACCTCGTATACCGATACCGACACCGGGAATACGTCTCCGCAAATAGCGCGCCCCGGACATCCCACGTTTGCCTGTCAATCTCGCCCGGATACTCCAGAAACGAGACGAGGAACATGTGGCTCTGCCCACGCAACTTGTACAACCACTCCCTCACCGCCGTCACATTCCCCCAGTCGCCGCCATCGCCATCGCCGCCGCCGAACCTGGCACCCTCCTCCATAACCATCAAATGCCCAGCCGTCCGCTGCACAATCTCCCCCATGGAACTCACCCACTCCATCCCGCTACACCCCCCCTCGCCCACAAGCGCATCCCTCAACATCACCTCCGTCTCCCACCTCATCCCCGCCGCCGCCTCCGCCGTCACATTCTCCAAATGATGCATCCTCCTCCGCCTCCCAAGCTTCGCCAACGCCTCACTCCGGTTGCCAACACTCTGCCTATCACTCCAATACCCTTCCGCAGTGAGATTCAACCGCGCCCGCTCCTCCTCCGCAATGGTCCCCCAGAACCGATCCGCGTACCAGCTCGTGATCCCGCACCCCAGCACCCGCGCCCGCGTCTCCCCTTTGCCCTGCCCGAGCCCATTGGACCCGTAGTGCCACGTCGCGGAGGCGAACCACCCCCAACCCTGCGTTTGCAGGAACGGCTCCCGCTCGGCGGGACCCATGATCCCGCGCCAGTTGGGCGGCATCGGCGGACGGGAAGGGCTCACGGGGCGGTCTGTTAGTGTAGGCTGCGGCGGGAGCGGATACACCGACGTAGGAACCCCTTCTTCGCCATGGGCTCTCCCACCAACCTTCACGGATCCCTCAACCTCATCCCTCTCTGTCGTCTTCTCCTCTCCATCATCCTGCTTCAACTGCGGCGCAGTAACATTTCCCCTCCCAACCAACCTCAAACTCCCACCGCCCCCAAAATCACACCAAATCATCTCGAACCCCGTATTCATCCTCACAACCCCCTCAAATCCCCACCCGGGCCCCCGTAGTCCCTTCTCCAGCAACCAGTCGCAGAGCCCCATGGCCCTCTCGTACTCGGGCTCCAATCCGCGCCATGGACTTCCTCCGTCACTCTGCGGCCCCGAGACGTTGCCGTATAAATGCAACATCTGGGTGTCAAGCTGTCCCAGCCCCATCAGCGCCGCGGACTCGCCGTCAAAGTAGAGCGCTTTCACGGGCCGCGTGGTTTGGTACGTGAGCATGAAGCTCTGGCGCGTGCTGCCCATGATGCCGTAGGCCATTTCTCTGGAATAGGGGGTTTTCCGTGTTAGCTCGCCCGAGCCCAGGTTAAGAAAAGGTAGGTCAATCTCATCCAACGAGGGCTTCGATCATGATCACGCGAACACAACTGTACATCATTCCACATCACTCAAAATTCACCACCGCCATCAGAGTTCCACGTACGGACTTGGGGGAAAGTGCTGCTAAAAAAAGAAAATAGAAGAAAATAAAAATAAAACTCACATATCAAAAGCAAGCCACTCCGGACTTGGCACATCCTCCTCATCCATCCGCCCGTGATAAAACAGCGTAAACGCGGGTACCTCCACCGCCGCCATCGTGTGCCCGTTGGGGAACACGGTGTTGCTCCACTGCTGGAGCAGGCCGTACGCCGAAGCGAACAGGTGCGGCGCCGGCGACGAGTAGTTCAGCCTTGCGTACCATGATGATGGGCCTAGACCAGCATCGTCACTGCTTTTTGGCGATGCTGTAAACGGCGATGAAGGTCCGGCTTCGTCTTGCGATGTCGGATATGATGGCGATGATACACCCACGGGTTTCTGTACCTCATCCGCCGCAAAGGCGTCCGCTGCGGCGCATTGGACAGCCAGCAGCGACGCCGTCAAGGCTCGCAGTGAGCGCATCTTCTTCGCAGTCGATTCTATAAAGTGCAAATAAAGATTTATGAGCAATCACAACGAAAGAAAAAAGAAGCAAAAAAGTCTAGATTATCATCTTCGCCACAATCCAAATGGAGTATCAAAGCTCAGAGTCTCATGTGTGTCGGATGGATCTTCCTTATCAATCAATCAATGCCTCTCCCCCGGGCCACCGAGTCAAGTCAAGCGTGTGGTCTCTAGGACGTGGGACTTCGGGACTTTGGTTGGTCCAATCAAAAGAACGCGCGGCCAACATGCGTCACCTTGCCAGATACGGACAAGGGTCAGGGGACTTGAGAGATATTCACAATTGCAAACGAGCACCATGTCAAGCTTGCCAATGGGAGGAAAACTTCATATCAGAAAGTGAAAGACAAACAATCAAAAGAGTCCTTTCAAATTGTGTTCCAAAGACAATCAACGCTGCCCTCGCAGCGCAGCGTATGTTCTGATGTACAACCAATCTAATAACCTAAACACCTTGATCCAGTCCCTTGGGAATCCGCATCCCATATCCGGTGTAAACGCCGTCTAAAACCAATCCTGTCGCATCTCGGCCGAGGCCTGAGTGGACAAAGAACCACAAACCAATTGCAAAATAATCAACATCTAGCGCCAGGCCTTGGCCAAGGGGCTTCCAATCTTGGGCGCAAACTGCAAGCTCTTTCTGCGAGCCGCCATCAGGCGCTGCATGACGCTCTCGTCCTTGTCTCTGTTGAGAATGCCCTCGCCCATCTGGACAAAGGTGTTCTGCTTGGGAGGGCAGGTCTGCATGTGCAGGGTCTTGGTGGGAGAAGAGTCATACTCAGTCATCCCCGAAGGCGTCTCTGCGGCATAGCGAGCAAGAGCCTCAGGCGCAGGCGTGACGGGAACCGGAGAGATCAGGCCTTGCCAATCATCGTCGTCGTCCTCAGCCTCGTCTGAAGGAGTGTGCATCCACACCGTGCTATCACGTCGGTTCATGGGCGTGTTGGGCGTAGTCTTGGCATCGCGGCCAGCCTTGACGGGCGTGGGAACAAGCATGCCGTTCTGGTTAGCGAGCGCTGTGGGCTCCATGCTCTTGCGACGGCGCGCGCCTCCGCGGGGAACCATGGAGGTGTCGATATAGTAGGGCGCCTCCTCGAGCCACTCATTCTCACGCTCACAGCTGTGTCGATTGGTTAGCCAGACATCATTCAAAAGGACTTGGAAGACACTTACTCAAGAACCCAGCTCACGCCGACGCACTGCACAACACCATTGGACTCTCTGACCTTCTCCATCGTGCGCTTGCCACCATCCTTGTAGACGACGTGGGTGATGCCAATCTTTGAGGCATCCGAGTTGCCAGTTGCACTTGGGTTCCAGTTCCAGGTCTTGACGCATCGAGCTCCCATCTGACCGAGGAGCTCGACAAAGATACCGCTGGCGTCCGCACCCTCGGTGGTGTGCACATCCACAAAAACGACGGCACCACGGAGGAGACCCGGGTTGAGATCCCGGCGGGGAGTGCGCGCCGGTGTTCCGAGGCTCGACCAGACATCAGACTTGGCCGGAGTGACAGGCGCAGAGTCGAGCTCATTATCGTTCTGCTCGTCCTCATCCTTGTGGGTCTTGCCAGGCGAGTAGGAGATGACGGTAGCACTCCTATTCAGGCTTGGACGGCTGACTGGGAGTCGGGAAATACTGGCAGCACGCTTCTTCTTGGGACGAGGGGTCGACTCATCAGCAGGCTTCAGAGGAACCTTGGAGACGGTAGAGAACTCGCGCGCCAGAACACGGTTGGGAGTCACTGGCGGGACATACGCATCGCCGCCGAACATGGCGGGGTCAACGGGCATGTCGTTCTCGTCGCCGTACTCTTGGCTCGCCTCGGAAAGAGTGTCATCGAAGCTGTTGGACGTGTTGACAATCTCATCAATCTCCTCAGGCTCCATCAGAGACATTTCATTGGCCTCAGCTGCAAGAGCCATGTCCTCCTCAGTGACCATGAGGTCGTCGAACTCGGGATCTTCGGCTTCAGCGGAGGCGGAAATCTCGGCCTCAATAGCAGCCTCAATCTCGTTCTGAGCGTCCATATCGGCGCGGACAGTCATCTCATCTTCAAAGTAAGTGCTTCGAAGAGGAGAATCCTCTGCGCGAGGAGTGGCAGCACCCGAGCGTCCAGGAGTGACGGGACGTCTGGGTGTCTTGGAAGGGCTAGCAGCAGACCAAGCGTTGAGTTGATCCGCCAAGGGAGTGAAGCCAACACTGGAAACCCGAGATTTGGCTATGCTTCGTCGAGAATTCGCGGGGGTGGCAAGAACCATATTGTGAGCTGAAGAAACTCTGGGGCTGTTGGCGAGCTCATCGTCAGAGTCAGACTCCATGTTGCCGTACGGGTCCATATCCTTCTGGCGGAGGCCGAAAATGCCGCTGGGGGCATGAAGGGTGAGCTGAGGCGCAGCCGCGGCTTGAGGCTGGAAGTAAGGCTCGTCGTCGACCATCATAGGCTCTCCGTCCGAAGCCGAACCCTCCTCAGTAGCCTCGTCAACAAAGACATCGTCCTCTGTAGGTCCCTCTGACTGCTGAACATGGTCAACCTCTTCAGCCAGCTTCGGCTCTTCAGTGGGGGCTTCCAGAATAGGCATGTTTTTCTTGAGAACCGGGTCGGCATGCCTTGGCAAGACAGCTGAAAGGCGACCGGGGAATTGCATCGGCTCTTCCAAATGGATGGACTCGTTGAGCATAGCCTCGGCGACTTCATCGAGCTCCTCGTCATCCTCACCATCGGCATGCGACTCTTCAGCCATGAGCTTCTCGGAAGATCGCTTGACGGGGCGCAGAGCAGTGGGTGTGGACAGCAACAGAGGCTTTGTGGCGGGAGATTGCATTTCTTCCAGTCGCTCCATGGGCTTTGCGGCCATACCCTTGATAGGAGACAAGGGTCGCTTGGCTGGTGACTGAAGCAGAGAAGCCTTGAAGTTGGAAACCTTCTTCTCGCCCTCATTGATCGAGGGCAGAGCAAAGGGCTTGATGGCGGACTGCGGACGCTTGGCCGGCGACTGAAGCAGAGATGACTTGAATGAGGATGCGGCACCAGTCTCGCCGCTCGCCTGTAGTGATGCTGCAGGCTTCAGAGACACCCCCTCAGCACGCTTGGCCGGGGACTTCATTGAGTCCCGGTAAGGCGAGTTGGGAAGTCTCTTGGCGGGAGAAGCAAGAGCATTTGTGACTTCATCCTCTTTCTCCGTAGGCTTGGTGGAGTTTTCGTCATCATGGAACTGCTCTGAGTCGGAAGTCTTATCGGCAGGCAGCAGGTTGAGCTTCTTGGAGGATCCGAGGGCACCAGTGGGCGGCTTTGTCGGGCTCTTCATCATTGGTCGCGGGGGTGTGTCCGGGCCGGCCAGCTCGTCATCGGAGAAGTCGCGAGGCATGGGGACCTGAGTAACCTTCTTAGGGCTCAAAGGAGTCTTGTCCGTCTTCGTGGCGGTGGAGGAGGCGGCGGCGGCGGCGGACTTGGTCGATCGAGGTGCCTTGGGAACGGGAGGCTTTCGTACTGGTCTGCCCCTGAGACCAGTGGTAGCTGCGGGCTTCTCGGTCGTCTTCTTGCTTGCGTCAGGAGCGATGTTTTCCTTTTCGGGTTCTTGGAATGTTACCGTCTTCTTGACGGCGGGCTTTGCTGCTGTGACTGGTGCTGCGCGAGTACGCGTCGTCGTCTTCTTCACCGGCTCCGCTTCCTTGGGGGCAGACTCTTCAGCTGCCACCTTTCTGGGCCGGCCACGGGTGGGCTTTACTGGCTCATCTTTGGGAGCTGAGGGAAGTGTGCCGGAAACCTGGCGCGCAGCAGCTCGTGCACGAGTTGCTCGGCCAGGAACACCACTTGATGATGAGGCTGCTGTTGCCGTTACAGCGGGCTCTTCTGTCTTCTTGGGGCGGCCTCTGGTAGCTCTTGTGGCACGAGGTGCGGCCTCGGATTGCTGTGCTTCTTCGGTGTGCTCTTCCTCCTCAGCATCATCGGCTCGTGTCTTTCTCTTCGCTGAGGTCGATCGCGTCGGGGCAGAAACGCTTGCTTTGGCCTTGGCCGCGGCGGTCACGATCTTGGTAGCTCTAGTGTTGGTCGTGGTATCGGCAGTCTTTGCAGCTCTGGAGCGCGTGATACGCTTAGGGGGTGATTGAGGCTCCATCTTGTGTGTGCGTGGGGTTTGAGGGCGAGAAAAAAATAAAAAAAAAAGATGAGATAGAATGGGTGTTGGCTGTGCTTGCTGGTTGGATTAGTACACTGTGGTTGTCGAGAGTATGTTGTCGTTTATTTACATGATGCTGTGACGGTTGAACTGGAAGCGCAAAGTCAGGGAAGAGCGGGCGGAGGGTTTTGTTGATATGGAGCTTCGCGTAATTGCCGTTGCCATGTCAACGTTCCAAGGGGCCCACTTTCGGAACGCTGCAGCCCTTTCCCGGGAAAACTCCACAAAATGTCAGGTGCTCGACCCTGGAAACCCTTGACACCTGGCGAATAGACACCTGCCAGCCGTCTACCACTTCTCTTCTGTTCGTTCGTCAAAACACCGTCGCTGACAACGAGGACACGCCCGATCCTGGTCTACACCGCGTCATCGAACAATCTATTGGATCTCCCATCACGCCAGTGTCACCTCTAGCAAGCCGTGAATCAACACTTGATTGTGTTGTTGATCAACAACGATACAGTTCATGCGTTTACCAAAGGCATCTCCCAAGCGACCTGCATCACATCCATCAAAAGCCATGCATGTCTGCTACACCAAACAGCGAAGCCTAGACTGCCGAAAGAGCGCTCGCCGTGGCATCCACAAGAAATGACTTACTTTGCGAGTAACGGTTACTGCAGGTCGCTTACCTCTTTGATTGAGTCCTAACGAATGCAATTTGGCTAGTCGCGACGTTGGGACCAGCATCGCGTTGTTACCTACACCTATCCAACGCTCACCATGCTTGCTCCTGGTTCAAGCAAACGGCGTGTCGACCGCATGACGTCGAGATGGCTCAAAGAAGATCTTTTTGTAGACTCTTCTAGGCCACGCTGAAACATCTCACCTCGCGCAGAATCATCTCGCGCCTAGCCGAAGAACGGCCTCGTCCCGTTTTGACGTATCTAAGAGATCTCAGGCAATAGAGAGCATCTCTCTCCCCGCACTCAATCTGCAATCTACTCTATTCCGGCCTGTCCCTCCTGACAAGGCACACCCTAGACACAGGCTTATCTGCCCGCACCAGCACTCGCTAATGCGGTGCAGCGGCACCTTCTGACGCCATGGGGCCCTTAAGCAAAACTCCGGTAGTGGCTGGCTCGGGATCGACCCTTCATTGGACCCTCGGGAGACTCATGCAGGCTATAGGGCAACCCGAGGCTCAAGGAACATCGCAAACTCAAGCACAGTTGCATTCCTGGGGCTGTACGAAGCAGGCTGTCTCCTTACAAACTCCGTACATAGTGCGCGCTCCGCCTGGAAAGGGCTCGGACAGACTCAGAGGTCCGCATGCGTAGTATATTGTTCCATACTTCCCGACAGACTTCCATCGGGGCTACGTTGCCGTGTGTTCTCATGGCTGGGCAGCGACCTCGGCAAGCAGCAGCAAAGACAGCCGCAGCAGAGTATGGGAGTCAGCAATGGGATGGCGCAGGCACACGCACACAGCAGGCCAACACATCGCACCAACACCAACCGTGTTAGCCTCCGCCTCTTCCGTTGCCGCCGATCGATTCCAGGTACCGTTCTTGGCCCTGCTGTGTCGACGCATGCCTCGTCTCACCCACACAAATCTATCGCTGCCATTCGCCCACCACTCGATGGCGGGGGCTTTGAAAGGAGGCAGGAGGCAGAGTGCCGTATTGTATACGGTGGCATGCCTAGGAATTGCGGTCAGCACGGATGGGAGAAATGTCACATACTGTCCGGATTAGGGAAGACGATGGCAGGGGAACAAGCATCAAACGCCTCAGGAGGCTTGCGACTGATGGCTAACCATCTCAAGGAAGGGCTCAAGTCTGACAGTTCGGGCACGAGCACAACACTTGCACGAGCACACGACAGCAAGGCGACGTATTCGTACCTTACCCTCTGCGGTTGCACATGATTTGTATGAACAGAGAATGCGGCATGCGACATGCCACACCGAGTGACCAGGTTCCATCTCATAAAACGCCGCACCCGAGACCGTGGAACCCGCCGCTTCAGCATTGCGGCGCTTGACCTCATCGCGCCCTGGGCTACCGTGCTCTCTCGCGCTTCTCTCTCGTTTTGTACTAATCTCTCACAAGGTTTGTTGTCTCCTTGCATCATCCGGATCCGGGCGCTCACTGTCTTCTCATCTCCCCGTCGGCATCTTGGACCGAATTCTGCCCTATCGTACTCTTTTACGGACCCTCTCTCATCTTCGGCACCCGCGTATCCCTACGACTCCACGTTGTTTCCAATGAGCTTCTGATTGCCCCAGAAAAAGAGGCCGCCTTTTTTTCCTTTTACAAATTCCCTCTTTGGGGCACCATACCACTACTCTGTACGGAGTACCAAGACTCCTTTGGATCCTGACCTCACATCATCACTAGCCAAGCCGGGTGATCCGGATCTTCCCATTCGCTCCATAGCCACAATTTCCGCGTACTCATCTCATCCCGCCTCAGCTGCCCAGCACGCCCAGCTTATTAGGCTCTGCAGGTTACACAGTACTCATCTCCCTCTTATTCGTCAGTCCACACATGAAACTTTACGGATACCGCACGCAGGGTCAGATCAAAGATCACCTCAATCAAAGACCTTGTCCAGGTTCACGGACAGACTCAGACTCCACTGTCGTATCGTGGAATGCTCCGCCGTTGGCAATCCCTTTTTAATAGCCGCTAGATCACGCTCTCTTTTCGCTTGAGTACATACCCTGAGATTGAACATCTGCCAATCTCCCGAACCTTAAGTCCTCTTCGTTCTCGCAGAACGTCGTCACGTCTGGGAACGGTCATTGGGAACTCAGCTACTAATCCTAGCTCTCACCATTGACAACTCATCCCAACACCCACTTTAGACAACGCAGGAACTGATCTTCCCGTCAAATCGCATCGCTCCTCCATCAGCAACCAAGCATTGGCCAACAAGGGGCTTTCTTGTAGCAAGAAAAAGACCACGGCATCCCGACGTCTCAGTCCGATTAAAAAGAAGGACCGCGCTCACACTCAAAAAAACTCTCCAATTCGACGTCATACCGGCCAACACCAGGCGAAAACCTTCTTTAGCTCGACGGGTCCGTGAAAAAGGCCGAAGCCTCCTCATCCCCGTCAAAGTCGCCGCACCGCACAGCCGCTGGGCCATGCCCACAAGGTCGACAATCGCTGGATCCTATTACTACTAGTGTCCATCCGTCGCCCATCTCTACCGTCCCTTCCGATCCTTCCTTTTTCTATTCCGGAGTTTGGGTTATCCGTATATCTTTCACAACCCCCATCCTCTTTTTGATACCCCCTTTCAAGCTTCCCTTCTGTTCGCCCACTTACAAAACCAACGCCTCTGGTTCAAATGTTCCACCTGTTCCACTAGGCCTAGGATCAAAGGAGGATTTACACACAAATGATGCTCTCATCCCTATTGGCAGTGGCAGCTGCCGTTGCCCAGGTGTGGGCGGTTGATCCCGTGAAGCCAATGGCGGCCGGGCTCATCATGGAGGCCCTGGACCCCCGCGCCCTCCCCAACTCGCCTTCGGGAGGCTACGCACCCGCGATCGTCGACTGCCCGTCCGCCCGTCCCACAATCCGGTCCGCATCGGCCCTGTCACCGAACGAGACAGCATGGCTCCCCCTTCGCCGCAACGCCACCGTCGAACCCATGCGCGAGTTCCTAACTCGCGTCAGCATTCCCAACTTTGATGCCGGTGCCTACATCGACCGTGTAAGCTCATCATCATCGCAATTGCCCAACATCGCCCTTGCCGTGTCAGGTGGTGGGTACCGGGCCCTCATGAACGGCGCCGGCTTCCTTGCTGCCGCAGATAGCCGGACCCCCAACTCGACATCAGCTGGCCAGATCGGTGGCCTCCTCCAGTCCGCCACTTACGTTGCCGGTCTTTCTGGTGGTGGATGGCTCGTCGGATCCATCTTCACGAACAACTTCTCCTCCGTGGTCGACCTGCAGCGCGGCTCAAAGGGATCCGCCGTCTGGAAATTCGACCGGTCCATCTTCTCGGGCCCCAAAGAATCCGGCCTCTCCATCCTCAACACAGCCGAGTACTGGAGAGATGTTGCCAAGCAAGTCGATACCAAGGACCAAGGCTTCGAGGTTTCCATCACGGACTACTGGGGCCGCGCTCTCTCCTACCAGCTCATCAACGCCACTGACGGCGGGCCGGCCTACACCTTCTCGTCCATCGCCGACGAGCCCGACTTCCAGTCCGGCCAGCAGCCCTTCCCCATCCTCGTCGCCGACGGCCGCGCCCCCAACGAGCGCATCATCTCTCTCAACGCTACCGTCTACGAGTTCAACCCCTTTGAGCTCGGCACCTGGGACAACACCGCCTACGGCTTCGCTCCCCTCCGCTACCTCGCCTCCAACTTCTCCGCCGGCCGCATCCCAAACAACGGCTCCTGCGTCCGCGGCTTCGACCAGGCTGGCTTCGTCATGGGCACCTCCTCCTCCCTCTTCAACCAGTTCATGCTCCAGAACCTCTCCTCCGCCGGCCTGCCCGACTTCATCCAGTCCGCCCTGACCACCATCCTCAACGTCCTGGACCAGGACAACAACGACATCGCCCAATACGTGCCCAACCCCTTTTACGGCTACAATCCGCGCACAAACGTAAACGCAAACCAGACCCAGCTCTCCCTCGTCGACGGCGGCGAAGACCTCCAAAACATCCCCCTCCACCCCCTGATCCAACCCAACCGCGCCGTTGACGTAATCTTCGCCGTCGACTCTTCTGCCGACACAAACTACAACTGGCCCAACGGCACAGCCCTCCGCGCAACCTATGACCGCGTCGCCCAGCCCATCGCAAACGGCACCCTCTTCCCCCCCGTCCCGGACGCAAACACCTTCATCAACCTAGGCCTCAACCGCCGCCCGACCTTCTTCGGCTGCAACGCCTCAAACTTCACCCTCTCGGGCAATCAGCGCGTGCCGCCCCTCGTCGTCTACCTCCCCAACGCGCCCTACGTCGCCCACTCCAACGTCTCGACCTTTGACCCCAGCTACGAGCTCGACCAGCGCGACGCAATCATCCAAAACGGCTACGACTCGGCCACTCAGGGCAACGCGACCCTCGACGCCCAGTGGCCCGTCTGCGTGGCCTGCGCCGTGCTCTCCCGCAGCATGGCGCGGTCCCGCGAGACCGTGCCCGACGCCTGCGCGCAGTGCTTCTCGCGGTACTGCTGGAACGGCACGCTCGATACCCGCGAGGTGGACTATAACCCCACCTTTTCGATTGGCAACATCGAGGCCAACAGTCCGGCCGCGAGGACGGGTGTGAGTTTTGCAGCTGGGGTGTTGAGTGCGGCGGCGGCGGCGCTGGTGCTGGCCATCTAAGATTTTGGTTTTCATGATGATATTTTTGCGCATTAACGGCCTTTCTTTCGATACAACATTACGGGACATCACGGCCGGCAGTGGGTTCATGTTCGAAAACCATATTATTCCCCCAAGGCTAAGGGGGGCATTCTTGGACTCTCCTTCGCCTTCTGAGCTCCCTTGAGAGCAGGAAAACAGGATACTGCTCTGGCGTTGGTCAGCATTAGGATCACGGACATATTCATTACACGGGGGTAAAAAACAGAGAGGTTGGGGAAGAAGCAAGACTTGTTTTTGCAAGACTCTCACTAGAGAAATAGGAGTGTGTGTGAGAGAGAGAGAGAGAGAAGAGAGATGCGTAGTCTTTGAAAAGGCGAATTTGGGGATATCCACTAATGCAAAGGTCCTTCCTTGTAAAAACATGACTGCATCAACAGGCTGCATGTAATGCCATTCGAGGAACCACGGCTCCTGTGCTCCTCCCCCTCCCGTTTTCCCGTGATATTTCCCAAGCTGAGAGAACACCACATATTCTGCTCCTTGCTAGGCCGTGTGAAACCTCTCGCCCCCAACACCGGACCTCCTCCCAAATCCTATGTAGAACGACCTGGAAACCCGGTGGTTTGCTGTGGAAAAATAATATGTATGATTCTCCCGACTCCGACCGTTCGCCTCCCAGACCTAACGAGGAGTATGAATGATGCAATGTCGTGAAAATCAGTCATTAACGCGTAAAAGCAGGCCCGGCGAAGGGCTCTGAGAGGAACAGGGGTTTCGGCGGAGACGGTGGTCGGTTCGGTGGCTCATTGAGTAAATCGAACTGTGGCGCCAGACAGTGATTTTTTTGCCATACGCAGCGTCTGGTCTGTTTCGCAGCCTTGTCGTCCCCTGATGGTGTCCTTTGTCGAAGGAGGACTAAGAGAATTGATAAAACGTATAATGCGGCGGCAATGCGGCGGCAAAGCACCGTTAGGTTATTTTGACACCCGTCTCGTGTGACCCAGCTTCCCATCTTTTGGCTGGCTCAGTCCACCAGAGACCTATCTAGATGGTCGAAAAGGGCCGTCAACCCTTACATCCTTGACACCCTCGGGCATCATTCTCAGCCATTCGGTCCAGTTATCAATGTCGATCGGTTCGTCTCCTATCCGGAATGAGAGTACCAGTTGCTGACCTTCTGTACCGAACGGAAGGCTTGTCCTCAAGGGACCAATGTTGAGAGGTGCGAGAAGAATTGAGGGTAGTCGAGCATTTCCAGACATTTGCATGTGGAGCGGGGACGGGAAGCTGGTGATCGTTTCCTTTTCAGGGTTCCTATCCTGAACGAGGGAAGGATAATTGGACAGTAGTTTTGAGTGAAGCTCTGCTGCAGAGAAAGGACTCGTGAATCGTTGTGAGGCGCGCGTTTTTAGGTGCTCGGTAAGAACTTTGGTAAACGTGCATCGATCCAGGGCATCGAAGTGCTCCTCGGATACAGCAGCAGCCACCAGTTCCAAGACACCTTGCTGGCGGTGCATCTTGGAAGATGGGAAGAATGCGGCGTCCATCACAATCAGGGTGTCTGAACAGGCCTCCTCAAGCACCTGCTGAATACCACTCCACCAGATAGTCTCGGCCTTGTCCTTGTCTTTTGAGCTGGCAAGACGTTAGGTTGCAAGCCTCCTAAGAAGGCTACTTGAGAAGTACTCACCTGGCGAGCACCATCTCCCGGTTGCCGTCCAAGTAGGAATGACCGTTGTAGTAGACAATCTTTAGAACGTCCCTCTGATCACGATCCTCCACAAAGTCGGTAATCTTGCGCGAGAGCCATCTCCACGGGCTTTTGCAGGCCTCTGAAGCAGACGGAATAGTCGTGATCGAAAACGTATACCGGTAATATTGGTCGAAAACTTCTCCCAGTTCTTTGACGGAGCTTCCAACGCTGAAATCAGGGTCGTCCTGCCAGTACAGAAGCAAGGCCTGCGCACTTGAGTAGCGGCTCCGGCTGGGAGTAGACAGAATTCTCGAAACATTGGTCTGTAAGTCAGATTTAAGACTATCAATACCAGGCAAAATTGGAGGCTTGTCGAGCCTGGGGCCGGTCGGGAGTGGCGTGCGAATGCGAGACTCGCTGAGGCGGTGACCACCAGGAGGCGTCGGGGAGTCTATCTCCATCTCCTCGGGGTCCTGCGTGAACATTGACTTGACATTGTTGTTGTTCAGGGCCGGCGCTGGGCTGAGGGGCCGCTGGCCAGCCATAGACGGGGCGATATCCTGGATGCTGGGACTGTGAGACCTATGATATTTCCTGACGGCATCCTCCCAGGTCATGTTGTGATGGCTAGGATGGCACTTGGCAAGGGCAGGATTGTCAGCAGGGGTGAGCACTTTTTGACAATAAAGACGTGAAGGGGTCACGGGTGGCTTACTGCAACTCTCCTTCTGCGACAGTCATTACAGGCGCCCAGCTTTCTGATGAGTGCGGCTTTCTCTCTCTGTTGCTGGGACAAAGGACCGGTTCGCCTCCTGCTCGCGCGGACCCGGTTAGAGACGTCGGAGCCATCCTTTACATGGAATATGGATGTTAAGTTAGGAGAGGTGTCGGCACTGTACGATGTGTTGCTTGTGTCCACGGACATATTGGTGGCAGCGGATGCCGCCGTGGCCTGAGTTGATATGGACGAGTTGGTGTCCTTCCTCAGCGGAGGAGAAGCCGACTGGCCGGGGGTGGGGGGAGGTTGCTGTGACTGGTGCTGAGGAGTCGTTTGCTGCTGCGGCGGCGGTTGATGCTGCGCTGGCAATGACTGCTGTTGTTGGAGCGGAGACTGTTGCGATTGAGGCAGCTCATGATGAGACATTGAAGGTGAGCCAGTTTGGGGTCTGTTTCCAGACTCCTCGCTGCCATTCTTCGGAGGCGCCTCTAACAGACTCGGAGCCGGATGCATGCTTGCAAGTTGTGTTGTCTTATTCCCTTTGTCACAGCAGCAACTACCCTTGACCCATCCTCGGTGTGCGTTGGTGCAATGGTATGTGGCAGAAAAGATGAGAGAGAAGGAAGGAGAAGAAAAAGAGTTTCGAGAATAAGAGAGGGTGGCTAGTGGAATTCCCGCGCCCCTTCTCTTCTCATACACACACACACTTGGCTCTGTCTGGCTGTCGCGCCTTTTCTTTGAAGTTGGGCAGATTGTGTGGTGGTGCCCCACCGAGATTCACCGACGCGAAAGAGCGACCAGAGAAAAGTGAGGGGTAAAAGAAACGGGTCCTCGGAGGCGGGGAGCAGCCAAACAGAGAATGCGCCGAGGGCAAATGATGCCAATTGAGACCCGGAAACCGGAAGAAACCACCGCAGGGACGGTCGAGAATAAAAGAAGGACAATTAGACTTGGTTTCGGTGGACGACCGTCTCAATTCGAGGTGTGTGAAGGTGGGAGGATGAGGGCCGAGGCCAAGGTGCACGAATAAAAATAAGGTCGGTCGGTCAGGATTTAAGGGTACGTGCACCGAGCACCGGAGAGGGAAAGAGCAAAGAAAGCACGGGCCAGGACCCCCGGTAAGGTACGGCGCTGGGAATTGAGATCGGGAGGTGAGGTGGTACTGAACCTCTGGTAGTGCCCGTACGCAGTTAGGTAGTGTGGTGGTGGTGGTTGGCTGGTTGTGGTGGAGGTGGTAGTGGACTATGGTTTGGACGCTGGTGGTACCTCTGGTGCAAAACCTTCTCCAGTATGTCGTTTGCGTGGATTTGGATGTTGTTGTTGTGGTGGGAGAAGAGAAAAAGCGACGAGGTATGGATACTTCTGGCAAGGTACCGATCAGTCCAGGCCGGGATGGGGATGGGGACGGGTGAAGGGGACGGGGGAAGTTGGGCGTACGTAGGTGGAAAGAGAGACATACATACTTACAGTCTGGATGGATGGATGGAAATCTGTTGACCGGGCCGGTACAACTAAATCTCTGTCCGATTTTCTTGCAGCCAGAGATACACGGAAAACAGATACGGCGGTTAAAAAGCCCTTATTGGTAGGTACCGAGCGAGTATCGTCGACTGAGGTGAACCGAGTGACTTGCAGAGGTGTAGCACAAGGCAAGGTAGGAGGGAGAGGGACGAGACTGAGAAACGAGACAACCCTGCGACAGGGATCGTGGATGTTGTGGATTTTGGGTTCAGAGAGTTCGATGCTTGGGCTTGGTGCTGAGTGAGTGATCCAGGTGAGGGTTGTGACTTTTATCGAGCGGGTCTGGGTCCGGGTTTCGGTCTGATGGTTTTTTTGTGTTGCTGCTGCTTGCCGATGCTGAGCGGTTTTACTCTGGTTCTCTGATGATGATCTGTAGGTAGTCGACCTTCTTTCTATGTTCCGTTCGCCGGGTCTTATGGTTCAAGGTATCTGGAGATGTTTGTTGCTTCGTTTCCGTTCGTCTTTACAAGTACTTTCTGCTTGCTAAGAAAGGGAGTTAGAGAGCGAGACACAGAGAACAGAGAACACAAGCCAAGACGCGTGGTCGGTAGGTAAAGAAATCCCCGCAGAGTCGAGGCCCCCGGTCCTCTCCTCAAGTTTTCTGAGTCGTTGCACTGGCAGGTGTGGATATCTCAAGAGCAAGAGGACCGGGTTCCTCTTCTTTTCCAGCATCACGCTTCACCAAAGTCTCCATTCGTGGATGAGTGTGAACATCATCATATTTTCTTCTTCACACAAGGTTTTCGCTCACCTCAACTCTCCGTTGCACCTTAGGTGCCTATGTCCATGCGAGATTCAATGCAATGCAAGCTTTGAGGTCTGAATGGCTCAATCGTGTTCGGGGAGATGGATGTAGGTTGATAGGCACTTGCAAGTTGAAAAAGACATGAATAAGAAAGTATGGCAGAGCACGAGAGAGAGGAATGAGCTCAAGGAAGCAGTCGTCGGGTATTCATTCGTACGGAGCAGAGAAAGGCAGGTGCGCTGTAGTAAGTCGCACGACACAGCCCAGCCGAGCCCAGTCGTGCCAGTCTTAACCTCCAAATCAGCTTCCATTCGATCTGGCCAGCCCACCTCACCTGCTACCCCGTGGTGCATCTCAGGTTTGTCTACATCGCCATCTGCACCTGCATTCTGAGCTACCTACCTTAGGTAGGGAAAGGTATGTACTCATGAAGTACCTCGTCTCCGTGGTGGCTGCCGATCTATTCAAGGCAGGTACTTTGCCTCATGTTATTTCTTAAAAGTGACTTGGACAGGTCAGTCACTCAACCCAATGGAAGAAAGGAAGGAACTGAGGTGCACTCTTTCCCTCTCACCTCAACTAGACCGACATTGGTACATTTCGGAAAGGAAGCCGCACCCGCATTTGCACCAGCTACTGCATAATGAGACTGGTATCGTTCCGGCGTTCCTTCCCATCACCTACCTTACCTTACCTAACATCCAGGAATAGGTAAGGTAGCAGATGGAAAGTCGACAACCTCACTTGTCAGGCTTCACGGAGCGCTTGACCCGGCACCGTTTTAATTTTTTTTTTCTCAATCCTTGGAGGGGAAGGAGGGGGAAACAGCGCCTGGCACGTCAAAGGAAGGGTCCAGGGGGGCCACCGGGGGGTGGTAACCTTTCACCTCCACACGCGCACGCACCAGATTCTGCAAAAGGTGGGAAGGTGCGAGGTGTGAAGTGGGATGGAACGATGGGCCACGGGCAGTTTGCTGCGCCGTGGCGGGGACACCTTCCCTATCCAAGACCTCAAGGTACTCCGTGCCGTCATTTTGGCAGGGAAGTGACTTTGTCCGACGGTGAGCTTCCATGGCACGCATGGAGGACGGGAGACCTGTCTCGGGTTGGCAGGTGAGAGAGGAAATACGACGGTTGCTCTTGCCGCCAAACCGCTAAACTGCTAAACCGCCGCTCTTTGCTCCGAACCTCTAGTCTTTTTTTTTTTCTCTCCCATCGGCGTTTTCTCGTCTTGTCTCGTCCGCCTACCTTACTACCTGACCACCTCACCTAATCCAGTCTACCACCAACCGTCACCCTACAACCGCCACACACAGCATCCGTACCTTGACCTGTTACCTTGGCCAGCCAGTTCTTGTCTGCTCTCCCTTCTCCCCCGCGATCCACTTTAGATCTTAACGAGATGCTTGAATCGAGTAGGATTATGGGGTCATTGCTGAAGCGTCCCAGACTCCCAGCCATCACTACGACAGTGTCCACACCTTCAGCTCCAAGTCTAAAAGGCAAGGTAGAGCTAGCATTGCATGGGATCGGAAAGGGCAGGGCAGAAATGCCCAGGACACTGAAAGATCCGTTGTCTTAGGCATGCACACATATCCGTACACACACATTCACAAGGACAACTTCTCGCATTACAATCTGGCATGGCCTCACTTAGACCCGAAGAGTCGACAGATGCGCCTGATATTCAAAGACATCCAGGCGTTCGCGCAGGATTCGCAGCCCAGTCAATAAAGCCCAGCCCAGCCCAGCCCAGCCATCAGTCGCGCGGCCCGCCCGATGATCTTCAACGAGCCAATATGCTCACCGACCGAGGAATGGTGTGGACGTCTGTTCTCGGTGTCTCGGCTGGGGGGCGTCTAGCCATGTCCCGTCCGCTTGGCATGTGCGGCTTGACTACAGTACGGAGAAGCTCGGAAACCAAACAGCAGCTGAGACCCAAGTCAATGACCTCTGTCGCCGCAAAACCACACTTCCTGAGATTCCGTCTCCTTCCATACGACCAGCCGTTTTGCGGGTATTGCCTGACCCTGCCTCTTCACTGCCTGACTGATGGAAGCGAGGAACGATATCAAAACACCCGCACCCATAGAGCAAATCATGACGAGAACGACAATGGGGAAGCACCTCTGGCGATGCAACACCAACCGGGCCTGGCAAAGAAAGACATGTCATACGCACCACGTGGACCCTGTCCTGTCCCTGTCACCGTCTCCTTCACTTTTTCGCTGTACGGGTACGCTGTGCCTCCTCGTCTCATGGTCAGGTCTCGTCCCGCCCGCCCGCTCCCTGCTCCTCCGCCCACCGAGTAACAAGATCGGCTAGCTGAGTCGCTGATTCACCTTCAGGCTTCGGGCTGCAAGCCTGCAACTGCAAGTCTCCAACAAGTCAACAACTGACCACCAAACCCTTTGCTGCACCTCCAATGGATCCAAGCGGGGGCTGTCAACCCCCACAGCCCTGGGCCAATGGCTCGGTTCCTCTTCTAATTATCCGCGCTCTAGTCGGACATCAACAACAGCCCAATGCAGAGAGAACAATGAACAATGTGATTCACTGGAAACCTACAGACTCGAGATCAGAGCCCTATCTCGTTACGCAATACCTCAACAACCCATTGGTCTATCCTCAAGGATGTGCAAGATTGGACTTGAGGTCGGCATTTACCTTGCTTGGGCTCGCTGGGCTAACTTGCCCTAATCCAGCCTGAAGCTGTCTCTCGACAGAGTTGATACCTCTCCTGCTCACTCACGATATCCCATCCGCAGCGCGCTGCCTGTGAGTCGGTCACAACCACCGACTTTTGCCCCACGAACAAGAACCGAATGCTGCGTCCATCCGTCCTCTCATATTCTCACTCCTTTCGCCCACCTGTACTAACCAATGAGTCTGGCTTCACCGGAAAATACCGCCAGCCTCACCGCAACTCCCTTTCCGATAGGTCTCCGCTCATCCCCCCACACTAGCACTTGAGTCTTTCTTTCTTTTGGCCTGATTCACGAATCATCATCCATCTCACAATCCCGCTGCATCTGCACTTCCCCTCGAACGAGATGAAGGCCGCAACGTTTTGCTGCATGTTTTGCAATGCTTTTGTCTACTCAGATGGCCATGCGATGCAACGGCCCAAGTCAAAACATGCTCTCCCATGTTAAGTTTGCCATTTGCAAGGATCACGGGCGAAAGATTCTGTGTTCATCGCGTCGTTGCTTCTTGAGATGCCTTGGCTGGCAAAGGCGGCAGTACTGAGAGTCGCATTTCGAATTGCCAGCCCACCTTTGCAAGTAACACCGTGGCTATGCCTCTGTTGTGTGTATCAACGTTGCAACTCCGGCAATCCCATCGACAAAGGGCCGGCGTCAAAACACCATTGACCATTCAGCCGGCAAATATCCACTTCTACGGTATGCCTGTATTCGTCCTTCCAGACCTCTCCTGCCGAGTCGACGACCTGGCACAGTCAAGGTGTGTCTATGATTAGCGGCATATGCACGAAAGACGTGCGTACATACTGGTGGGATTCGCGCTTCAGATAGCCGTCGCGCCGTCTGTTCTTGTCGGCCTGCATGGCATGTGCAGGAAAAACAACATGAACATTTACAGCCGAACCTCTCTTAGCTATGGATTCTCTACCGCCCCAGACTTTGAAATCCGCCTTCTCAAACTGTCGGTTTGGACTTTTGGAATAGTCCAACCAGCGCGACTGTTCAGCACATCATCAGGATCGGACCGAACCACCTTTGTCCATGGCGTCTGCCGTCCTTGCACAACATGAAAAAAGAGGGTGGCGGGAGCGAGCAGCGGGTGCCACATCCATCTCCTCGTCGGGACCCGGTGAGCTCAATGTCCCCACCCCTCCGGGCTCATCACTTATCTCGGTCTGCATTCCTCCGGCCATTGAATAGATACGACCAGGGCCGGGGCCAGAAGCTCACTGGCTGACTTTGAGGCCCATCTGCCCATCGTCGAAGATTGGGCAATGAGGAAGAAAGGTGTCAAATCCCGCACGGTGAAGGAACGGCAAGATGGCGGATGGCAGACGCCAGACGATGGTTCCACCGGCGGCCAGTGGGATTGGCCAGCCTCCGATATCGCCCCATTCCGCTTTAGGACTGACTCGGTAACCTCCCGCCGACCGAAGCCGCTTCAGCGAGGTGTGACAATGGGCGGCAACGCGGGCGCGAACGGCCTCTGAAGCGGTCGGCGCCCGGCGTCTAGCCGACTTGATGGACCACGCCCTCAGCCTCAGTCACCTGGCACACTTTGAATGGGGGTGGATGTTGAATGTTGCTTCAGAACGTAAGACAAGCCTCGGCAGTTGCTGCAAAATGCGGGACTTCTTATACTGGTTACCCGCCTTTGCTAGCATTACGGAGGTGCCACACAGGCTCGCGTACCAAGTAGCCGGTGAATCGTTGTCACTAGCCCTAGTAAGTTTGCGGCTCAACTCTCACCTGACCGAGTCGCCTGCGGTCCCAGACCTTGGTGATTGCTCACCTATTTTAGAGCGGACGCCACTCTTGACATTGACTCAGTCACAAGAGTATACCATCGGCTGCTTGTGAAATACTAACTGACTTTTTCTAGAGTTACTTCTGAATATGGCTTAACTTTCCTTATTCACAGGGCCATCATATGTGAACATCAGCCTGATAGACTATGTGATCTCCTCGTGATACGTCTTCACATGTAATCGTCTACCATAGCCTCGAGAATGTCCGTTGTTGTTTTCAAATCTCTCTAGGATCGTTAGCATGTGAGACGGGCAAGGAATAACACGGAAATTGACAGCATTCTGCATATATCTCACTCTTTCGGGTCCCTTGCCGAAACATGACATATCATATCGTATACCAATATACTGATATACCCCTTACAGTAATCCTTGTTCGTCAGGTATCCACCGGTAGCGCAAAAATGACTACGGATAACCTGCTGTTTACAGTGATTTGGGTTTCCAAGTGTCCCAAGACACTAGCAGACCACGAGATCGAAATACTGTTTCAAATAATTGACTAGAACAAGTGAGCACGTGAGAGAAGTATCAGGGTCCCTAGAGATACCATGCTGCCTGAGATGACTGCGTCTTGTGTTGGTTCTACCTTGGATACTGCTTGGCCAACGAAAAGAAAGAGAAACTACAAATATAACGGTTCAGCTTGATAATCAGGGTGCAACCTTAACCTTGGGTATCAAACAATACAGCCATGCGCTTCGACGTACTGGCAACTCAGTGGCCATAGCTGATGTCACATGGATGTAACACAACGGTGGCAATGTAATCTCCATACTTGTTCCCTGACAAGGCAGGCGACGTCTACTCGCTATGTCAATGTATAGTAACAAATTCGGGTCCGCTTATACTCTTGATGATAGTCGCCCGATTCATCATTGATGAAAGATCAACCTCGTCCGTGAGCCAGTAGTTTGGATCTTTCTTGAACAAATTCTCCAGTACGGCACGAGTCATCTGAGTCTTATGAGGCACTGTGATTTGAACGCGCGCGAGATTGACGACGGGAGATTACCTGGGATGGGATATGAATGTTCGCGAGGTTGGAACAAGCCCCCCGTACGAAGCTGCTCACTGGAAAATCTGTTCAGATTCCATGCGAGGCAATCTCGTCCAAATACCCCGTGTGCAACGGCTCGCAGCTTTACTTGCTAGTTGGCTTGGTGTATGATATGATATGACATCCTGAGACTTATTTCCTCGTCGTGACTGCTCCGGATTTCACGAGTGTATTTACCGTCGGGGGGCGTTGGAATGACCTGTCGTTTCCGGTAAAACTGACATAGACTTGCCTAGGAAACGTCGGCTATGGTTTTGGCATTTCATCACTGCGGGTGTGAAGAGACTGGCCTGGCACGGAGTGGGGTGGCTAGGCGTGACGCTGGACATGGACAATCGATCTACAATAGCCAAATACCTATGTCGTTTATTGGCAGAACGGAGCACTCAATTCTAGACACATAGACTATTGTTACTCTCTCTCTCTCTCTCACACACACACACACGACCAGCAGGGAGAATTGTGTACCGCGAAGTAGGAAACGGCGACTGTCTTCCGGTACTCAGTCATTCTTCGAATGGTCACGCGGGAGATCGGAACGAGTCTGTATCTGTTCACCTCACAAGTGGCGTTTTCCATCATGACCTCGAATCGGAGCAGGAGGTTTGGTAGAGACCCTATCACTCACGAGATATCTCTCCCCTGACGCGACCATGAAGGGTTTTGAAACACGTACCAAGGGAATATCACAGTCATATGAAGGGCGGAGATTACTTGGTTGGGGGGAACGTAGTGAGATAGGATACGTGGGGCCCAGGAAGATGAAGGCGTTGTTTGCAATTCGGATTGCAGATTTAGCTAAGAGATGGAATACACGGAAGATTCTTGCCAGTGTTCTCTTCTCGTGTCAGAAGGTACTTGAGTCTATTCAAAGCAGGAGCGAAGTTGACATTGTGTACCTCACACGTCGCGTACCTTCCCTCGCAACCACCGCAATAATTCAGTAAACAACACATCTCACCATCACCACCACCACCACCAGCAACCTTTCTCGAACCACAGAAAACAACCACGTATGCACTGTCTCTATCCACTCCTGAACACCATGCACTCAAACTATAGGCAGCCAAAAAGGAAAAATCTCTAGAAGATTTCTCCTAAAAGTTCGGAGAAGGGGTGTTGAACCCCGACCCTATGAAAACCCCACCCCGCTAGGGGAATTTTCTGCTCTGTATTTTACCGCTCGGCTAATGCGTTCCCGGGGCGTCCCCCGGGGCAGGTATTCGTATGAAGAAAAAAGTTGTAGATGAAGGGATGGGATGGGCGGTGTGGTGAAGGGGTTGACCGTCCGGGTGAGGGTGGCTTGAATGTTGGGATGAGAAAAGGGGGCGGCACGGGGACTGGTGGATATGTGGATGGGGAGCCTGAGGTTCCAAGAAAGACGGCTGGATACCTTCTTGATGAGCAGTATACTGGGTCCGAGGCACCAAAGGATAGAAATTACTTTCTATTCTTCGAATCTGTTCTACCGAATAAGCAAAAGAACATGCCGTCTATGATGGCCGCTGCTGGGAGCCATCCAACCTAACACTACCTCTCATCTCAAGCATCATCCCAAAAACAGATAACGTCCAGCGTCTGTCTACCTTTAACTCATTAAAGGGGCTTATTCGCGAACCCCAACTCCTTATTTCCGCCATGAAACACCACAAACTGCGACTTGAGGAAGACGTCCCCGTATATCGCAAAGGGCAAACCCGCAGAGCTCTGTATACCCCCAAAGCACGTCGTCGAAGTCTCAACCGTCTGCCCGTCGACGGGAGCAAACTTCATAAAGTCGCCCGGGACCACGGCCTGGTACTTTCCCATGTCGACCGTGAAGGACGGGATCGTGTCCTTGCAGTTGAACACGAAGCCTCCGTTGGTCGCGTCATACTTTGCGCTCGCGATGCGTTGGTAGTATGCCGAGACGATGGCGTCGGGCAGCAGCATGAGTGTCGTGCCCGTGTCCGCGATGGCGGCGTGAGGGGCCGAGGTTGGCGCGCTGCCGTTGGAGCCGACGGCGAAGCCTTGGGCTGTGAATTGCCAGAAGCCTTGCGTCGTGTTGGCGGGGACGAAGGTGATGTCGCCCGTGTACTCTGTCGAGTCGAGGAAGCCAAAGTTGTAGTTGCCGGCTTGCGAGATGTGATTAGTTGACTGTCTTGAAGGGGCCTCGAAGTGAGAGTTTGTGACTTACCAGCTGCCTTCTTGAGGTTTGCTGTGAATAGTGGCATGGCGAGATTGTTCATTGCATTCTCAAAAAAGGTTTTCTGCTTGGCAGGCGTGACGGTGTTGATGTTGCCAAAGGCGAGTCCGACAAGACCAGACTGGTTCTTGTTTCGGGAAAATGAAGAAGACACTTGAGTAGCAGACTCGACTGCTTGGCTCTCTACAGTCACGCCGCCGATCGTAACAGTGTCCATGAACACATTACCTTGGGACGAGCTACCGTCGCCATAGGAGATTGACCAAGAAGCACCCTGGAGGACTTTGGCGCTTGTACTGGCGTTGATGTTGTACACTGTCTGCCCCGCAACTTGGGTTACGGGTGTCTCGCTACTGAAGACCCATAGATCCGAGGACCCGGTATCGAAGTTGAGCGGGATAGTCTGGGGCGGTGTGCCGATCTGGACAGGGCAGAGATACTGGCTGTCGAACTCGGCGGGAATCGCCGCAACCTCTCCTTCAGGACTGTAAGCTTAATACCAAAAAGCCGACATATCAACTTACCACCTGGAGGTGTCTTCGTGCCATTGCCTTTGTTACCTCCACCTCCGGGAGTAGTGGTGGTACCATTGCCCTTGGAACCACCAGCACCAGCATTGCCTCCTTTCCCTCCCTTACCCTTTCCTTTACCGCCACCCTTACCCCCTTTACGACCGCCATTGCCTTTGCCTCCGTTCAGCAACCCAAGCTCTCCAAGAATTTGGTCGATGAGTCCAAGAAGATCGTCGGGAATCTGTTGCCCGAACTTGGAATAAGCTCTAGCCAGTGCGATGGGCCCTCGCCTGTTTCCATAGTAAAAGTCGGGATTGGGAGCCTGCTCGATTCGAAAGGCCGCGCCGCCTAGAGTGGAAATTTCTAATTTCCGAGGTGCCGCATCTACTAGATGAGAAGCAAAGGGAACGAATGCTGCCACTGCAGCTGGTTTGGTGAAACGCATGGCCACTTGGGGAGAAGGAAGGTCTGGCGAAGGAGTGAAGCCAGATGAGAAGCTCACAGCTTCCAACAAATAATGATATTAGAAGAAGAACAGTATGAAGATAGTGACACAAGGAAAATAAAAGGCTTGGAAGCGCGGAGCGTCCTGGGGAAATAAGCACACAAGCTTTTGCCAAGTTCGCTTCCCATTGTAGCAACGCATAGATCGACCTTCTCAGCCGTTTCGAAATGCTCGAATACCTAGTCACCAGTTGGATCGCCATCCGGGCAATGACGAATCGCGAGACAGAAGGAGAAAATTCCACTTTCCGGGCCTGGCGACGAGGACCTGATGTAGGCGCCAGGGGCTGAATCGTTCGAGTCTGACTGCCATCGGCGAGTCGACAGTCTCCCAAAGAGGCGCATCCGTAGATGACCTGCGACAGTCGATCATTCAGCTCAACTCAAAGCGTGGTTCCTCGCGGACACTGTACGCCGGAGTTGTGAGGCGGCCTCTATGGCCGTATGCTTGGCTTCCGAAACACTGTAAGTCGGGCATGCGACCCCTGTCCGCAAGGTCAACCAAGTCGCGATGCCGAACTCCCGTGACAATTTGTTGGATTGCCAGACCCCTGTTTCTAGCCGCAACGCATCCAGCCAGGTCAAGACTTGACGTGTGATGTTGGACGAGGGCATCCGTAATGTGGGAAAGGGAAAAATTAAAGATCAATCATCTGAAGTTGCTCAGAGACATGCGATGAAAAGAGCGGGAGAAATAGATTGCGACGTATCTTGACGGTCAAAGTCTAATACGGAGACGAGAAGAACAAGGGAGTCGGAGAGGGTGTGGCATAGCTGTGACGAGATTCATGCAAAACTGAAACCGCTCTCCATCCTTCTGTTGACAGCTGTTGTGACTTGGAAGACACCACTTGAGTCTTCGGTCGAATCCCCGGACATGTGCGACGGTTGTGAGTATTTGACATCACGGAGAGACAATGCTTGTTCCGAAGGAAAAAAAAAAAAAAAGCCGGTCGTGGCAATGCTGATCGGACAGTGGGAGAAGTTGTTCGTTCCTTGACGTCGGGACAGCCGGGTTCCGATGGGTTATAAGCCTGACCTGAGTTTGCGACTAGAAATACTTGTAGAAGTTAGCCTGTTGATAAGGCGTATCAAAGAGGCACCGTCAAATGTATTGATATGCGAACCCGAGCGAAGGATAGCGCCGTCACTTGGCGAGGTCGATCTCTGCAAGCTAATCTCTCCAAGGCGTCGTTGCCTTGATTTTCCCGTCCGAGATCCTGTTAGGACACATTCATCTTGCCAGGTATTGGCCATCCATCATCAAGCTCTCGGTTGCTTAGCCAATACCATATCATCGGAATTTCGATGATTCAGGGATCGAAGAAGCGATGGGAGAATGTGCGTATGTGTATCCGTAGGTGTGTGTTCATGGGTAAGGTGAAATGAATGGCGGCTTGACAGCTGCCCAAATCTTCAAAAGGTGGAAAGCTCAAGGTGGAAGCAGATTCCCGAGCCAGGCACTGCCAGGGTGTTGCTTAGTCACCAAAACATACCCCGCCACCCCACTTGCTTGAAGTTCTGAGATTTGCCAAGAGGCAGTGACAGTCCAAAAACTCACCAAGACTCACCGCCCGAACATTGCCCCCCCTATCACCGAAAGGCATCAGGTCCCCTTACGCGTCTTCGTACGTGTCAGCCACTGCTTACGATGTGAATGACTTCCTTTCCACGTTGTTCTACCAAACTCTATCCATGAGTCTCTCTTTCTTGCGATTTTCTTCAATACCCCGTCACTCGTTGACTTCCTGCCGTTTTTTCTATCTCTCATTTCCTTCCTAGTGACGATTAGGGTCTTGATTATTTCCCTCTTTCGCATTTGTAACCACGCAACGACTACATGACTACATACAACGATACACGACGATAAAATGCCAGAACACGATGCTCTTATTCTATCATTCTCACATTTACCGGATTTTCCGCGCGCCCCCGATGCTCTCCAAACGCTGAAGAAGGTGGCCTCTTTGGTCAAGCCCATCATGCGAGTTAGGGGGTGGAAGGTGCGAGAGCTAGCTGAATTCTACCCAGACCAAGCAAACCTCCTCGGTATGTTAACCTCCTGAAAGTTCCATCAATCTACTAATTATGGTGTATTTAGGTTTGAATATCAACAGAGGCCAAAGAATCCTCGTCCGTTTACGTTACCCCAATGACCGATCACTCTTCCTACCTATAGAGCACGTAGTTGATACGATGCTTCACGAACTTTCACACATTGTATTTGGACCACACGATGGAAACTTCCACGCGCTATGGAACCAACTTCGAGACGAACACGAGTCGCTCATTCGAAAGGGATATACGGGTGAAGGATTTTTATCAGATGGACATCGCCTAGGAGGCGGCCGGATACCTATGCATGAAGCTCGACGACTTGCTAGAGCATCAGCTGAAAAACGCCGTACCCTGACAAAGGGGTCAGGCCAGCGTCTTGGTGGCTCTGGACCCAGCATCGGTTCAGATATCCGGCGAACCATCGTGGGCGCAATAGAGCGCAGAAACACCACACTGCAGGGATGTGGTAATACGAACCACAATGATAGGGAAATTCAACAAATCTCCGAGACAGCTACGAAAAACGGCTTTCGTACGCAGGCCGAAGAAGACGCGGCTAATGAAGCTGCAATTGCGCAAGCTCTTTGGGAACTGGTACAAGAAGAAGAGCGCCAACGATACGGCGGTTACTTTATTCCGCCAACAGCGCAAAACCCTACTGGCAACGGTGGAGGATCTGTCATGGGAGATAACGAAAACAGGAGCAGTAGTGTTCCTCCGCCGATCCCAGGGCCAGGAACGAGACCTCCATCGGTACCAAGGCTCCCAAGGCCAGAGACTCGGCCACCAGTTGTGTCTGCACCGGTGCCCCAACCAGCTCCGCAACGGGGCTGGACATGCGGAGTCTGTACCCTCCATAATCCTTCAAGCTTTTTGTGCTGCGATGCGTGCGGCACAGAACGAGGTCAGGATCCTCAGCGTCAAGTGTGGACACCAAATGCTGAAAAGCGCGAACGCGAACGCGAACGCCAACGGGCATCAATGGCCGCAACGGCGAAGAGCACGACACAGCCTGCCACTATCGATCTCACGAGTAGTCCGCCCAGAGCCAGTAGCAGTAAGAAGCCTGGTAGCAGCAATCAACGCCCCGAGCCAGTGAAGCCTCTAACCTGGCAATGTTCGTACTGTGGAACGATGATGGAAAGGCAGTGGTGGACGTGTTCGACGTGTGGAGTGATGAAAGACAATTCAATCTGAGCGAGCGGGGAAGAGGCGAATTACATGGATGAACTCCGGCGGCGAAGGAACGAGGAGGGCACATGAGCACGTGAAGGGGTCCTTTCTCTGGATCCTCAGGGTCCAAATGACGAAATGGCCGATGATACCCTTGCAAGCGAAGGGATTTTGCAATGCCTGTACTGCATCATGTCGTCTGTTGCTTTAGGCGACAGATGTAAGGCTGCGTTACGAAATCGAGACGGAATGACATAATATCTCGCGACCACGAAAAACGAGATGCAACCCACAACCTATTGTGACCCAGTGCTAGGTACGCTGACATGGCTGGCAACTTACAAGCAAAGTAAATGGGGAGGAATCGAGTCATTGTGTGGATTGCACACGGGTGGCATGCTCCCAGCACATGTCAAGACAAAGATGCGCCATGATATGGAATCTTTCAGTGGCACAAACGAGCTACCCTCGAGCTACACTCGAGCTACACCCGAGCTACACTGCTTCTGTCTATGTACGAAGCTGAACGACGTTTGGTTGCGTTCTGAGGGTTCGGGAGAGAGGCCGATGGCCAATCAAGACTGCTTATACCAAGATGACGTCAACAACGGGCAGGGCAAACACGCAGACACGCTCGGGCAGCAAAGCTCTGTCAAAATCAAGGGTGGTAGTGCACCAGGATGATTGGTCCTCACCACCAAGGGCAGGGTCAGATGATCTGCGTTGTACCACGCAACTTTGGAGTCTATGGTGGCACTGAAGGCGCACCGATATGGAGAAGACGACCAGGGCCCTGGTCGTGTCTGTGGCCATCCCGGTCTAGGCGTCTTGAGTGCCCTGCGGGCTAGACCCGTTCGAGTTGTAGATCTACGATCGATGGGGAGACCGTGAGGTCTAGATGCAGGGCAAATTTGTCACCGACAACGCCAGTCGGAGACAGTCAAAGCCCAAGTCTTTGCGTTTATCCGAATCCAGCGTAGTAGACATCAATTCCAAGTATCGAGAGCTTATGAGTGGATGAGCCAATGCGGGAAAAAGACTCACCGAACGATGATCTGTGCCGCATCTACGGCGAAGACCAAATAGCCTCGAATATGCAATTGGAGAGCATCGCCTGCTACACAGCATGATCGCTTCTCAACAGAGGACAAGCAGCTACAGTCTGCAATTCGATGTATGGACGAGGACAGGCGAACGTCACACGCGTCAAACCGAACTGACGGGATCGCCCGGGTACGCGACGGGTATAGAGAAGATTGAGGCAGTCAGCTCCTTGTCTGTCATTATGGCCTCATATTCCTGCGGCAGATGGGAACAGCGAACGGAGTTTCAACAGCGCGACAGACTCGACAATCGATCTGCCACCAGTCGATTGTTGGCGAGAAAAAGATCAGCTTGCGACAAGGTTGATGAGCAAGACCACGCTTAACTGCAAGCTCGCTACCAAGCTGCGTCTCCCTAAGGGTCTACGAATTGGTACACGGACGTGAACCCCCAGGCTTTAGCTAGCGCCAGACGTTTTCCATCAGCTGTCGATGCCTTTTCACCAACTGCTGGCTCCTGGTCGAACGCTATTGCGAAGGGACGAAGAGCCTGAAGTACTTCGATTATAGAGTCGACTTAATTTGACCGTGGATCGGTTCTAGAAATCAGACTGAGACTGACAGGAACAAGCGCAACATTCTGTTTTGACAATTAAGAAAAGACTGAGACATTAGCGGAAGTAACCAGTGGCTGAACCAATTCCTCGACGGTTGGGGGTGCCGAGCGACACACCTGACGGACCCGGCCAGACACGCGGATCGCAGCAAGACAAAGAAGGGATCAGCACAACGAGAATGTCGCTCACAGAAAAAAATGTCCCGAAGGTCGGCCAGGAAGCAGGTGGTGGTGGTGTGTGCTGTGCCTCTCTTAGGTCAGGGTCCTTCTCTACAGCGGCATGGGGCGCCTATCTTTACTTCACTTGGGGCAATATTCCATTCTTGTTAGCTCTTTCGAGTTGACCCATCCGGACCCCATCATGTCCCATATTCGAGGTTTGCCTCGTCCGTTGAGGGGATCCTCTTCTGCCGTCATCGTCGTGGTTTTGCGACCCACGCAGCAGCAGCAAGGCGAATATTGACCCGGCGCGTAGTTCCGTCGCAGTTGGGGGCCTCGGTTTGGGGAGCACGACAGCAGAGCAGCAGTGGACTATGATATCCAACACAGTCCGATATTGGTCTGTCTCTCCATGGTGGAGAAGTAGCTGGACAACACATCGACGACGCCGTACACGAACCTGGCCGGAGCCTCAATCCGTCGTCCGGGCTTGATTAATATTGTGGATGTTTATGGGCGTACGCCGGCAACAACACGGGAGGAGACGGTGCCATGCGCGTGGAAGGGGGAGGTGCAGAAGATGAGGCGGTTTAGTGCATAATGTGGGTGTATTCTGATGTTACACGAAAACTGACATTTGGCGAGTACTGGAACAGCACGGCGTACCAAACCACGGAAAAATGACAATCTGCGGCCTCTCTCGGATGAGGTAGGTATGTGATTGACGGACGAATGGCATGGATTGGGCCGCAAAGACGAACGGGAAGATCCCCACGCAGGAAGGGTCTGGACAGAGTTGAAGCATGGAAGCAGGTCGACGCTCGCGGTGCCTGGTGTCTCGAGCAGCTCCTTTTCCAGGGGAATCCCTCACGGGGAGAAGTTGAATGTTGGAAATGTCGGGCGATTTTAATCATCAAGAAGTGGGAAAAGAAGGCAGAGCGACAGGGCATGACGAGTTTGACGGGCTGGGCAGAAAGGAGCATCGCTGCCATGGCTGGTGCCTCAGCTGTGGGCAGACCGCAGGGTGAGCAACCGATCCACTCTGTACCTGCGGAGTGCCTTGCCTATTCATTCGACTACTGCGTATACGATGGATACCTAGGTACCGCCATTTCTATGTACATAGAATCCCAGCGGGCAGGTGTTGGGGACGGCCCACTGGAGGATAGTGGACATGGAGGGCGTCATGGGTGGGCAGACCGCTCAATGTGCCTGTCCTGGTTCATCGAGATGGCCTTGTACTGTGTATTGCGGTGGTGAGGTATCTAGCGGGTACCTGGTAGCCAGGATTAAGTAAGATACCTATTTGGGGATACGTACCTGTGGTCGGAATCAGATTTCGATGGCTTCCTGATTGAACTTGTGCATCCCCCATCCACTTTCCCATCCACCTCGTGGCCAACTGAAAAGCCTGCCTGCTGGAGGTCAGAAGTATCTTTGTACCTGGCAAGTCCGGATACGAGGATATCCAGCAAACCGAGGGTGTGACGCTTGGATACCTGACGCGATATGCAGCAAAGAAAGGCACAAGTTCTCGTACCGTTCAAGTCCCGCCCGTACCTACTTACTAATGTCAAGGTGCACCCCGTTTCTCGCATCTAATCCCACGGTCCCGTTCGTTCCCCCCTCTCTGCCGTCTGGCCACCGCCGCTGTCACAGCATGACGATCGCTCTCTCTCCCTGAGCACCAAATTTGTCGCGCATGCTGTCCGGAACGCAGGCCAAGCGCATGGAATCAATCCAACAGAGGAACGGGCAGTGTGAGTTTTTTTTTTTTCTGATTCATCGCCTTCCGCTTCCCCGCCCGCCGGCACAGAAGTCGCGAGACTTGGATGCCCAACGGCAGCAGTCAGTAAGTACCTAGCAGACGAGAGCGAGGAAGAGGCGGCGGCGGCGGCGGGGTTGCTCCAAGGTAAGGTATGATTCGCATCCAGCAGAAACATTGCCCAGTCTGGATTCGCCTCCACGTTTGGCCCTTCCCCTCCTCTCTGTTCTGGTCTGCTCGTCTGTCCTCGTGTGCTTCTATCTGTAGTGTAAAGTAGGTGGTCACTACCTCATTGTCTAGAGTAGCACGAGTAGGTAGGTAGGTAGGTACTGTGCCGGTCCGTTCATGAACAAAACCCACGAGCTCAATCATCGATCCACACAACTCAGGTCCAGTCCGGTTCTGGTCCAATTTGTCCCACCGCCCATCCACTGCCACCACCTCTTGGGATAATGCTCCCCTTCCATCCCCCCAGTCCCGGTCGCGGTCCCATCTTACTGTACCTACCTTACGGGCTTGTTCCCCCGGGCCTCAGCTTTGGTGCCCATGTTCCTCCATGTTCCCAGAGTTACCTTACGGATACCTGCCTAAGCAACTAAGCACTGTTAAGCTACCTACTGCGTATGCTACCTACCTTACAAGGCCCCCCCAGACGTTGCATGGGTTCGACCACCACTCCTCCTGCGTCTTGATGCTTGATCACCGACGACACCACTGGGCAGGGTAAGGGGAACCATTCATATTCACTCAAACAAAGTTTGGACTATGACGGCCCCATCCCTTGTCCTTTCCTGCCAATCCTGACTACCAAGTACGGAGTACTACCTACGGATACACACGCTTCCATTCACTGCCCATTTCGTACCTACAGTCAGCTCGGTTCCTGTCTTTCCCCATTGAATTCCCATCTTCCATCCTACTGTACCGTTTGTTTTGTCTATCCGATCTCTTCAGGTCTGTTTAGCCTGACTTCCATGACCTGTCTTGACCACCCTTTGGTTTGTCCCTATCCGTACTCTGCTCTGCTCTATCTCTCTGCATCTATTCTCTCGGTCCAAAGAGTGTCCATCTATTGTTAGTGAGCTTGAATCCCCCCTTCCCCCCGTCCCTTCTTTAGTTGTTTCTCCTTCCCCAGAACCCCTCCCTCCGTCATCCAGATACCTACCCTAGAACCAGTATCTGCACCTACCTAAGGTACTCGCTTTTGCTCTCTCTTTCTCTCTCTTTCTCCTAATCCTGTGTGCCCCCTTCGAAGCCAAGACGACCCAGGGCGCACACGACTCCTGCAAACTACTGCACACTGGCGTCTGTAGCTGACGAGCGGCAATTGTTCCCCTCGCTTCGCTTCCTCAACCTCAACCTCAACTCGTCGTCACTTCGCACCTGCTTTTCTACATACTTTTGTTAATTACTTACATTTTGTATCTTCATTTGCCAGTACCATTCCCATCTCACTGTGGCGTTTCAAAGCAGCTTCCTTAGCCCTTTCTCACCAGCTTCTGTGCTATGTTCTAGACCTCCCCACACCACTTCCGGAATCCAAGCCGCCATCCGACCATCTCATTCTCTGTCTCTTTCGTCCGCTCATCTATCCATCCGAGACTACCTACCTTACTACACGAGACACACACACACACCCTCACACTCACGCACAAACGTATGTACACTCAGTCTCACACCCTCTATCTCAGGCCCCATCTTAGTAAGCCCCGGCCGCTATTGCTTGTTGTTGCACTTCCACCTTCCTTCCCCACCTCCGACTTTCATCTCTGCCGCCTCTTTTTCGAAGCCGCCGTTTGCAGTCGAATTCAAACCGAGCGGGAATCTCTATACCTGCGCCCCAATATTCTATTTTCCTTCGCCTTGCCCGGTGCTCCAGTTCCTCGTTATCTAGGTAGCTTCCTGGCCCTGTTTGCGCCTTGGTCAAGCCTAGCCAGCCCCAGCCGCCGTTGTCGCTTCTACCCATTGCCACTGCCACTACCACTGCTTGTAGCTGCCGCTATTCTTCCCGCACGAAATTGGGAAGGCGTGTGAGCTAACGGACCAAAACAAGAAGAAGAATAATAAGAAAAAGGGCGCTTGAGCCTTTTCTTCATCCCCCAGTGCCGAACTGCGCCTCGACTGCTCAAAATTAGAGCACATTCCCAAGCGAAGCGTCCATCCGGAGACGGGTCCTTACTCCGGCGGTCCAGAACGCACGCCTTCCACGCAGACAAGGCGCCGCGCCATGCTCTGCTCCGCCTTCTACTCCCCCACGATTTTCTAACATTCTGCCGCCGCCATCGCCGCTCGTGACGTCTTTGTCACTGCCTGACTGCTCACACCGACAAACCTCTTTCCAACTACTCCGGCTCCGTGGGCACCTGTCGACGAGGGCTGCAACTTCATCACCCACCGGGCGGCCGAACTTCTACTCTGTAAACCTAACCTAACCTATACCACGCTCCTACACCGAGGTTCACCTGCGAGCCGTAGCTTCCCATGCGTGGGCCACCGCCGAAATGCCACCTCCCGAACCTGTTATCACCAGCAGTCATGCCCGAGACAGCGGTCCAGTAGTTTCGCCTCTCAAAACTGCCGTACCATCCAACAAACCCAGTCCCCCGGAATCACGGCCTTCTACCGGAGAGAGCGGTTTCAATTTTGATGCATCGCCATCACCACCCGAGGAATTTGGACGTACCCACAGCGATGGCGCCCCGAGTACGACCAGCAGCGGCCGCTTCTTTCGCGAGAACTTCAAGATGGGATCTGGTGAAGGCAAGCGGTCACATTCAGCCAGTCCCTTTCGCATATCCATGCCTTTTATCACACCCGGCCAGCTCGCATTCTCCGCCATGCAATATTTGCCAGTTCCGATACTGATCTTGAACAACCTCAAGACTGTGGTTCTTGCCAACGAAGCCATGGGGAGGATGCTTGGTATGACAAACGATGTGGCCGAAGACAACTCGTACATTGCCGAGAGGCTGAGAGGGCAGTCCTTATCTCAGGTTGGTATCGACATGATTCAGGAAGGTCGTCCAGTTTGGGTAGGATGGGAAGCGTTTTTGGATTCTCTTGTTCTCGAAATGGGCGCGAATCAGACGTCAAAGGATGCCGCGGACATGTTTGCCCAAGGACAAGGTGGAGAGGCGACGCCGACCCCGGATTCGCTCGCCCCGCCATTACCGGACCATCCAACGGGTCCATGTATGGTTAAAGATGCCGTGGTGGATGTTGTCATCTCCCGCAAGGAGTTGGGGAAGCCGGGCTTCGACCCCCGGGCCAAGGGCTGGGGATCGGATCATCAAGTTTACGCCAAAATGATTGTTACGATATGGGAGATTGAGGACCACCAAGTTTACTTCACCCTAACTTTCACCAGCACAAGCTCCCCGCCTTCCCAGCCAGTCATGAGCCGCAAACCGGTCGCGCGACCCAACATGCTGGAACAAGCAGACCGCAAGACGATTTCCAATTCGAACCCACCCTCCGTAAGTTCCAGCCACGACTCGAGTTCACCGTCTTTCCGCGTAAGCCCGAGCGCTGTGTCACTCTCATCGAGTCCGTTCCCACCCATGGGTCCACCTTCCACCGCCGTACATGCGAGCTCGCCCTCGATTCTACAGAAGATGATTCTGATGAAAGATGCTTTGCTCGATAATACGGAAATGCCCATCCTTGCGATGTGGAAGGATGGAAGCGTGACGTTTCCGAATCGCGCCGCTCGAAAACTACTACGGCAAGAAAGCGACCTGGAGAAATCATCAGACGGTTTCGATTTGCTGCCAAGTTGGACGGTCTGGGACCAGGACTTTGAGACAGAGTTGGATGTGAGCGAGTATCCCATTTCGGTTCTGCTCAGAACGGAGACGCCTTTCAACAACTTGCGTGTTGGTATGATTGACCATTCGAATAACAAGATTGTCTACGATGTACTCGGGGAGGCAATCCGAGATGACAGCACCGGCGAGTTCATGGCCGGCGTAGTCACCTTTAGAGATATCACCAAGATGAAGGAAGAGATTGTCGAGATCAAGGAAAAGGACGAGGAGCGCTTCAAGCTGATATGCGACACAATGCCTCAGCTGGTGTGGACGACAAAACCAGATGGTTATCACGATTTTTTCAACACACGGTGGTATTCGTACACGGGACTCACTCCCGAGGAGTCAATGGGCTTGGGATGGAAGCATCCATTCCATCCGGACGATATTCCGGAAACTGCTAGGCGCTGGAAGCACTCTCTGGAAACTGGCACCCCTTATGTGACGGAGTACCGTTGCCGCAGCAAGACTGGCGAATGGAGATGGATGTTGGGACGAGCCTTGCCGCAGAGAAACAAAGAGACAGGCGAGATAGAAAAGTGGTTTGGAACTTGCACTGACGTCAACGAAAGCATCGAGGCCAAGCTGGCTGCGAGGAGCACCCGACAACAGTTGTTGAGCGTTCTCGCGCATTCCCAAGTCACCATCTTCACCGTCGACACTAACCTGAACCTTACCATGTTGGAAGGTGCGCTGATGTGGGACAGCAACGGGGATGACAATGCCGCAAACCAACCAACTTGGTTCCTCGGCCAAAACATGTACGAGGTCTTCAACCGACTCAACCCTCAGCTCAAGACTGGCGAACGCCCCAAATTCCTCCGCCCCGTCGAAGATATCTTGGCAGGCGGAAAGACGGAAGAGGTGGCGGAGCACGGCATGGATGGACACTGGTACCGGACGAGATTCTTGCCCATTCTCGGCAAGAAGACGAAGGAGGCCATTGTGAGCAACGAGACACGGATTGAAGGCGTCATTGGCGTCATTATGGACGTGAGTGAGCTCAAGGAAAAGGCTGAAGATCTGGAAGAGGAATCTCGGGAGAAGAAGCAGGCGATGGCGAATGAGGCGGCCGCAAAGGAAGCCAACAGGCTCAAGAGCCAGTTTCTCGCCAACGTAAGTGGAATGTGCTATAGGAGGCATGGAATGGGGACTAACGAAACGACAGATGTCTCACGAGATCCGAACGCCCATTACTGGTGTCATCGGAATGGCCGAGTTGCTGAGGGATATGGAACTTGACGCCGAACAGACCGAATACGTCGAAAATATTCAGAGGTCGGCCAATGCTCTCTTGACGGTCATCAATGATATCCTCGATTTCTCAAAGGTCGAATCCGGACGTCTCGATATCGAAGAAGTCCAGTTCTCCCTCTCAGTCATTGTCACGGATGTCAGCAAGATGCTGAGCTTTGCTGCGGAGCGAAAGAACCTGGACTTCCGATCCGACATATCGAAAGAAATCGAGAGGGATCTGGTTGTCATTGGTGACCCCGGTCGTGTACGCCAGATCATTACGAATCTTTTGACCAACAGTATCAAATTCACCAACCAAGGTTACGTCAAGTTCTCAGTGCAGAAGGAGAAGGAGACGTCGGATAGCATTGTCGTCAAATTCATCGTTGAGGACAGCGGTATCGGAATCGAGGAGGAGGTGCGGAAGAAGCTGTTCCAACCCTTCAGTCAGGGAGATGCCTCCACAGCGAGAAAATTTGGTGGCACAGGCTTGGGTCTGACGATTTGCAAGAACCTTCTCGAGTTGATGCATGGAGAAATGACGCTGGAATCCGCCCTGGGCAACGGAACAGTGGCAACATTCTGGGTTCCCTTCAGCAAACCCCAAAACCAAACGGCGCCGCTTGTCGAAATCGGTTCTCTTCCGGACAGGCTACAGTCTGAAATGAGCGTGTCTTGCCACAGTTCCGAATTTGAACAGATTCTGAACACGCCGCCCGCCTCTGGAGAGTCCTCGCAATTCCTGACCGACAAACACAAGTCTCCATCACGACGACTCTCGGTACGGACACCGCCGGCTTCAGACGAGGAGTTGTTGCCACATGCTGAACGTGCCAAAATCCGCGTTCTTGTCGTCGAGGATAAGTGAGTGTTGATTTCTCCCACGTCACAGTCCATGCTAACCATTTCTCAGTGCGATTAACCAGCAAATTGCAACCAAGACAATTATGAAACTTGGCTTTACGGTGACAGCAGCATGGAATGGAAAAGACGCCCTCGAATACATGTCGGCAGCCCAACAAGGCAAGCACAGCAAGCCAGATATCATATTGATGGACGTGCAAATGCCAGTCATTGACGGCTACAAGTGTACGCATCTCTTGCGCCATCACCTACCGTACAAGACCTACGTACAGGATGTACCGATTGTGGCGATGACGGCATCGGCGATTCAAGGCGACAAGGAGAAGTGCACCCGAGCAGGAATGGACGATTATCTCGCCAAGCCAGTCAAGAGCAAGACGTTGGAGAGGATGCTTGTCCGATGGAGCTTGATGAAGAGGTCGCAACAGACAACATACAGGGAGTCAGATGGGTCCATGTCTGATTGCTCAGACACCGCTGCGCACTGCAGCAACGCCGACATCCCCGGCGTAGCACATGACCATCCAGATCCTACGCCTCCCGACTCAACAGAAGCCGTGGCGCCTTCGAGCCGCAAACGAGAGCAAAGCCAGGAGACGGATCGTGAAAGTCGGGGCGATCCGGTGACACCCAGGCCGCTCACCAGGAACAACTCTTATGAGCCGTCACCATTCGATTCTCCAAATGTGGCAGAATCCATCAAGCCAATAAGGCGTTCCGAGACTGATGAGCTTGCTTTGCAAGCACAGCAGGGCAAGCTGATGGAGGCCGCCGGCGGAAAGAAGCTTCCGCGACGGGGAGAATCCTTCCAGACGGTGGTGGCCGGGGATTCCTTGACGGAGGAAAACGTGGAAAAGTTGGAAAAGGAGGAACACAAGCGGAGGTCATAGACATTAGGGAGTTCTCACAGCATCCTACTTTTTTTCCCAAGTGCTCACCTTGGGGGAAGACATTTACTACCACACAGCGAGGTGCATGGCGCCAGGTCACTGTATTTATGCTTACAAACGTAACATGCAAGCGGGTTGTACATATGGAAGCAGAGAAATCGGGAAGGACGAAAGATTGGGGAGGGAGAGGGGAACGCGAACAGGTCATGTTGCATCTTGGCATTTCGATCGGCGTATAGGGGCGGGTTGGATTTTGACGAAGCAATGGAACAACCGGAACTCCTGAAAACACAAAGATGCGAGCGACGCGGGTTTGTGGTTATACATATTCGGAAACCGATAGAACTGGGGGGGCACGGGAGTCGAGGGGTTTCTTGATGAGATTCTGTCTGCCTGCTGCTTACGAGCCCAGGTTTGTTCTTCTATTTTAGTACACTTCTAGTCGATAATGACAGAAATCGGAATCGAAACTTGATACAAATGAAGTTCTTTCCGTTATGTCTTTTGATGGTTTTGTGATATGTTCCGATGTTGAGGGGTTTCGTTGGTCCTATGGATTTGTTGGGTGTGAAGGTGTAGGGTTCTCGGGAGGCGCAGTCGTTATTTCTTTTGTCTCAATAATTTTCCATGGGATGTCTGTCTACATAAGGAAGCGAAGCGAAACCGAGTGAGAGTTTGTGTTAGATCAGATCTAGACTTTTTCTGTTGGTGGTGGTGGAGGGTTGGGCATCCGAGCGTGCCGTGGATGGGATGATCGAATTTGGGAGGAGGGGGAAGTTCGGAGTCTGATCCGGTGAGCATGGGTGAGGGGTTCGCATCTACGCCCTTGGTGGGGGGCTGTATGGTATCAGTGCCTTGATATGCGGGTGATTTTTCTCCTTGTTTATTAGAGTTTTCCGAGATCTGGGGCTTGGCGTGCGTGGGAGGTTTGAACGTTTGCAGGGCTGTGCTGGGGTGGATCGTGAGGGTACTCTGGGATTTGGCCTGTTTTTTTTTTTTCGAGTTGGGGTGTGTGAGTACGGATATGTAGGAAGGGGGTTTAGAATTGGGGATAGAAAAGAATGGATTTGGATTTCTGGGATGGAGGGTTCCGGAGGGTTGGGTCGGTGTGCTTTGTGTGGATGGATGGATGTATCGGAGGGAGGTATGTTTGGGGAGATGGGAGGTGGTGCGTGCCGTGGGGTGACTCGAGCGGGTTGTGTGGCTTATGACGATATATTCATCGATGTATCGTAAAGGGTGGTACATCTAGATCTCATTTTGTTCTCGACCTTCATCACGACTTACTTGCCCATACCATCACGACCCAAGAAGCCTCACAATTTCACTACTCCCAACCCTCACCTCCGGATCCCTCTCCAACATCCTCCCAAGCAACACCTTCTCAGCATCCCCACTACCACTCAACGACGTCCTCAACTCCTCGATACTATCCAACCACGCCACCATCTCTTGCTTGACGGCTTCATTCTCAAACACGTGGGGCAGGATCCAGGAGCCCGTGGGTAGAGGGATGTATCCGAAGCAGAAGAGGAGGGTGACGCCTAGTCCCCAGATATCGGAGGCGTGGGATTTGGTGCGGCGGAGGAATTCGGGGGGTGCGTAGGGGGGTGTGCCGGAGGGGGACCAGATGTTGAGGGAGGGAGAGGGAGAGATTGGTGAAGAGGGGAGGGGGAAAGGGAGGGTGATGGCGGCGCCGAAGTCGAGGAGGACTGCGTGGGGTTGTGGGTGTTCTTCTCTGGAAGTAGAATGGAGAGAGGGGAAGAAGAAGATTATGTTTTCTGGTTTGACGTCGTCGTGGATTATGTTACAGGTTGAGTGCAGGTGGGATAGGGCTGATGCGATTTGGGACCAGATTGCGAGGGCGTCGGAGTGGGAGAGGGTGCAGATTGAGGTTTGTGGGCTGGTGTGTTTTTCTAGGCTGAGGCCTGGTTCGTGGCGGAGGGTTATTGTTGGTGGGGAGGGGGTTGAGGTTAGGATTTGGGATATGTTTGGCTGTTGGGTGTGTGAGTTGGGATGGAAGTGAGTTCGGGTAGTAGATTATATTACTATGGGGGGAAGAAGGAAGGTATGGATGTATGGTAGGTGTAGAGTGGTACGTACGTGATCTCTGGCGAGGTTGAGAGCTTCGACTTCTTTGCGCCAGCGGTGGTGGGTTCTTGGGTTGTCGGGGAAGGTGAATCTTTTGATGACTGCTGGGTGGTTGTCGTGTGTCGTGGACTCGATTACGGAGTGGTATGTTGTTGCAATGATGTTAGAGGCCGTTACACTGGGAGTTGGTGGTGTTGGCGTTGAAGTTGGCTGAGCGTCAATTGGGTCGTCGATAAGGCCCGGATGTTCGCAAGTGGCGTCCATGGTTGAAATTCCTCTGTAAGGTAGATTGACATAAGGATAGGATGAGACGGCTTGTATCTAGCCAGCTTCAGAAAAAGGCCCAAGAAAGGGACCCTCCTTATTATTTGGAAGAATTCAACTAGCGCCGCAAGTCCGAAGAGATGCCGTTTCGGGCTCAACTGCGGGGTGACTCACGCCGGTGGCATCCTGTGGGGTATATCCACCCGGGCCGCTGTGGAGCGCCGGGGTCCGGGGCACTTTCGAATGAAGCGGCACTCCATAGCAGTAGGTCCGGACGCCAAAACAACGTCATTATCCCTGGCCATGCCTTCCCATAAAAAAGACTGATTCTCAATTCATCCGTACTGCAAGGAGTTTCTTGTACGCAAAGCATGACAAGGTATGCTCTGCACGTATCCTGAACCGCCAGTCAGCTTTAGCCATCATGCAGGCAACCAACAGGCGAACCAACATGAGGAGCATACAGACCAACCGGCCGCATAGGATAACCGCCCAGCTCCAACCAATAGCTACGGCACAGCCCCATAAACACGAAGATCATAGCCCCTCGGGCGTTCCCCTCATTTCTTGCCAGTGCGTTCTCACCCCCAGCCCAACTTTTACCAATCTTTGTCTTTCTTCTCCTCTCCCGACTCGATAACCAACCTCGCTACTGTTTCGCACCACCAACAAAATTCTCAGAAAGAAAGGCATCACTCGCGATGGCTGAAGCCCTCGGGCTAGCCTCAAGCGTCATCGCTGTCGTCGAATTGACAGGCAAAGTTGCAGGAGCCTCGATCAAGCTCATCAACCTGTGGAAAGAGATCAAAAATGTTCCAGTTGAGCTTCTTGAGAAAGTCGAGCGGCTCCGGGACTTTGAAGACTTTCTCCTGGAGACAGAAAGCCAGGCTGCCAGTAGTCCGCTTCCACAGCAAGCTTGGAACAGCGCTCTCTTGCAAAAGTATATCGCCAGAACCCGGGCTGTGTTGAAGGACCTGCAGGACATGGTCGATCAGCTGTACGCCCAGGTCACGGATCCACGAAAGTTGAAGAGAAAGTTGGCGTCGACAAAGGTTGTTCTTCGAAAGGAGGACCTTTCTGCTTTGGACTCGAAGCTCAATTTGGCGTTGGAGCTGTTCAAGCTGGCTCGCGAGCAGTATTTGACGTATGCAAATTCTTTCATCGATCATTCCGCCATGAAACTTACCATCCTTCATTCAGATCACTGATGTCATACTCTGTGATGGTTCAACTACAGCAGTCGTCTGACATAAAGTCTATTCAGATGTCCCCTGGACAAGTTGCCAGTCGAGGTCAAACTGAGGACAACTCGGTTGACTGCGGCACGAACACCAACCAATCCCTTATTGTCAAAGCGCCAGCCATGGCAACCTTTTCTCACAGACGAACCATGTTTGGCAGAATCGGTCTATCCTGGAAATCAGACGTCGGCTATAAACTGCACGCGCAGCCACCTAGTTGGCTTGCGGGATCAGTATATTCAGTCCTGGCGCAAAAAAGTCTATGTGGCTGGCAACTGAGCCTCAGATCTTACGAAGTCGTCGAATATTTTAGCGACGAATTGTTTGCAGCCATGTGGAGTGATAACTGTCCTGCATTTTTCAAAAGATTGCATAACCAAAATATGTCACCGTTCGTTCGAGTAGGAGATGGATCAACTTTGCTCGAGGTATGCTTCTTGCTTGCTCTCATCCTCCTGATTGAGGAGAAGATTCTGACCCGACATTTTTGGCAGTTTGCATTTCAACAGGGGTCTTTGAATATAATCAAAAAGCTACTAGAGTGCGGTCTAGGATCGTGTGTGCTGGAGAACTCTTCAAAATCCAATCGCAGGTGAAGACAACCTTCTCTTTTTCTCACTTCAATCCTCTGACAGTTGATAGCTATCCATGGGTTATCGACTCGTTGGCATGGTTCTGGGTATATAAAGAAGCAAACTGTGGGAAAATACATACAGCGCTTGTCGAACTTTCGAAATATGGCCTGGATGATTTTCTAGAGGGCCCTGAAGTTTTTGACGTCTATTGCGAAGCGTTCCCAGCGATCGCAGGGTTTCGAGTTTTGTCGGAATATGCGGGTCGCCGTCGTTACCAATCGTTTCCATTCAAAAAAAGGCTGCAACATTTCCGGGCAATAGTCTGGAGGGCCCAAGATGGTCAATTATCCTTGGATGAGTTACATTTCCTACTACCAGAGACTAAGAATCTCACCATTGATGATCTCATGTCATCACGATCAACCGGTTATTGCTCCCTCTTTCACTCATTGGCTTATGGCTTAGTCCGCCAGCCTGTTAAGCCGTACGATACCAACCGAGAGCCGATGTCACAGATACAATGGTGCGGACTTCTCAGAACCTGCCTCCAACTTGACCCCGCTGGTCTTCATCATCTTGAAGTGGCCGAATTCCACGATTCCGCAATTACCAGATTTCAAACCCCGTTCTCATTTCTAATTGATCATGCCCCTCATGGCTTGTTTGATTTTATACCAAGCGGTCGATGGCCCTCATTTTTCCAACGTATACAGAGTGGAATGTCAGCTTGGCTGGATGTTTTAACCTTGAATGGGACTGATCTCTTAGAATATGGGCGCAAAGAAAGACGGCTTCATGATGAAGGCCTGATATTTCTGCATGCGCATTACGAAATTTCTCACCTGTCACTTCGGCTTCGTCTCCTTGGTATTACTTATGGAAAATCGAAAGATGATTGGAGGTTTTGGTGGGTTCACGAATATGAGCATTATGTAGGCGACTTTTGGGACATGGTTCATCAGGTGGATCTGGACGTGAAAGTCCCTGGCAGCTGGGTAGACGAGAGCGATCATGATCATTATAGTCCCTATATGGAGGAGAGACCAAGAGGGGAATGGTTCTTCGAGGAGCACATGCCAGTGATATGGTCTGAACATCGCGAGGTAAAAGCACCGCTCTGAGTATAAGAATAGAAAACTCCCCGATATTACGAGCTTAAGAAATCAAAATGAATGAGCCCGAGCTCCGAATAGAAATCACATGGCACGGCATACACTTGAGACAGCTAAACGCTACTATTGCTGTGCCCTGAGTTCGTGCCTGAACAGAAAGTGACTTGGACCAGCACGTAAAATACCGCGGGATTGTAAGCAAGATGCGACGGGTTGAGCGACATATGGGACTGGCAACATGTCTAAGTACAAGTATACACTTGACAACTGCAGAGAACACTTCAGCCCAGTTTACTTCTGCATCACACATCTCACGCTCTTCTTTTCGTACACTCGACAGGAAAATGACACCTGAGGCTATCGCGTTTTTAAACAAGGAGTTATTCCTGCATGTAATCGAATCATTGACTAGGTAGATGTTGGTGTTCGATTTCCCATAGTCTCCAGATCCTGTTGGTTGGGTCTTGAATCCGGCCGGTTTGCGGATTCCAAGCCAGCATTGGCTGGCAACCTACCACCCATGTCAACCCATGCAGTTTTGCCGCCGAGGCAGCAGGCCCGTCCCGCTGCATATCAATGACTGCGCCGCAAGACAATGACAGGGTAGGTTTCTTGTATAACTGGTCTCCCTCGCTGCCGTAGTGCTTGCACTTAAGAGCTGAGCGCCTGCAGACTGTTACTCTGGCCGCTTCGCTGTCGACGTTCGGGAATTCTCGGCCATCGACAGCCATGGAGATCGCAGCAAGCAGTATCGCCTTCGTTCAGGCTGGCGTCGGCACGGGAAAGGCCATCATCAGAGCCATTCGAATGTGGGAGCAGGTCAAGCAGCTCCCCAACGACCTCAGAGCCCGACTCAAGAGGCTGGAATCCCTCGAGCCCATGCTGCGTCACATCGAGTCCGACTTTGCAAAGTATCCGGAACTACGCTTTCATCCAACCGCCCAGCAATGTCTCGCCTATGCGATGGAAGTTGAAGCTACCATGAAGTCTCACGTAGAGAAACTCGAGGGGAAGATCCAGAAGCCTAGCAGCAACTTTAGAAAGCGGGTCAACTCGTTGAAGATCATAACGCTGAAGAAAGAGGAGATTTCCATGCTGGAGAGTGAGCTTGCTTGGGCCATGGAATCTTTGCAGCTTGCCATTACCTACTTCCACATGCAAGCTTTATTTCCCCTGTGTCTGCCTGATGATCTACTGACCGTTACTTGGATCAGGGCGAAGACCGAGATATCTGAGCAGCTTGTGATCAAACAGACCTCGGATCGGATCAGAGAGTACAGCATAGCGTGCCAGGAGGATGTGGTGAACAAGACGGCGCAAGCTGTCGTCAATATGATCAAAACGCGGGAGGAAGCAGACCCTAAAGTCATTGACGCAGGGTCTGAAAAGGTGCTTCCTGCGCCATCAAAGCGAATACCGACCATGGTCATGAAGTCTGGGGCATTTGGGCGATACTCATTTCAACGCTCCAGGAGCAACGACGGATGGACCGCTTCGTTGCAGATACCGTGGTCTCAGTGCGTGAGAGAACTGAGATGGACAGGGTGGCAGTATCGTTTTCACTCTTACAACATCAAACCAGACTCATCTCCAGTCTTTGAGACTGTTAGAAATGGAGATCTAAGGCGGCTGGTAAACCTTTTCAAGACGGGTGAAGCAACCCCATTCGATAGGAACGAATCCGGTAAATCACTTCTATATGTAAGCAATCCGAATTCTTCAAACTTTTTCGCCGGACCTTTGTTGCGAGTGACTCACGAGAAATTCAGGTAGCGGCTAAATACGAGAGACTTGAGGTCTGCCAAGTCCTCATACAGCAAGGCGTACTTGCCGACGATGAACGAGAAAGCTACGGCGGGTTCGGAATCCCTATTCATCATCCCTTCTTTCACTTGGAACTGCAACTAACCATGATCTGGATGTTCTGAAGAACCCCAATAGATGTCATCGTACGATCTCGAACCAATTTGAAACGGAAGGATGACGCCAACCACCAAGCCATCGTTTCCCTTTTCCGCAATGCTGCCCAAACCACCCTCACACTGACCCTTGAACGCCTATTCACCTTCATGGCGGAGTACACATACGGCGACGAGTACATCCGAGTATACTATTCCCAATTCCTCACCGATTACCAAACGCGCTTCTCTTTGAGCGACCGTCTCGAGGCAGTGAGGCTTGCCGCTTTCATCGTGCGCGAGGATACAACGTATCTCAATCTCCTATCCTCCGATCACACCATCTCACCAAGCGATGTTGAGAGGAGCGATGAATGCGGTTTTTCACTGTTACATTCCGCAGCAATAGCTACCGGGATAAGACTCGCGGACGAATTGCAGTTTGACCGGCGGATCCTACGGCCGCGCACTTACACGTCCGCCTGGAGCGACGTTATTATCAAGACCGTACGAAGCTTACTCAACACAACGAGTTTGTGTCATGTCGAGACTGTCGTCCCATGGGACTGGTTCGTCGTACCTGTCTGGAAAGCTACTCCACTGATATCCCTTCTCGGTGGCGCCTTATGCCGAGTATCGCCTCACCTACCCGTGGAAGAATGGGACGATGTCTTCCAAGCTGTACTCAAACAATGGCTCCAAGACCTAGTATCTGCGGGCGTTGATCTACTTGCGTATGGAGAGCAAGAATCTGATACAATGAGGTTCACACATCCTGAAGTGAAGGGGGCTTTTGACAGCGATGCCATCAACCTTTCCCGCAAAGTGGTCAGGAACCCGCTACAAGCGTGTAGTGAACCCGGGTGGATGACGAAGGTGGAAAGAGCCTTTGATAGGAGTGATCGATACTGGAAACCAGTGCGGATCATCAGTATCGACTACGGTTCAGACGTTGATGATTGGAGGGTTCACTGGGTCGTTGAGGTCGAGGCGTTTGCTGGTGAGTTTTGGAGGGTTGTGGAGTCACCTCGGGTCGTTATGCCGGGTAGTTGGATTGACTAAAGAGATCCAACAAGATCTCAAAGCATCCACTTGCCACTTTTGATACTCGCATTGATACCCAACGTGCTTCCTCGAACCTGCAAACCAGAGCGATGGCCACTTAGTCGCCGGGGATTTCCAGCGCGGAAAGGCCCGCAGTCGCGGCAGCCGGCCGGGACTTGCTCGGCCCCACCAGGACACCCCACTAAGATGCGCAGGCGGGCAGGAGCTCACCCCGCGTCTTCGTCATCCTCGTGCACCCCAAGGTTCCAAGCTCCCAAGTCGTCCCAGTGCGGGGCAGATCGGGTCACTTCAACCTCTCCCAGCTCCAGCCTTACCCAAAGACACAAGATCCGGCATCACTCAACAAACCCGCCTCTTATCCGTCTCGATCTCTGCTCTGATTCTCTTGTGCAGCTTATCTGAAGTTATGGCGTCCGGAGACACCCGCCCGCCGGGCAAACAGGGAGAGTGGTACTTGGGCGACCCTTCAAGGCTGAGGGAGCAGCTCGATGACTTTCTCTCCGACGTGCCCGATCAGATAGAGGATAATGGCTTGCCTGTCCCTGGTGGCCGAGTCATCATTGCCCCGTGAGTTCGACATCCCGGCCCCTCCTGTCTACTATGGGTTGCAATCTACAGGGACATGTTTACTAAAATGTAATGCTGTTATAGCCATGCCGGCTACACATACTCAGGTGCTACAGCAGCCTGGGCGTATAAGGCTCTCGACCTAAGCAAAGCCAAGCGCGTATTCCTTCTCGGACCCTCTCATACCTTCTACCTCGCAGGCTGCGCAGTCAGCACTTATCAGAACTACGGAACACCATGGGGAGATCTCAAGGTGGACGAGGCAGTCACGAGCCGTCTTATCGACGAGCTCGAAATCCCCGGTATCCCGAGATCCAATGATAGAAAGGAACACTCGCTAGAGATGCACTTGCCGTACCTTTGGGTCCGGTTGGAGCAGACATTCGGCTCGCCCGAGAATTTCCCGCCCGTCGTACCGATCCTCATCGGCGATAACAACAAAGCCGAAGAGAAGGAGGTGGGCAAGTGGCTCGCCGAGTATATCAAGGACCCCGAGAACGCCTTCATCGTCAGCTCCGACTTTTGTCACTGGGGCGGACACTTCGACTACACAATCTACTGTCCAGACGGGACGCTCGATAGCAGGGAGAAGCTCTACGAGTATGGCCCCAAGCCCGACGGACCGCCCATCCACGAGACGATCAAGATGGTGGATGACCTGGCGATCGAGGCCATTAAGACGGGGAAGCACAGCAGCTTCTACGACAATCTCAAGCAGACCAAGAATACGGTGTGCGGAAGACACCCGATCGGAGTGACAATGGCGGCGCTCGAAGAGCTGGGCGACCACCGGTTCACGTTCATTCAATACAATCGTAGCACCCTCGTGACGCGCCCGAGGGACTCCAGCGTGAGCTATGTTTCCGCCTACGCAGTGGTATGAAGGCAGAAGGGCGGTTACGGCGTTACTAATGGAAGGGAGGGCAAGGAAAGAGAAGAAGACGTTTTCTGTACCAATTTCATAGCAGCCAGACGAAGACTGGGAGGGTTTGGGCGTGACAAGAGGAGTTTTGATGGCTTAGACACGAGTTTCACATCTTTTCCCAAAGCAGAGGTAGAGATATTAAGCAAAGAAGCTTCTTCAGCTTCTGGTAGCTCTAGAATTGGAGATCATTGACAGCACCGTCCCAAGTGCCGGAGGTCAAAGACACGGGCCAAGAAGCCAGGTGACCAGACCGCTTCAATGCTGGATGAGTAATGCTTGGGGAGGGGGGGACAGCAGTAGGTAGGTATGCATAAATCCTCGAGGTCTGATGTTGCTGACGAGCAGGCCACGACTGAACTAAAGGGCCTGTTGCGGACGAGAGCATGAATCCAAAGCGGACCGAAGAAGCGGAAGGGAGGGCCGCCGTTTGTCTCGATTCCCCCCTCCCCCTTCCCTTCCACCCCCGCCCGATTCGGGATGATGTAGATGCGGATACTGGTACTGAGATTCCAGCGAGAGAAAGAGGGAAAATCCTGGAGCCGTTCGGTAGCACAGCCCTACGGTCTTCCTGGAACCGGCTGGCGGTGCGGCGCTAAGGGGGGCAGAGGCGGTGGGTTGTGACTTATGGGTGTGGGCGCGGTGTCAGCTTCCGCCCAAAGCGGAACGCATTGCGGATCTTTTGGGGCAGCCGTGGCAGCTTGTGTTACTTACCGTACGTGCCAGCGCAGCGACTTTTCAGACTATCGGTAGGTAGGTATTGCTGCAGGAATGTGAAGGGCTGAAAGCTTGTTATCGATGTGAGGAGGGGGTTTCTATTCCAAGCTGTCGTTCGGTAAGGTTGCCGAGTGATGTCCAGGTTTGTCTCTGGATATGAACCCCGCGCGATATGGTAGTTTGCTGGTGAAGCCAAGAAATGTCTGGAAGAGGTAGGTACTGACTTTTTTTGACTTTATGATATTCTGAATGGCCCGTGATGGAGTAAGAAGGATATTCCCCGTTCATGACGGCGAGGAGAGTTTCTTGCGGAAGCCAGATCTCGACTAGACTCTAGTCGGTGGGTTGATCAACCGAGAAGGACCAAGGGAGGACGGAGGACGGTTATCCTGGGGCTGAAGGTGCTGTAGAATGCGGATTGGTCCAGAAGAATGAGCCGGCGGCGGGATGGCTTACGGATCGTAGAGGAGAAGGCTGTGTTGATGGGGTTTGCCGAAAAGTGTAAACTAGACTGCTTCTTGGGGAGGTTTTCTACAGCTGGGTTCCTTGGCGAGCTGAGTGAGGCTTGTTATTCCCCTCTTTCGCTGTGTCTATAACTCATGGATATCTTGTCTCTGTTTGAGGCGGTGGATTGTGTCTTGGTACTTTGCCAAAGTTGTTCTTGCTGGAATTCTCCATAGTAAGCTATTAGGCAGCTATGTTTTCCTTACTGCCCGCCGATAGTGGTCTTCCTTGATTCCTCGAAGGAATAGGAAGGCTTTGAGGAAAGTGGGCTGGTTGTAAGCTGAACTAACCAGCCTGCTTGTAGCCTGATGGCGAGCTTACGGCTTGCATGGAACCGAGTCTAATTGGGGCGAAGGAAGATGAGGCCTTGCCGGGGGGGTGGTGCAGCTTTGGGTTGAGTGAGTGTTCCTGACACGATTACACGCCGCAGATCCGCAAGCAAAATTGAGGTGAATGAGTAGGTAGCCCGAGGCAGTCCGAAGCCCGTTTTCCTTTCTCCCTCGCTAGGCGAGACTAAACAGCTCAGCCGTAGACAGGAAGGGGAGAGGGAGGGGAAAGAGGCTTGCAGTTGCATGTGTTAGTCTCGCGCTTCCGAGACCGTAAGCTGAGAAGCGAGCGGGGTGGTGTTGAAAGTGGCCGGAAGGATCGATAATTCCCTAGAGTTGATGGGCGATGGGATGATTGGGGAGCTTGTATGGATTGGTTGTTTAAGAGGCTGAAGTCCCCGTTTACCGGTTCGCGGTCGTGGTCGTGAACTTTTCCTCGCAATTTTCCAATTCTATTGCTTGGTGTTGCTTGTTTTTGATACCTCGTCATCCGTACGAAAGGCGCATCGACCTCCTCACAGGCGTCATCGCACCAAAGAAGTACCTAAACACCACTAAGCTCGATCATCAGCGTCATTGCTTCGACCAGCCACAGGCTCGATTGCCTGTGACCCTAGCGACAGGTTCAGAACGGGTGCTGTGGAATTGATCGACATTGTTGCTCCAGCAGATTTACTCGACTGCAACCCACAAGAAATCCCGTGTTCGCGGAGACAGAACAGAAAAAGCGGGAAAACGAGAAACGGGAAGACGGCAGCGAAAGAAACACGAGGTGTCCAGTTCCCAAACGAGTGGAGAGATCTGGATCGTCGAACGCTTGATTGACATTTCGCAACTTTTGCGCTGCAACCTCACAAACCGACGACGCCACGAGCGACGAAGAGCAGCGACTGAGAGGTTTAGCCACAGTAGCTAAGCCTGCCGCTACCTACCTATCTGGCTTCGGCTGCTTCTATTCTTACCAGCCAACGAAACGCTGTCGAGCTGGGTGCAGTTGAAACCACTGCCACCACCACCAAGAGAAAGAGGAGACAAGAGACACACTTGTGTGGACTCTCTTGAACTTTGATGGGACCATTTCGATTGGCTCACAATTCCCGTCATCAACATCCCTGTCGACCTCTTCGCCTTCGACACCTCCATCGTAATCGCCTCTGAACGGGTCGTTACAAGCCACCAGGACGAGGCCCGCCGCATCATCAGAAGAGGCAGCCCTCTTCACCAAATTCAAGGTTAGCCTTTTTTCGAAGAGTTCCGACAGTGGCACGAACGGACAGTCAGCGACACCTTGAAAGCATAAGGGAGCAAGTTGCACGTTGGAAGCCAATTCCAGCATAAGAAGGGTGAAAAAAAAGGAGGTATTGCTTCAGTCAGCAGCACCGACCGGCCAGCGAACACTTGATCGAAGCATCCATCGAGCCAATACCACCAACATCAGACAATCTTGAAGAAAGTCGCATTAATTTTAGGACGCCGGCATTGGACCATCTCCCGCCAGCGCCTCAAGTTTATTCGCCTCCATTCATCGCCCGCCGCTTGTTACAGTTACAGCGCACCCGAACAAGAGAAGGCAAAAGTCCAAGCTTCAGGGTCCAGTCCTCGACACTTCTCGACCAATCACCTGCCGCTGGCCGCACCCGCCTGAGTCGAGACAGCCCAGACTCACTCACGTTCTCACATTCTCACACACCATCGAGAGAGTCTCACACAGCCCTGAACACAGTCGTTTTTTCAGGTTTTCTCACCTCACCAGTGTCACCACAGCCAACAGTGAGTGGGTGAGAGAGTGACAGACAACGACGTCCCCCCCTTTCCCTCGCGTTGCATCGTCGGCCCCTGCCTCGATTGGGACCTTTTTTCGTCGCATGCAGGTACCTCGCCAAGCCCGCCCATCCACGAATACACTCGCACTCAAATCTCACTCTCACTCTCACTCTCAATCGCTCACTCATTCTTTCGAAAGAGAGTGTGTATTGTAGCTTACTCATCCGACTCTGAGACGACGACGCCGTTGACGAACGACGAAATCATAATCTCACAGACACACACTCACCCCAGGCGAGAAAAAACACTAAAAAAAGGAACGGCCCTTTCGTCAACCCAGTTTAAATAAAAGAACAACTGAGCACACTCACACACACACAAGCTCTCTCTACTCCGTAGAGTGGTTGTTGCCAATAAGCCGGGGCCCCTCCAATCATCTCTCCTACTGGAGCCAGAAAGCTACCTAAACGGCGATCGTTCCGCAAGCCAGGGGCACCCCAAGCACCGCGCCCCCGTCCCGAACAGACAATTCGAATTTCTGCTACAAAGAAGCGCTTCAAGCCACACGCTTGACGCCCACGTTCCTGCGTCCAAGGCCCTGTGCAATTGTGGATTGTGGCCCATTCGCCTCGTCTCGCTTCATCGCCCCCCCAGTCGACGACCATTGACCCAGAAAAAACGAGCCTGAGACTTCTGTCGTCCAAGCCTGAGAGCGACTCTGTGTGAAAGTCGTACCTGGACCTGGACCTGGACTTGGACCTGGACCACACCGTCACTTTCGACGCTACAACCACAACGCCAATTCATCTCATCCGCCGCCGCCCCCCCTTCTTCTCCTTCGCCCTTTCTACCCGTACTCAACTTGCTTCTTTTTCTGCCACAATCAACAAAACATCAACTCAAAAGGCCTTACACATCTTCCTTCCTGCCAAAGCCACCGCGCGCGAGACCACGACGACGTTCATCCAACAAAGCAATACTATCACAAATTGCATTCGCCCCTGAGCGTCTACCAAACTCGCATCATCGTCGCGCAAGGAAGAAGCCTTCGCGCTTCGCAGAAGCAACATGAGTGTCAGTGTTTCACCCCAACCCTCGCACTTCCGGTGTTTCGCCCGCCCGTCCTCGCCTTGTTCAACCCTCACTCTGCACGCTGCCCTGCCCTACCAACGTTGCATTACGTCCTGTCGTCCTCGTGTCAATCGCACGTTGCTGCGCTGCCCTTCCCTTCTCGAAGTCGAGAAAGTCCACCCGTTCCCGATCCCGTTCCCGTTGCCTTGTCCGCACACTCTTCGCAAAGCCGCAACATCGCAAACTTTGACTTCCTGCGATCACCAACCTTTTTTGCACATCATCATACTTGCTTCAGCCTGGTTGCGTTGCATTTGCCCATTTCGATTGCTCTTCCTTGTTTACGATTGACGCCTTTTTTCTTTACCCTTTCATCCATCCTACCTCCCCTAACCTAATTGACCCGACCGTTCTTCCTGCCACCGATATTCGTCGAAGAAAACTAACATAATGGCGCAGTACGGGTATGTTTCTCTCTCCCATGGAGCCGACGGGACACACGACGACGAGTACGACCTCTCCGAACGCGGAATACTGACAGACGAGCATAGATACGGTGGTCGTCAAAACCCCTTTGACCAGCGGGACGATGGTCCCGGTGGAGGATACGGAGGCGGAGCTCCTGCCAGAGGTCCTCCTCAGCAGGGCTTCGGCTCGGGACCTTCTCCCTACGGCGGTGGTGGAAACAGAGGATACAACCAGGGACCAGCTATGGGTAGGGACCAATATGGTACGACCTGACCGCGACGGTCGTACGCGCTCTTTTGCTGACTTTTGTCTGTCCGACCAGGCGCCAACGTCGAGATGGAATCCCTCGCCCAGAACGCCAGCGGCTTCGGCCAGTCATCGGATCCTAACGCCATCCTGAACGAGTGCCGATCCATCGACCAAGGAATCGACGAGATTGAGGCCAACCTGAACCAGCTGCGCATGCTGCAGGAGCGTACCCTGACCGATGCCGACACATCAGCAAACTCATCGACGGTCCGCCAACTCGACGCCCTCTCCTCCGAGACGATGACCCTGTACCGCGGCCTTACCGATCGCGTGCGCCAAGTCAAGTCCTCGCCCGATGGCCAGTCTGCCAGAAACTCGCCGCAGGTCGGCCGTATCGATCGCCGCCTGAAGGGTGCTATCCAGCAGTACCAGCAGGTCGAGTCGGCCTTCCGCAAGCGTACCCAGGACCAGATGGCCCGCCAGTACCGTATTGTCCGACCCGATGCCGACGAGCGAGAGGTTCGCGAGGCGGTTGAGGATGCTGGTGCCGGTGCCCAGATCTTCCAGCAGGCCGTGATGCAGAGCGGTCGCCAGGCCCAGGCCAATGCCGTGCTCAACGCCGTGCAGGATCGCCAAGCCGCCCTGCTGAAGATCGAGCAACAACTGAACGAGCTCGCACAGCTGTTCCAGGATATGGACACATTGATTGTGCAGCAAGAGGCCGCCGTTACGCAGATCGAGCAGAAGGGTGAGGAGGTCGTTGAGAACCTCGACAAGGGCAACCAAGAAATCGGAACCGCAATTACCACCGCCAAGGCGACCAAGAGGAAGAAGTGGTGGTGCCTGGGTATCTGCGGTAAGTCTGCGTTATCTGTGGAGTGGTCTGGATATCCTGCTAATTGTCTACAGTCCTTATTATCATTATCATCGCTGTCATCGTTGCCATTTACTTCGCCATTATCAAGCCCGGTCAGGCTGCTCCGGCTCCCGCCACCACCGCCCGCGCGAAGCGCAACATTGGCATGCTCGAGCTGCCCGACTTCTCGAACTCGGTCCCTGTCGATACTGGCGCCGCTCACCCTCAGATTCTGAAGACAACGAGCCGCATCATGCGCCGCATGGTTCAGCAGGGAGCTACCTGGGAGCCGACCGCCACTGTGCAAGACTCAGCTGTCGTCGCCCGCTTCGGCGGCAAGGTCGACATGCCTGCTGTCCGCAACTAGACGGCCCATCGTATTATTCCCGACTCTGTACAAAATACCCATCATACCGCCTTTATCCACCGCCTCATAACGCACTCGAGGCTTCTCTAACACCACCAGTATACCGTCCCTCCGACTCGACGTCTAGATTGATTTCTCACTACCATTACCAATTAAGAGCTTCTCGCCGCTTTTTATAGACGGACGGATTATATGGAAGGTTAACTTCATATCTCTTTTTGCTGCTGGGTAAGGGGGAAACCAAACACGAAAATTGAGGGGGAAAAGAGTCCTGCGGAGCCCAGGTCCCCAGGCCAAAGCAAAAGTGGACTACACACTTGTTTCGTAGGGTGTTTTTGTATACCCATAACCAGACTTTCTTTACTTGTTCAACCAAAACCATCCGTGCTTCCCCTTTTTCTTGTGTTGCGTCTTGGATTCGAAAGGTTCTCCTTTTTTTCGGATTCTTCGAGAGGAGGCGAAAGCTATCGAACACACTTGTGCGGGCGTTTTCTTAGCTAGCTACCTTTTACCTGCGACTCTGATCGTTGTGTGCCTCCTTTTTTATAGTTTTATTTGTTGCATTAGGGGCGTTGGCATGAGTGGTTCGTAAATATAGTCACCTTTTTTAAACTTGACGCTTTTAATACTTGGATGGCTTTTAACTTGGTGATGTTTCCATGGGATGTTGTTGTCGTGGTTCCGCAAAACTGTGGTCAACTTTGAGTCTATGCTATTTGTGAGGTTACCTGTATATACGAGCTGAACAAGGGTTTGGTGCCCTTGTCAAGATAAAATCGCAGCGATAGAACATCCGAGTTATGTGCACATACTAGAGGGCCTTGATATTACTTCTCGGTTTTCTTGTTGCTAATGATATACATGTGGTTGGGATGAAGCCATTTGACTTACTCATGAACCTCGATACTCGACAATTTTCTCAAGGCAAAAGAAGACCAGCTTCATGATTCTGTTTGGATCTGAAGTAGACTATCGTCCCAACTTATTTTATCTCCCGTTGTGTTTCTCAGCGTTTGATATTGAGTGAATGAGTGTCTTTGTCTAACCGCTTATATTCCGAGGCCCAATACTCTGTATTTTCAACGCATTTCAACTTTTATGGCTCCATACCAAGAACCAAAATCGAGTCCATTACCTAGCCCTTGGTCTTCACTGGAAACAAGCCTTCTTAACAGCATTCACTGCTGAAGAAGGGGGACCAAGGGCATTTATGTACACCCAGCGAGCCTTCATCTCATTTACAAAAAGATTACAAAAGCACACGCTCTTGCAATGGCTCTTTGATCAAACCACAGAAGACGACACAAAACTGAATATGGCTCGTCCAACAGCGCTCGGTAAAGCTGTTAATTTCGACTGCCTTTGAAGAAAGTTTGGAAGGTAAGTAAGTGGAGGTTGGCGGCCCGGTGGGATAGTTTACAAAATGTCTGTCCGCTGACTGGTCGACACTCCTCTCTGTTGGCCTGTGCGCGGTCAACTCTTAAAGACAAACGGTAGCTAGCGCAGAACTAGGTGTATTTGTTCCTCCATGGTAAGAGTAATTACGGAGTGCCTACAGAGAGTTTGGTAATCCGTAGAGGTGTTCGTATTCCCTGTCCCATTTAACGCCGCGCGGGTATTCGGAAAGTAACAAAGGCGTGAATTGGCTGGGGATTTAGTAACGTCGTCATATTTCCAAGGTGTAAGTCAAGTCAGATGCCATAGTCGATGAACGCTGTCCTCGACTGACCACGCTCCAGCAAGAGATGCTCAGATGGATTTTTCATCGACCAGGGCTACGTGGGAAGCTTTTGAACAGGAAGACATACTCCGTAATCAAAAGCCTTGAAATTCCAGACGATGAAGTTCTTTGCTGTAAGTACAAGTAAGTGTATTACTCAATCTGCCCTACATCTGAAGTATCCCTCATGATCTAGGTGTTACCTTCAGTCTCTGTAGCGTATAACGTTAGTTTCCCATCAAGTTGTCGTCCTTGGTCAATAATGAGATGGGGTTAAGCCATGTTGCCGGGAAATCCCAAAGAAAATTGCGTGACTTCTCAATAGCAATTATGGCCTGGCGCAGAACTGATTCAACTTTTGGAACGTTGGCGCTCAGCCAAATGCCGGCCCACAATTACACTTTCTTAGATGTTGCGTCACGCGCGCGGTTGCTTCGCCACGACTTGCAAGCCTCTACTACCCTTGGAGAGATCTGGAGGCCATGGAAACACTGCAATATTGCCCACTAGACATTGAACATAGATATCATCTAATAGCTAGATCCGCAATAGCCAAGCCACATTTGTCAACTCTACTGTACCAGCCTACCTCGTAGACATGCCAAGACCACAACGCGAAGCTCACGGCAGAATGGAATCCTTATGTTGCGAGGATACGTGATGGGGGTCACGATGTACGTTCACGCTAGAGACATATTGTCCCGTAATTACCTGGATTTCAAAGCAACGTGGGTTCCTCCTTACTGGATTATAATCTGCTTACAAACTTGAACAAATTGTGCCAAGAGTTGAAGCTCTCGTGACTTGTAGGCTTGCAAAATGCAAAGAAGGCATCAAGTTATAAGGTCCATGATTTTCGCATCTCGGAAGTCTCATTCTTCAGACCAACACCTTCAGTCAGTCTACAGTTCATCTCATCGTTCACCACATCCTCCTTCTCTCTATCTAAATCAAACTCCTAACTCAACCTCAATCTCATCGCCCAACATGCTCTTCACCAAGCTCTCCGCCCTCACAGCCCTCCAGCTCCTCTCCCTCCCCGGTGCCCAAGCCCAAACCAACACCAACGCTTCCGCGCCCACCACGGTCCCATCCTTCACCTGCAACCCCGGCTACCCCGTCTCCTCCGCCGAGCAGTCCATAATCTTTACAAACTTCCTCCGCAAGTTTTACATCGAAAAGGACGTCTACCACGCGGGGAGGGAGCACATCCTCCTCAACGCAATCAACCACAACCCCAACGTCAACGGCGACCGCGACGCCAGCCTGGCCTGGGTTGCGCCCCTCATCGCCGAGTGGAATGTGACTATCACCAACACCGGGTTCGCGGATAACGTCGGGTGGAGCCATGTGAAGGTGGAGGGACCCGGGATGGGGCGGTATATTGTTGCTGTTGATATCTGGCGGTTCGAGGGCGGGTGTATTGCTGAGCATTGGGATGCGTTGCAGGTTGCGCCGCCGGCAAATAGGACGAACCCGTTGGAGTTGATTTGAGTACACCTTGCTGAGATGGCTGAGGCGGATGTGCTCGGGGACTAGAGGTTTGGCAGATTAGACTGTGTTGACGGCGAGATTGAATCCATATAGCTTGATACTCGCACATAGGGCTATGTCATAGGTATTAGAGGAGCAGACAATATACTGCTCATAAAATAAATATCCGCTGTCTTCCATAAAATCACCAAAGAGGCTGATTCTAGGGCATCAGGCCGTTACCAGCAGTTGTCGCCAACTTGTGTCTAGAGCATTAGACTAAGGTTCTCACCAAGACCTCAGCAATCTGAAGACAGAAGACGGCTTGCATATTGGTGACTCTGGGCCAATCGGAGCTTGCCACTTGAACTCAATCTTGCTGTTTACTTGACTACATTTTTCTAATTTCTTGCACTACTTACTTAGACAAGCAGTTGGGACTCCAGCCTTCAGCCCTCGAACAGATCATCAAAGCCAATTAGTTCTGGATGTCCAACAATCTGAGCATCGCTAAGTCGACTATACAATTATAAGAATTCGCTGAAAACAGACTCAATTCATTCACTCGCGATAAAGTATATGTATAGAACACGTCTTCGAAGCTGTCCTGTTCCGAATCGTCAACGTCATTGCGAAGGCCTCGTACTCTGTCGGGTGTAAGCGACACCATTGAAGAAAGCCGGTGGGATACCTCCAATTAAATGCCGACCCAATGTCACACTGGGCAATCTTATATGCTGAACTCTATTCTAGCAAAGGAGTCTTTCTGGACGTCCGAGGCAGCCGGTGAAGATGCAGTACTTAAAAGCTTCTCGCCGTAGTCGCACAAACTGTAAACACATGTGAGCAACCAACACTATCTCACGTAATCTTCCTATTCGCATACATACACACACAACATCTGATTCGTGGTCATGCTGAATAGCTCTTACTCCATGCAGCAGTTCACCAGGGCCCTATTGGGCGGCCTCTTGTCAATCTCCCCCCTCGCAGTAGAAGGCTACTCGTGCTCCTCGCCCGCCGAAGCATGCCTGATCCTCGCCTCTACGCTGCCGTCTGAGGTGTTCGCGGCACCGAACACGACAGACTACCAGTCGGTTCGGGACGGCTACTGGAGCCAAACCGCCGGAGGCCTGAGCCCGGCCTGCATCACACGACCCAGGACCACCGAGGAGGTGGCGTCCATCGTAAAAGTGCTCTCGACCTGCGGCAACGATGTCAGACTCGCTATCAAGAGTGGCGGCCACGGCTCGTCCCCAGGATGGTCCAGCACCGACGGCGGCGTCCTCGTCGCCATGGACGCCATCAGCGAGACCCAGAATGTAGCAGACAAGGGCTACGCTCTCGTCGGCTCCGGCGCCCGCTGGGTAGACGTGTACAAGACCCTCGAGCCCCAGGGCGTGACCGTCATCGGGGGCCGCTTCGCATCCATCGGCGTCGGCGGTCTGCTCCTCGGCGGCGGCATGAGCTACTTCAGCGGACTCCACGGCATGGCGTGCGACAACGTGCTCAACTACGAGGTCGTCCTTGCCGACGGCACCGTCGTCAACGCCAACCTCACCTCCGAGCCGGACCTCTTCCGCGCCCTCAAGGGCGGCGGGAACCAGTTCGGCATCGTCACGCGCTTCACCCTCAAGACGTACCCGCACGCCAACCAGGTCTGGGCCGGCATCCTGACCTTCTCGCTCGACAAGGCCAATGAAGTCTTCGCCGCCACGCAGGCCTTCAGCGCAAGATACGACCCCCAATCGCACATCTACCTCAGCATGGGAGGCGGCGCGAACCCGCAGCTGGACTTCCTCAACGTCTACGTCTTCTACAACGCCTCCTCGCCGCCCGCGGGCGACGCCAGCCCCTTTGCGGGCTTCTACGCGGCTAAACCCACGGCAGATAGCACCGCCACGCAGAACTTCTCCGCCCTCATCACGTCCAACAATAACGGTAACTTGCCCCTGAAGCGCTGGCTCATCGGCGGCCACACGTTTCCCAACCTCCAAGGGCAGCAGGGCGCGGACCTCTACCTGCAGCAGTGGCAGAACTTCCGCGAAAAAGCCAACGCTACGGCGGCGGGCGACCAGGCGCGCATCTTCTCCATGGCGCTGGTCCCGGTCCCCGCGGCCGTCACGCGCGCCGGCGACCGCGTGGCCTCTGACGGCGGCGTCAAGAACGTGATGGGGCTCGATGCGGACGCCGGGGACGCCGCGTGGGTGGACTACACGCTCGCCTGGGCGGAGGCCAAGGATGACGAGAGGATGTTTGGTTTCGTCGAGGGTATCAGCGCGGATGGGGACCGGCTGGCGACGTCGTTTGCGCCTGGGGTGAGGAGCTCGAATGCTGTTGAGGGCGACGGGGCGGTGTCTGCGGAGAAGGCGGCGTTTTATAGGACGAATCCGCGGTATATGAATTATGCGCTTTTGAATCAGCCTGTGCAGGCGAGTTATGGCGAGGAGAATCGGCGGTTTTTGCGGGAGGTGCAGAGGCGGTATGATCCTGCTGGGTTGTGGAGGAGGGATGGTGGGTTTCTCTGGCAGTAGGTAGCTCTTGAGCTACTGATAGCCAAGAGTTGAGGTATCAATGATAAGTACTGAAGCATATTTAAAAGTCGAACAAACGAGCATTCAGCATTTCAAAGACCGATGAGCACAGTGACGGCCTCGAGACAAGAGAGGTGGAGCTAGACCACTGAGTGGTGGGAGGGAGAAAGAGGGATCAAACCTCTGGTTCCTGTGCATTATTCACCCTAATGTGCATTATTCTTCTTCAACTGTTCACAATTAGTCACACTCTCGCGTTAGAGGATCCCTGACGAATACGGAGACGACGAACGGCAATGCGTTTCAGTGAGGGCTGAGTGCGGTGGTGCTTAACCTTGGAGGCTGATACCGTATAGCTAGCAAAAGATGTCTTTCTTAAAGGCGGTGATGTGGAGAACTTCGCGGGAGTTGCCAGCACCAGATATGGAAGAAGGTCCCACAATGGCCATGGGACTTCGGAAAGGCTGGTAATCTTTGCTACATTTATATCTGCTTCTGCTGCTGATGATTCGTTGCCGTCTTCTTGGCTCGACCCAACATTCGAGCATATGCCGACGACCATCGCCGCTTGCTCTAAGGGAAATCTCCGTCAGTATGAGCAGCTAATGAGTCTATGTCGCAAGTGCTTGGCAACTTTGCGAAAACAAGAATCTCACAGTATCGGTGGCCATCATGAGTCGCTTTTTTTTAAAAGACTAGAAGCACAACTTACACATAGATGCGTTCCTTGCTTTCCGGCTAGCTGACGCTTCAACTACGCCTTCCCTTTTCCTTCCATCACTCAAAATCGTGTTGAGAATCAGACTGAAGTGATTGCGCATGGACTTGGTGCGCAAGTAGAAGGAAATAGAAAAAGATGTGGAGGAATAACGGTGCCTCGAGAAAATCCATTGCAGTATCAATTGGGTAAGAACATGTGCAACAAAATTCACTTTCAAATACAGATCTCGTATTCGGGTTGCCTGTCAACGACATATTCCAAGCTATGGACTATCAAGGTCGCTTCAATCTCAAAGCAGAGCTACTTGCTGCCATCCTAAGGTAGTTGATAGAGAAAAGCATCTATACTCCGGGTTCTCATCATGATTCGTGATTCGTGAATCGTACAAAGATACAGCTGCTCAACCGCCGCCATCGTAGCCTGAGCTGACAGTAGGGCAATTCTCTGTCATTCTCTATAGCCGATCAGCATCCATAATTGGTCCTCGTGTGTTCGAGCTCTTACCTTTAAACCATGATATTACAAGTCTCGAGTCCTCCGTGGACCATATCAGAGGCCCAATCATGAAGCTGGTAAATGGACGAAATTCGATGAAAAGGTGCACGCATTAAAGCATCACTCCTCGGCCGGTTCAGCCTCGACATCAGAAGGCCTCGTCTCACGCGCCTTCTCAGCGCGACCCTCACCAGCCTTGACGACCCGCCGAAGGACGCTCATCTTACGCTCGAAATCCTCGAGCAGCGGTCCGTACTCCTCGCTCACAGACTTCGCCACACCGCTATTAGAGCTGGGCAGGCTCTCTGCACGATCCTTCTCCTTGTCACCCATCGTTGTGGCACCCTCGCTTTCGACGCCCTCAATCTTGAGCACCAGCCCGCCCTCCTTCTCGCCCTCCTGTCGAGATATGCTGGCATCGGTCACGGCGAAGTCTGCGCTGAGACTAGCGACGGAGGAAACTTTCCACTGGCCATCTTCGCCGGGTACTACATCGAGGAGGACGGCTCGGTCCGGGTTCGGGTTCTTTCCGGGTCCGGATTTGGAGGTCGAGGCCGAGGGCGTCGAGATTTGGTTCGAGGAGTGATGCGCTGCGAGGGCGGTTGTGAGGGTATCCGGGTCATCGTCTAAGAAGATGTACTTGACGGTCGGGTGATGGGTGGTGTTGGCTGTGGAGTTGGAGACAAGGGTAAAGAAACCGGCAGGATCGAGCTTCGGCAGAAGGGCTTCGTCGACGGCCTCGTTCTCAGCTACGTCATCTGCTTCCAACGTGGGGATGATGGCTGTTGTTGTATCGGTGCCAAGCTTGTTGTCGGGTGGTGAGCCGGCAAGGGCGGCCTTCTGGCCTTGTGAGAAGGACGAAGACAAAGGCGCCTGGGCGGGCTGTTCGGCCTCGGGGCGCGGGGACGTCGGGACGTCGGCCATCGTCAGACGGTATAATTCCTCCGTGGTCGCGTGATCCTTTCGAGGGGGAATGTATTCCCAGGGTGGTCGGGGGAGGCGAGGCGGGCGGCGGGGAGTTGAGGTGTTGGTATTGACAGTGTCCCTCGCGTCGCGCTGATTGTCATCTTTTCCTGGGATAGGATGGGAGCTGCGGTCGGAGGTGGTCTCGAAGATGAGCTGCAGGGTGGCACAGGAGCTAGCTGGATAGCTGTTGGGCGCCATGGTGGAGCGGTTCCAGGCTGCTGGGGACGGCTTATCGCTATCGCCACGTGACGGCGGGGTGCCTGACCTGGCATGTGATTGTGAACCTCCAACTTTGAACATCAGTTCAACAAGTAGAGGAATAAGATTGGGAAATCGCATTGCCTTCAACAACAGCTTTCTGCTTCCATCGGGAATATCTATAAACACATATTCTACAACAATTCATGATCATCTGACTTCTTCTTTGCGTGCTCAGTCAAGCTGAGGCCATGCTTTCCCGCCGTCAGGCCTTGGTCTCAGGTTAGCGGAATGAGACGTGATTGTTCAAAGAGTCTTTGCTTGTCACTACCACGAACACCGTAATATTTATTTCATCTTGACCCGAACAAATCTAGACTATATGTGGGGGTCTTCTCTTTAGCCCGCGATGGAACGGCTGACAGGACCGCAACGTCCGTTCGCCAGTCTCAAAGAGCCTTCACAAGGGCTTTGGGTATCGCTAAAACAGTTCGCCGAACGCCAACCATGTCAAATCATTTCCATGAGAAACCCCTAGCTCTCATTTGTCTCATTCTTTGGATCAGTGAACTCGAATTCTAGAATATGTCAGTTGGTGTTGACCCAAAGAGAATGTTGTCAAATATATGAGATGAAACTTACTTTGGCGGCACATTGGGCATTGGCCCTTTGCTGAGTCCTGCTTGATCCATTCCAGGATGCAATGCTTTGAGTTGTGTCAGCGGAGGCAATACGGTGATAAGCAAGACAAACATACCATATGGAAGTTGTGACCACACTTGCCAGACACTAGTTGATATTAGTTACGCAATGGTGTCCCGGGAGGTAGAAAAGAACATACGGATGCTGCAGTCATCACCAGGATACTTGCAGGTTGGACATGTGCCGTCAAAGTGGACTTGGCAGATACCGCAGACGTCGTCTTCGGGGATATCCCACCGCCACGTCGCGACGGTGTTCCACCGGGTGATCTTGACCTTCATGAGGGATGTTGTTGTCGCTAGGGTTTGATATCTGGGGAATATGATTCGTTTGTCGTCAGTGTTTTCAGATAAACACTGTTGCGAGAAAGAGTGATATGCTTGAATGAGACCCTCTGTTTCTTTGCATGAAGTGGTAATCTTGTTGTCGTGATTTTAGCCTGGGGCTTTTGTTTGTTGGAGTTGGGAAGGCGGGACCACGGCGGACTGGCAAGTGCCCATGGAAGGTGGGACTTGTAAAAACTGCGGGGCAACAGGGCCCTGCAGCCAGTCAATCATGTCAAAACCAGATGGCGACATGGCCCAAGCTCCCCGCATTCGCGCCAACCGTTCCCACTCACGGAGTACGTACAGCCAGTCGGCCACCGCACCTTGTCGCTTTTTGCTTCGTTTTCCCAGGCGGTTTGTCGCGATGCTCCACTTAAACGGAGTCACTGGTGACCGGCCGGACCCCGACCTCCTCTGTCTCCTCCCGCTTATCACTGACTGGGAACCAGTGGACGCCCCCCGAATTCCAGCGACTCTGACAATCCCTCCGAGGTAGAGGGTACCCCATTCCCATTCCATCCAATCCTTGCGGCCTGGCTACATTGCTCCTTCTCCAAAAAATCCCGTCCGACACCACCACCCATAACCACCAGTCCACCACCACCACCAGTAGTGACCACCGACCGCGGCGCCCAGAACAAACAACCATCAGCAAAAGGGAAAAAAAGACGGTAGTGACGGCAAGCCTCATTTAGAGCTTTCCCCTCTTCCACATTTCCTTCCAATTACCTTACCTCCAACCCCGCACTGAAAACCACCACATGCAATGCCTCTGCGGCTCAAGCATTTGTGGTGATTTTCCTCTTTCCCTCTAACCCTTCCGAAAGGTAAAGGGCCCAGCGTTCCGGGCTCCCGCCCATTGCCGTCGTCACCGACTGATATCGACCGACACCGCTCCTCCCGACCCGGCAATCCCTCCCAACCTGATCTGACATCACCCGCCCATACCAGAACCAGTTGATTCAGACACAGTCAAAATGGTCACCATCGCTATCCTACGACCCGCGGGCGGCACAAAGCTGTCGCAATTCACTGCGCGCTCTTTCCAGGCCACCGCCGCCTTCGCTGCGCGCCGCTCCTTCTCCTCCTACCTCGTCACCCCCAAGGAGCTCGACGAGGCCCTCAAGAAGAACCCCCCCTCCAAGATCAGCCCCGAACCGCGCACCATTCCCCTTTGCGCCTCATGGTTCCTTCCCAACGATGGCCGCACCGGCATTGAGGTCTACCGTCAACAGCGGATTCCCAAAGCCCGTTTCTTCGACCTCGACAAGGTCATTGACCGCCGTAGCGAGTACCCCCATATGCTGCCTTCCGCCAAGGACTTTGCAGCGGCCATGAGCGAGCTGGGCATCCGCAAGGAGGACACCGTCGTCGTCTACGACACCAAGGAGTTGGGCATCTTCAGCGCCCCGCGCGTCGGCTGGACCCTCAAGATCTTTGGCCACCCCAAGGTCCACGTCCTGAACAACTTCAAGCTCTGGGTCGAGCAGGGTCTTCCTACCGAGTCTGGCGAGCTCTATAATGTCGAGTGCTGTACCTACCCCATCCCCAAGTTGGATGAGGGCAAGGTCGCCGAGTTCGAGGAGGTGCGCGAGATTGCGCTGGACCACAACAAGGAGGGCGCGGAAGGTGTACAGATCCTCGATGCGAGGTCCCCCGGCCGTTTCGCGGGCACCGATCCGGAACCCAGACCTGGCCTGTCGTCTGGCCACATGCCCGGTTCCATTAACATCCCGATGACTGCCGTCTTGGATCCCGAGACCAAGACGTTCTACCCCGCGGAGAAGCTCAAGCAGATCTTCCGGGAGAAGGCTGTCAACCCTGAGAAACCCATCGTCTCGAGCTGCGGAACCGGCGTAACTGCCTGTGTCATTGAGACCGCTCTCGAGGAGGCTGGATGGGGCTCTCCTGGGACGCGCAGAGTCTACGATGGAAGCTGGACGTAAGTTCTATTAATTCTCACCAATATCTGGACTTTCGATAAGCTGACATATTTCATAGTGAATGGGCACAGCGGGTCAAGCCTTCTGACTCACTCATCAGGAAGAACGAGTAAGAGATGGAGCGAGAGAGTGCAGCGTCAAGTTGCGTCTAGTTGCGATACCCTCACTACCCCACTTCTGGTTTTCTCTGGTTTTCATGTACGATATCCGGCACATCACAGCTTTGGAGTTTGCATTGCGCATGGGAGAGGTTCGTCAGCCTTTTGGTCGTTTAGGGGAGGGACGCAGGTGGCTGGTGTACATAGCAGGCCACGGTAATGGATCACGATTATGGACAATTTGCGTGTTTGAAAGCTTGCAGTGCGCATATGAGTGAGGAGAAAGAATGGTTGTCGATACGTCCCGGTACTGTTGGTAAGTTGATAACTGACGAAGCTGCAATCTCTCTCCTATTTGATGGCTGAGAACACCCTACCCAATTGAAGTGCGAGACCACCCAAACGCAGTAAACTTGCACGCGTGACACACTGTGCTCCAACTCGGTGTGGTTCGGTGAGCAAACACCAAGGTGGAGACCCCCACCCTTCACCTTGGATTCCTGCCTCGAAGCTCAGGCCACCCTCTTAGGGCTCGCCAAACCCGTCCAATGAGCCCGCCTTGAGCACAATCGCAAAATATTCAGCCGGCCCTGACAGCCACCACAGACCCCCGCAAAAAAAAGTTGTACCCGAATCGCGAAATAACTTCCTCCCCCTTCGAAACACCACGCAACCGGACTAACCGCAGCAGCAGTCTCTTTCACTCGCGCGCTCAACACACCTTACCCGACGACACAAAATGGCTGACCGTGGTGCAAGCGCCCCCGCCCGTGGAGGTGGTGGTTTCGGAGCTCGTGGCGGTGACCGTGGCCGTGGACGTGGCCGTGGTCGCGGACGTCGCGGCGGCAAGAGCGAGGAGAAGGAGTGGCAGCCCGTCACCAAGCTCGGTCGTCTCGTGAAGGCCGGCAAGATCAGCTCCATGGAGGAGATCTACCTTCACTCCCTGCCCATCAAGGAGTACCAGATTGTCGACTTCTTCCTGCCCAAGCTCAAGGATGAGGTCATGAAGGTGCGCACACACAATACTCCAATTCGACCGGGAACCGAAATCGATTTTCGCAGACGACGACGCAACAATCGCCAATGCAGATGAAGATTTGGGTTCTCGGGGCGTCATTTGGGATATCAATGCTGCTTTTTTGGAGAGGGAGGGAAATGCTAATTCGTGGTTTCTTTTCCCCAATTGCAGATCAAGCCCGTCCAGAAGCAGACCCGTGCCGGTCAGCGCACCCGTTTCAAGGCCATCGTCCTTATCGGTGACTCTGAGGGACACGTCGGTCTCGGAATCAAGACCTCCAAGGAAGTCGCTACCGCTATTCGCGCTGCCATCATCATCGCCAAGCTTAGCGTCATCCCCGTCCGTCGCGGTTACTGGGGAACCAACCTCGGTGCCCCCCACTCCCTGCCCACCAAGGAGTCTGGAAAGTGCGGTTCCGTCACCGTCCGTGTATGTACACTCCGAATTTGACTCTGCGCATAAAGGAACACAGGAAACTGACTAGATGGAATTCTGCAGCTCATTCCCGCCCCCCGCGGTACCGGCCTTGTCGCCTCCCCCGCCGTCAAGCGTCTCCTCCAGCTCGCTGGTGTCGAGGACGCCTACACCTCCTCCGCCGGTTCCACCAAGACCCTCGAGAACACCCTCAAGGCCACCTTCACCGCCGTCTCCAACACCTACGGCTTCCTTACCCCCAACCTGTGGAAGGAAACCAAGCTCATCAGATCGCCTCTCGAGGAGTACGCGGACACCCTGCGTGAGGGCAAGAAGTACTAGAGGATGTGCGAATGATGGGGAAGACGTCGGCGGCGAGGAGATGAGAAGAACAAGTGTCGGCTTCGGGATTTCTTCATGGAGTTGCGTGTGTTACACTGCATCGTTGGTTGGCCAGGGCATGACATTAAGGCTAAGGGCAAACTAGCTCCGGATCTGAAAATAAAGATCAAACATTGAATGCAGCCGACGGGTTTTTCAAAAAATAAGTACGGGCATGAATTTTACGATACCTTCCAGACAACGTCCCACCGGCCGAGTGATACCATGTTGGAGCGCCATTTTGCGGAGCAATTAGGATTTCGAAAAGGATGGGTTGAAGTAATGATTTGCCAAGCATCGCCGGCAACCGAGCGGTTCAAAAGTCATTCATCAAGCGACATATGGACGTCGACGGGCTACGGAACAGCGCGTTAGATATTGACGACCATTCTGCCTACTGCACCGATACTTGGAGATTTTCTCGACATAAACCTACTTAGCCATATTTTCTATTCTTGAGGATGTACGGCAAAACATAAATTCTCGAGACAGAAGGTACAAGCCATCCTCGGAGGGAAAGTAACGATGGCTCTGTTTATAGATCTAGGCCCTGCGTACATAATGCAGCGTACGAACACTCGCTCGGTACCCGATTTTCACTGACAAGACCCAATCACATAGCGCATATTTAAAATGTGCACATTCAAATGAAGTTTGAGGGATATGTGCATGATAACCCGGATCTAAAAGTACAAAGCACACGTAACCAAGAACGCCTCAAGCAAAGAAATGAAACGAGAAGCCGTCAAGTCCTGCACCCTCCAACGAAGCCTACTTCTCAGCATCGCTACCCTCCTGGGCCGCGACGTTGAATCGCACTCGTCTCTTCCGCGGTGGGTGCCGTGGCGGGAACAGCGACTGCCGGCCCGTCGACGGCGCCGGCTGAGTTTCCTCCGCACTCGCCCCACCCGCGGCCGACGACGTCCTTCGCCCCGAGGGGACCCGGGCCGGAACGCTTCTCGGCACCAGGTCCGGATCAATTTCTATCACTTTAGGGATTTCGGCGCCGGGCGTCTGGACCGTCTCACGACTGATCCATCCCGTTCCGCGAGGCGCAAGGCCGTCATTGGGGAATAGCTCTTCTATAACACAAAGCAATTAGTAAATCAGGTCACACTTTTGTGTCCGTGATGAGTGTGGGCGGAAGTCGGAGGACTCACCATTAATCATTGCCTCCACACGTCTCTCAAGATCTCGCCTCTGCGACTCCGTGTCGCCGCCCCAATACTCCGTCACACCAGGAAAGAACTCGGTCCTCCGGTCGTCGCCGACATGGTACGGCACCGAAAGCATCTGCGCCATCTGCGCCTGCCGAATCTCGTCCGCAGTAGGCCTCACGCTCTCCGCGAGCCTCGCCATCTTCGTCCGCAGCTCGTCGGCCTCGGCCTGCTTCCGCACCCCTTCGTCCGTCGCGCTCCGCCTGATCTCTTCCTGCCGCTCTCTGCTCTGCAGGTGCACCGGCCACCGGTTCACCGAGAAGAACTGCCGCTTCTTCTTCTCGCAGACGCCGGGCGACGCCCAGTCCCAGATTCGCTCGCGGTGCAGCGTCATGAAGCGCTTGTCATCCTTGTGCCTGTGGAACCACCGCGGCCGACTGGGCCACAGCGTCCCGTGGCCGCGCGAGAGCTCGTCGATGATGCCCCTGCGCACGACCTCGCGCGCTTCGTCCTCCGTCATCTCCTCCGTCCACGTCTGCGGCTCGCCCGCCTTTACGACGCTCTTGTACGACACCCGCGGCGTGACCGTGTCCTCCTCGCCGGGCCTCTCCCGCGAGAAGCTGCTGCCCCACATGCCCAGGACGTCCTGCAGCTGCGTCTTGCGGTACTCCCAGTCGTTGCCGTGGTTGAGGCGCTGGTTGATGATGGGGAGGTTCACGACACACCTGGCGAGCTCGACGCCTAGGCGGTAGCCGAGGGTCCAGAGGAGCTCCTTTGTCAGCGTGCGCGTCAGGTTGATCTCGTCCACCTTTGCGAAAGCCGAGGGCCATTCCCGCGTGGCGAATGGATTTGGAACGTTGAGGCGGTGGTATAATAGCTTGTTGTTGTCTGTTTCTTGGGCCCAGTCGGTGCCTATGTCCCAGTTCATGCGGTGTTCTGGGTGCCAGTCGTTCTTGGGTCGGCTGATCGAGACCTCGCCGGTTTCCGAGCGTTCGTAGCTGAGAGGTTTCGTTTTGTCAGTGTTTGGTCTCTTGATGCCTTTTCATCAGATGGGGGATGGACTTACGTGAGTCTTCCATACTCGGCCAGCACCTTACTGTATTTATTGACCAAATCATCAGTGAAGAAATAGTCGCCCGTTCGAATCCCGACGTTGAGAGCACCGGCAACCTGCTGCAGCGTGTTCTTGCGATCCTGCGACGCAAAGAGACACTCCCGGCTCGGCTCGTCCAGCAACGCCTGCATCCGCGCGACAAACACGGCAAAGTCGCGCCCCAGCTTCGGGAGCACCGACTGCTGGGCCTTGACCGTCGTGGAGGGCCCGCAGACAAACCTTAGCCAATCCACCTCCCAAGGTTTTAGGGGCCGACAGTTTCCGCCGTTCTTTTCCCGGTGAGCGGCTAGGACCTCCTCCATGTCCCACGAGGGCGCCCCCTTGAGCCCGTACTCGATGTTCTTGATCACGCCCTCGAGCATTTCCCGCGGATCTTTATTGTACGCTCTCGTGAGCTTCTCACGGAGGGTGCGCAGGTGACGAAAGTCGATGAGCACCGTCCTCTCGCCCTTCCTCAAGAAGTGCCAGGGTGTGACGGGACCGTACAGCTGCTCGGGGAGCCTCACCGTGTCCTTGTCGACCCCCATATCCTCCAGCATCTTCTCGTGACTACGCACCGTCTTCCCCCACAATGTATTCGCGCGCTCGCGATGGGCTGCCTGCATCTGGTTATGCCAATACGTGATACCAAGCGGATCAAGCTTCGTCCCCGGCGGCGGCGCCTTGACGGAGTGAGGCTTGTACACGATATCCCGCTTCGCATCAGCCAGCGCAGCCGCCTTCTCCCTCTTGGTCAGCGGCAGCACCAATTTCCGAAAGGGACTTGCGAGCGCCACGTTCTCCTCGCTGTTGAAGTGGGAGAGACACTGCTGCAGCGCCGCGCGCTTCGCGCCTCGAAAACGGGCGAAGCGCTGCTGCGTCTCGCCCTCGGGGTAGAATTTCTGCAACTTGCGCGTCTTGCCCTCGTGCTCGTACGTGTTGACCTCGCCGCCCACGTACTCGTCCATGAGGAGGTAAAAGTTGGCCTCGCCATGGAGCTCGTCCGAGGTCGTCTCGGGCCCTCCCGTCATGCATTTTGCGAACCACTCGTCTTCCGTGAGCGCCATGTTGAAGTCTGGCTCGTACCCGAACCTCTTTCCGCGTTCTCCCGAGCCGGGCGTCTCGTCGCTGTTCGGGTCCGCGACCCACACGAGGTTGCCGTCCTCGCGAAACCACTTGAGAAACGCCATCCGCAGCAGGGGGCCGGGGATCTGGTAGTCTACGTCCTGGACGGACTCGGGCACGCGGTGTAGGAGGTAGCGAGGCCGTACAGGATCCCTGGCCCTCTTCTCGACGACGATGTCGCGCCCGTCGAGTAAGGGGGGCAGCCGCGTGCTGACGTTGCTCATTTTGGGGAAGTCGACGACGAGCTTCTTCGTGCCGTAGTGGTGCTCTTCGAACAGCGCGTGGGTGCGCAGCATGGCGATCGCCTCGCGGAGGTCGACGTACCAGTCCTTCTCGGTGACGCCGTCCATGCGGATGCAGTACTCCAAGAACTCGCCAATCTCGGCAAACTTGCGCTCCCAGCCGAGAGTGCGGTCGATATCCTCGTCCGCGAGGAAGTTTTTGATGCGGACGAGCTGGAGTTTGGGTGCGTGGATGCGCCAGCCCTTGTAGTCGATCATGCGCAAGTCCTCGTCGGTGGTGGCGGGGTCTTGTTTGAACCAGTTGATGAGCCACTGGCTGTCGTAGGGTTTGCTGCGAAGGTCTTCAAAGGTCTCGCCGTCGTTGCCGGTGGCAGTGGCAGCAGCAGTAGCATCGGCATCTTCGGGCTCGGGGTCGACCATATCGACGTCGGATGCCTCTGATGCGGTGCTGGGCGATGCGGACTCGGAAACATAGATTTCTCGAGCGGGCGTGAAGATACGAGGGGGCTGTATCGATGGAGGAGCGAGGGCAGAGTTTCTCACGAGACGACTGCCGCGTCCAGATCGGCTTGCCGGTAAACGATGCCCAGTGGATGATGATATGTCGGCGACGGTGATATAGGGGGCAGTCGTTTCATCGCGCGGAGGCGTTGCCCTGGAGTCTAAAACGAAAGGGGGTTTCACAGGACCTTGAGGCTTTGGAGGCGACTCCGTAACTCCCGAGAAGCGAATAGAAGCTCGTCCGTCTTCACTACCTCTAGGCAGTCTTTCGGTGGTAGTCGGACGGCTCGTCTTTGGTAGCTGACCTCTCTGCGTCAGCTTCATTCTCGAGGGCAACTCCTTTGGTCTATCTGACTTACGCGTAACCGTGAACTTTTTCGGTCATTGTCTTTCTGATTGCTTCGAGAACCTTGGTCTCGAGTAGATGTTACTGTCTTTGATTTAGACTTTGTCCGAGTCCGAATAGTCGTGGCCAAGGCAGCTAACGCACTCGGGGGCATCCTTTCACCCTCAGAATTATCTCCTTCCCCTTCCTGAGCCGACTCATACTCGCTACTTTCCTCCTCGTCTTCCTCCTCATCATCTTCGTCGTCGTCTGGAGGGGAGTTCCGTTCGGGATGCTTGTACTTCGTCGACCTCCTGACAAATTGGTTGCTGCTGTAATAGGGGTCAAAGGTCTGCGGCCACCTCCACTTGCCGGGGTTATCGCGGGCACGCCACTCCGTCGTAAAGGGGTTCCTGGGTGCCTCTCCGCCCTCGGTAGGGGCTCGCGGTACCGTCTCAGGCTGGATCGGCTCTTCGTCGACAAGGAGGCTCGACTGACCTGCGTACGTCGAAGGACCGTACGTGCCTTCGGGTCCGTCCAGACACCCAGTGGTATCCGGGCCGCCGATGCCCTCTCTCTCCTCTCCCACACCATAAGCGGGACGGCCCTCGCCTTCCACCAACCCAGATTCGGTTCTCATATTTGCTGCGACGGCTTCGATCTCGGCCCGAGAGAAGCTGGTGCCCTCGAAGCCCAGGATCTTGGCCCACCTTTCTAGATCGTCGCCGCCTTCGACAATCTTCCTGAGCATGATATCTCCCTTCCGGTTTTCCAAACTCCGACCGTCGTCTTCGGCTGCCTTGGCTTGCGCGGCGAGATCCTCGACGCCCTCTTCTTGGGTCACCCCCCAACGAGCGTCTCCGAGGTCCGCATCTTGAAGCCACTCGTACCGTTGACCGTACAGACTTGCCATGAGCCCGCGGAAGTCCGCATTACTATGAAGAATCGCATCGATCTTGCGTGTGGAGATGAGTGTCTCTATGTGTTCGAAGAGGCGATGGGGTTCTGGGTTTTCGAGTGCGAGACGTGTAGCTTCCCACGTATCGGAAGGGAACCTGTGATAT